GGTTATAATTCAAATGCAAAATTGGCATATATATAATTCAACATCTTGCATTTCTTAAAGAGAACCAGCTGGAGAAACTTTTATAATCATGTTGGTGATCTGTTTCCACTTTAAGCTCACATTGGTATTTAGCATGAATCTTATAATACAATGTACTAGCTTGCATATACATGGTACCTCAGGTTACAGACGCTTCAGGTTACAGACGCTTCAGGTTACAGACTCTGCTAACCCAGAAAGAGTACCTCGGGTTAAGAACTTTGCTTCAGGATGAGAACAGAAATTGTGCGGCAGCAGCAGGAGGCCCCATTAGCTAAAGTGGTACCTCAGGTTAAGAACAATTTCAGGTTAAGAATGGACCTCCAGAACGAATTAAGTTCTTAACCCGAGGTACCACTGTAAGTATCTTTCGTATTTAAAGTTAAGTATAAGGAAAATATTGATTGTTTCAAATATAGTTTGAGCAAACTAAAGAAAACACACTGCAAGGGACACTAGTTGCTTACATACATTAAGCTACAGTGTATCTCAATTACATATTTTCACATTTGCCAGATCTGAAATTTAGCATCTTCTTTCAATTTCAGTTTTCCAGAAGCAGCTTTATACTACATCATGAGTTAACTTTGCATTTTCCTCAGCCACAAATCCATGGGCACAAAAAGTCATGCCCCCTCATCTGCATTTTATTAAACATTATTAAGATTCCCACAGAACTTCTTTATAGCTTTCGACCTGTAATTCACAATTATCCCAATCACTCTGGCTCTTCTATAAGCCAAGCATTTCACACTTCCTTGATTGATTGATTGATTGATTGATTAATTAATTAACTAACTAACTAGAGAGGTTCGAGCAATCTTCAACCCAATTATTTTAACTGTTCCATGCTGAGATCAAGAATTCAAGAATTCAAAAATCAAGCAGATGGGGGCTAAAAGTGTGTTTGGCTATTTTAAACAAATCTCATGATTCCAAGAGACTTTGAATGTGAGCTAATGAATGGTCTAATAAATATGGGGTGAAGATATTATTTAGGTTTCTTAAACATGTGTACATCAAAGCTATCGAGGCCACTCTCAGTTCCTCAGACATGCCTTTATCTTCATGCATTGAGAACATTAGAATGGCAGTTGTCTGCTTACATACACACAACTTGGGTTGGAATAGAATTCCTATAGCTGTTAGAAGAAGAGGGACTATACAGGAACATAGAAAACTACCATAATACCAAGTCAGATCACTGGCCCATCTATACTGTTGCACACCACCAGTGATGGCCTTGGGCTCTCAAATTTCAGCGGTACCCTCCATTCTAAATCATAGCTGTGGCATCCCCAACAGTGCCCCTGAGGTTCTGCGCCCAGTGCAACTGAATTGGCTGCGCTCCCCTAAATCTGCCTCTGATACCACCCCATGGGCATAGCCAAGCGGAGGCAAGAGGGCAGCTGCTCCCCCAATCAAGTAAATCAATAAAAATGCTTAACAAACTGAGGTTCTGCCCCCCACAACATGAAGCCTGGACGTGATATTATGGCTACCCCTACAACTGCCAATGGGAAGAGAGAAGATGAGCAGTCTTACTGACAAATCAGAAGACAGAAGGGTTTCAAAACAATTTAAACTCCAGGATAATAGATAGATATGCAGCAGACATCTAACTTGTTAAAGGTTGGTGACTCAAGTTGGCTGTGTGCATAGTTGGACTAAATTAAGGTTCCCAGATGTCCCTGTTTCCCGGGGACAGTCCCTGGACTTACAAATCAGTCCTCATACAAAATCCATTGAAGTTGAAAAGTGTCCCCGGATTCATTGAAAAAAAATCTGGTAACCTTAGACTAGATGACCCTCAATATCCCTTCCAGCTATACAGTTCTATGATTCTATGATCTTTCAGATCAGTCATGACAGGATTAATTCATCCCAAACCATAACAAAATTAAATTATTATTTTTTTGTTGCCATTATTTAAATTTTAAAAACTTTGCAAGTTTCAGTCTTCACCATGAAAGACAAGATAGCTCAGGCATGAAGGAATATATTTCTTAATCAGAGGGTAAATCACTCTCATTGCATTGCATTGCACAGGTTGCATGCAATTTGAGCCAGCTGATCATTTCCGGGAGCAATGTAATTTGAATTTCATTTTTATTGCATTAACCTTTGTTTCCTTATATGAGATGGCTCCTTACACTAACAAGTTTTGGGGCACAGCAGTAAAGACGAGCATTAATATTGGCTGTGGATGCCCACCCAGCCCGATTTATGGCCCTGATTTACTGATCCAGATCATGCCCAATCCAGATCGTGCCCCAGAAAATACAGATCTCCAAAAATCCCACTGATTTCCAGTGGAAAGCCAAAGCAGTCCCAGCTTTCTCATTTTATCACAAATGGAATCTGCAGAGTGGATTATCCGTTCCAAATTTCAGACAGGTAGCTCCAGGTGTTTTCATGTTAATCACCTTTTTTTTTTATGTTTTCAAAGTAAAATGGCCATTTTTATTTTTTATTTTTCCCCCACGTAGGGGCATGAAATTTTACAGGCCTGCTAGCCCCTACAACAGGGGATTCAGACTGCCAAATTTCAGAGTTGTAGCTTCAGGGGGTTTTATGCTATGCATCTTCAAAAAGGGTTCTTTCTTTTTAAAAAAGACTGGTGAGTACTTAATTCTTCTGTGTTTGGCCTTTCACTTCTATAACAGTTTTGAAAAACAGTTCCCTGGAGGCACAACTGTCTCCAGGCAGAAAAAAACAGATGACACCCTTGCCTGGCAGGCACGGAGATGCGTCTCCTGAGTGATGCAGGGCTGATTTGCAAAGCAGCAAAATGGGCAGGCATGTAGACAGGCAGAGCAGCAGCAAGCAGAGAGGCATGCCATGGGCAGGCAGCATAGGCAGGCAGAGCCTAGTAGGCAGCAGGGGGGGAAATAGCATGCACACAAAACAACCCGGGACTCTTTTGAGGGGCAGATTGTCACAGCCAAGAGAAAAAATAAACCATGGCGCCACAAGAAGATGCTGTCACATAGGAGGCAAATTGCCAACAGCAGGAGCAGTGAGTGAGAAGGGAAATAAAGTATTTTATTTAGTCATTGCCTAAGTGTTCTCCTAAGTTAACTGTTAGGGTATAAAACAACAGAGTATTAAGGATTGATTAGGAAAGGATTGGCATAAGCAGTGCTTTTTTCCTATAAAAATACTGTATTGGCCCGATTATATTATATAAGCTGTACCCGAATATAAGCCGCACCTTTAAAATGGGAGGGCGGGGGAAAGAAAAAATACCCGAATATAAGCCGCTCCATTCCTTGCTGCTTCTGGCTACATACTGGGGGGTGGGGGTGGAGCTGTGCTGCGTTTGCCAGTGGCCTTTCCCCTTCCTTGCTCTCTCCCTTCCCAGCCTTGGGGGAAGAGGACAGGGGACTACACGCGGGGCGGGCACTGCTTTGCCCTGCACTTATGGCTACATACCGTACGGTCACGAATATAAGCCGCACTTTAAATTTGGAGAAAAAGTGAGGCTTATATTCAGGCCAACTCACCACAGAGTTGTTACAGTAAGTGCCACACTTTTTAACAACAACAAAAGAGGTGCCAGTACTGTGTACCCTTGAGTACCCCTTGAAAAAACAGCACTGGGCATAAGGGGATATAAACCAGGGTGGCCCGCAAGGCCCTTTTTCGGTGGCCCTTGCGAAGTACCAAAGGAGCATCATTATCAGCAATGGGAATTGGAATGACAACATCTGAGATCCCTCCCCGCAGTTAATGCCTGGTGGCAGCAGCAATAAAGTCCCTGTGCATGCACAAGATGGCACTTTAGGGCAGGCATAGGCAAACTCGGCCCTCCAGATGTTTTGGGACTACAACTCCCATCATCCCTAGCTAACAAGACCAGTGGTCAGGGATGATGGGAGTTGTAGTCCAAAAACATCTGGAGGGCTGAGTTTGCCTATGCCTGCTTTAGGGGTTCGGCACTGAGCAAGAAGTGAAAGAGGAAGCTGAGGTAGGACCATAGAGAAGTGAGCGACGAGATGCTGGAGGCCACAGCGACGAGATGCCGGAGGCCACATGCATCTTCTTCCTTTCTCAAACCACTTTCCAGCTGGGAGCTTCACACTCCTGGAAAAGGGGAACCAAAGGACCCGGTAGATCCTTGGGCAGCTGCAGCTCTTCCTGTGAAAAGAACCCAGTGAGAGAGGTGGTCACCCAGCAAACTTCATTGCCATGTGAGGATTTGAACCCTGGTATCCCAGGCCTTAGCCCAACACCTAATTATTAGAACAGGGGTAGGCAACCTAAGGCCCAGGGGCCGGGTGCAGCCCAATCACCTTCTCAAACCGGCCTGAGGATGGTCCAGGAATCAGCGTGCTTTTAAAAGAGCAGAATGTGTCCTTTTATTTAAAATGCATCTCTGGGTTATTTGTGGGGCACATGAATTCATTCATTATTATTATTTTTTCAATATATAGTCTGGCCCACCACGTGGTCTGAGGGACGGTGGACCGGCCCACGGCTGAAAAAGGATGCTGACCCCTGTATTAGAGTCTAATTTCTACATTCGAACTGTGACACCCCAACGGCTGCTGCTACACTGGTATTCTCCACAGTAAAATGTGCCAAGTAGAGAAGGAAAACGTCCATGTACAGGAGTCTTATCTGTGCATATGTTGTATTTTTGCCCAGTTTTCCCTGAGGAATTACACGGGGTTTTTTTTGGGGGGGGGGTTAAAGACTGGTCTGTCTTTCGTTGCCCCAATCCCCCGACGACCCAGAGGAAGCTTGGCGTGCGCTTCCTGCTCCTTCCCCAAGGTAGCCCCTGTGTTTATGCCACAGATTCCCCAACGGTAAAAATGCAGCAAGTCCTCGTGCTCGACAACTGGAGGAAGCCTTCAACAGGTGCCGTGAGGGAAACTTGGTCTCAGAGTCTGGCCATGGAAACTCTTCCTTTCTCATCAAACACCGAGCCCATGCAGTGCTGCCTCTATCTTGCAGACACACGCGTGAATCCTCTGGAAAGGCGCCATCGAGCTCCTCTCCCTCAAAAAGGAAATCACCTCAGAAAAAGACGCGGGGACTGCATGGTCCTTGGGGGCGGGAATGTTTGGCGTAGGCATGAAAAGATATCTGCATGCTGGTGGGTGCCGGCCGGCTGAGGAGCCGCGTTTGGCTAGGGATCCCCTTGAAGCCCCAAAGAGCGCGCATGGCTTCAATCCTTTAACCCTGCGCGCGAGAGAGGTGAGAAAAGCGCGGCGCGGGCGGCAGACGCGAGAAGGAAGGAGGCGCTGTGAAGCTCGGGCCAGTCAGCTCAGGCGGCGAGGAAGGATCCCCCCGGGAGTGGGAGTGAGTTGGCCAGCCGGCGGCGGCGATATAGGCGCCCCCTCCTCTGTTCCAGGCAGCCACTTACGAGCGGCTCACTTGAGCGGCGCTTCGAGCTCGCGCGGGGCGGGAAAGAAGCCGGACTTCTTTCCGAAGAGGATAGAGCTGGCCCGGTCCCAAGCCTTTGAGGTCCAGCCAAAGGCTCTTTTGCATTTCTGGGGAAACGGCTCCCCGCCCGCCCACTCGGCGCAAAATTGCAGCGCGAGGCGAGCAACCTCTGCGGGAGTGACTGAGCTCGGAGGGGAAGCCTCCGGAGTTCAGACGTAACCAACGGAGCTGGGTGAGGGTGAGGTTGCTCGCGCTTGGAGCGGCGGGACTTTCTCCCTCTGCTCTCCGAGCCCGCCGGAATAGGACCAGCAGCGACAAGAAGCTGTGGCGCCTTCTCCGGCTTGCAGACCGGCTGAAGCCTCGGGAAGTTCTCGGCGCCCATTTGTCAAGAGAAGGGCAACTTTCGCGTCAGTTCTTCTCTGCCTCAGTTCCACGTCGGTGAGTTAAGTAAAACGCGGGAGGATGGCGGAGCGGGGAGATGACATCCACGGGGGACGTCTGGCTTTCCTCGGGGGTTGTTACCATCTTTTTCTACCCTACTGAGGGAATAGTCTGGAAAGCATTTGGTAGTGAGGGAGAAAAGAAACTGATGTTTGGGACAACAAAGCCTCTGACTTGCGGACTGCAGTCCAAAAGAGTTGCAGAAAGGGGCAGCGGGGTTGGGAGCGAGGGGGCAGAAGGGGCAGGATAAACATTTATTTGGTTCATAAAAACAGTGAGGGCTGGTCCATAAGGGCCCATGGGGCACTACTGCCCCACCGGCTTCAGGCAGCCCTCAGGCAGCCCAGAAGGTGCCACTGCCTGTCACGTTTCCCTGCAGGGAATTAGATTCATTAGTTCTGCCTGTCTGTCTTAGCCTCTGCCTGATGTTTGCTTCCCTGCCTCCTGCTCCACCACTCTCACTGGGCAGAAGCTGTAAGGAACAAAATGGTCCAGGCTGCAATTATAAAAAGATTTATCATGGAATACCATCATCATTATATTTTTAAAATTTGTATACCGTCTTTCTTTCTTACAATACTCAAGGCGGTTTACAAGCTGAAGAAACAAAAAATGTACATCTTATAACAATCTAATGCAATACAAAAATGTGATAATAAAACATAACTTTAAAATAGGCAACCTACATCAAAAAAGTAACATTCAACAATCATTAGAACAGTATAAAATAATAATACCAACATATAAAAGTTAAACAGAAATCCACTCAAGAGTTACAATAAATAATATCTAAAATATAATCAATAAAACAACGGCAATATGCCCCATTAAGCTCGGTGAGACTTCTGAGTAAACCTACTAAGGCCTGCGCTTTCTGTTTGTCTTCTATAGGGCTTTTTGAGAATCGATAATGATCTCTTGCATTGGCTTTCGATGACTCCTGCCCCAGTTAGGACCCAACTAAATTATATGGGAAATGTATTGTTGTGTTTTCCCTGTCTGTGGTGTGTGGGATCTTAAAAAATCAAATCAATAACAGCAGCAGGCACCCTCAGATCAGGAACTCAGCAAGGAAGAAATGTGGCTGAACCCCACTCCATTATTGTCCAAATTAACACACACCCCAGTTGGTATTTATCCCCAGAGTGAAGTTCCTTTTGTGCCAGCCCTAACCATAGAGCCTTCTTTCCAACCACACAAATCTTTAAAATGATGCCATGCTTTCAACATGCTTCCCACATAACAGCTTTTTAGAGATTGGTGATAGATTACTTCAGTTTGGAAGACATCAGCTTACTTTATTGGATGCTAGAAATCCTTACACTTCAATAACCCAGGTGGTCTCAAATTTCCCTTTGGGCTGTGATGGCGACTAAAAGCAATAACACTAGAATTTTATCCCCCACCCCAAAACTGAGGGGCGAGGCCCTTCCTTGTTTGCCTCCTCCAAGAGAGGTCTGGAGAGTGGCAACAGGAGAACCATTTCTGCAGAGCCTCTCTGTTTAAGGAATGCTCTCCCCAGGGAGGTTCAGCTGGTGCCTTCATTGTACACCCGACCTTTGCCTGCTCAACATTCTATATACCGTATTTACGCAAATCTAATGTGTCACCAAATCTAATGCGCACCTCAATTTTCAAAACCTTGAAACCAAAAAGTATTTGCTGGCGAATTTAAATGTGCCATAAATCTAATGTGCATCCTAATTTTTGTGACAAAATTTGGCCAAAAAAGTGTGCATGACATTCATGTAAATATGGTTCATTTTGTTTGTGGGCTTTTTTGTTTGTTCTTGTTTTTATTATGTACAGTAGTACCTCAGGTTACAGATGCTTCAGGTTACAGACCCAGAAATAGTACCTCGGGTTAAGAACTTTGTTTCAGGATGAGAACAGAAATCGTGCTGCGGTGGCGCGGCAGCAGCAGGAGGCCCCATTAGCTAAAGTGGTACCTCAGGTTAAGAACAGTTTCAGGTTAAGAACAGACCTCCAGAACGAATTAAGTTCTTAACCCGAGGTACCACTGTATTTTCTGTTTTTAGCTAGTATTTTTATGCTGGGAACTGCCCTAAGATTTGCAGATGGAGAGCGGTATATAAATTTAATAAATAAATATTTTTTAAAACAAACAAAGATCAAACTATATTCTCATAGCTTGCCCTAATTCAGGCAGGATCATAGCAAGGCAGTTCTGCAAATATTTGTTCACAGGTACGAGGAAGTGCAGTTTAGAATACTGCTGCTCCGTCTATTTGGAGTTGTAATGAATTATTTTCTGCATGTGATGAAGTAGTCAAATAGCTTCTTGCCTACAGGCATGCTAGAATCAAAGATTATATAGAGCAGGGCTGGAGAACAGAGTCACCCACCCACCCATGTTGTTGAATTCTAATGCACATCATCCCCAACCAGCGAGGTAGTAGTCAAGGGAAACAAATATTAAGAACGTAAGAACACCCTGCTGGATCAAGCTAACTGCCCATCTAGCTCAGTATCCTGTTCTCACAGTGGCTAACCAGATGCCTGTGGGAAACCAGGGATTAAACATGAGCACAAGAGCACTCTCTCCTCCTGTGGCTTCCAGCAACTAGCAATCAGAAGAATTGCTGCATCCAATTGTGGAGGTAGAATGTAGATCATAGCCATCATGGCTAGTAGCCATTGATAGTCCTGTTCTCCATCAATTTGTCTAATTGTCTTTTAAAGCTATCCAAATTGATGGCCATGCTGGGGGAGCGAGTTCCATAATTTGACTATGTGCTGCATAAAGAAGTACTTTCTTTTATCTGTTCTAACAACATCAGAGTACATCAGGCCTGCAGGCCCACTCTGATGTACAGTATCATCCCAAAAGTGTTGGGCCTCATGGCAAAGTCTTAGGTGAAATCAGCTCTAAGAAAGTTACTGGAAATATGCCCTCTCTAGTTTTTGAGCAAGTGTCCAAAATCATAGGCAACATAAGAGTAGACAAAAGTTGAAGCTTACTCAGTACTAATTTTTCAGCTAGTGTGCATTGTGAGTATACACAATATACACCAGGGATGGTGAATTCCTGACCTGCAGGCAGAGTCGGTGAAATAAAGCTTAGCCTTTTAAATAGGCTTGCCCAACCCCCAACTGGATATGCCAGTCATATCACCAGCGGCACTGAGGAGTGCTGAGGAGCAGGCTGGAGTTAGGAAATGAGAATGAGTCTTCTAGTCTGCACCAATATTTCATGAATGCTGTTGATGGCCAAATACTCAGGAAACATTTAACAATTTTTATTTAACAAAAATGTTGTATTGTTTAATTGTAAGAAACCCTCTAAGCGGAGCAGTTCCAAGCACTCTTTCCTTTTTCCCGAGTGTTCTGATCTGCTCCACAGTGACTCTTAATGACCATGGGTAGGCAACCTAAGGCCCGGGGGCCGGATGCGGCCCAGTCGCCTTCTAAATCCGGCCCGCAGACAGTCCAGGAATAAGCGTGTTTTTACATGAGTAGAATGTGTCCTTTTATTTAAAATGCATCTCTGGATTATTTGTGGGGCATAGGAATTCATTCATTTCTCCCCCCCAAAATATAGCCCGGCCCACCACATGGTCTGAGGGATGGTGGACCGGCCCACGGCTGAAAAAGGTTGCTGACCCCTGCTTAATGACAGTGGTATGGCACTAGAGCAGAGAGCACTAGGGGACGGAAATCATGTCATCCCTGGCACAGTTGAAAGGACAACATCAAAGTGCAAATTCCAAAGCGCTATGGGCCAAGCGCTATGGGCCAAGAACAGGGAAAGGCCCTGAGACACAGAGAATGTAAAATCAGATGGTGGAATTGAGCAGATCTTCACAGCTTGCATTTGCAGGGAGGCTTAGCCAAAAGTTTCCCTCATCCCACCTATCAATGAGCCTGAAATAAAATACTGGGTTGTAGTCAACTAACATTTATTCAGAGTAGTCCAATTGAAATTAATGGATCTAATATCATTAATATCAATGGGTCTACTCTGAGTAAACATTAGTTGCCTTCAATCTATTGTGTGCATGTGCTCTCGTGTGGGTGCCCACATTCTTGGAGAGTGGCATACAGCCCAAGAAGTGGGTTTCCAGAAGGCAGTGTGTCCCTTTGGCTGAAATTCACTAACCCCGGAAAAAATTAATATATGCTGTAGATTTGTTGCAGATTTGCAATCCTAGAAGAGTTAAAATCCTAGTGCTAATCTCGATGTTCTTTCACAGTCCAACCTGTCTGGTAATAACAGGAAGTAGAGAAAATTAGTTCCGAATTAGTTGATGTGTTTATTCCATGCAAAATTTAACTTTGCAATGATAATTCACTACAGAGGAAATAATGGTAATAACTCTGTGAGCAAGCATAATTACTCTCTGCATTTTTTAAATCACGCAAAACCCTAATTGTGTTTGTTCAGAAAATAATCCACAGTTGAATTGCATCATTGGTTCCCACTCACTTCTGCTGCCACTAAAAAAGAAAATATAAGTACTTCCTTGCTGTCTACCACATCTCCCCTACAGATTGAGTCACCATTTTTCCTGCCATGGCTTTGACTCAGAAAAGCAGTAATTGGGCATCGTAGACACAATGGCTGCAAAAATGTTGTAGACTGAAAAAAAGTGTCATCTTCCATATGCAAGTGTAATTTGCTATGAAATCTCATATGTGTACACATGCTCCACATGTACATTAAAAATGTGGAAGAGGCAGGACTCCACCCTGATATTCCCAGCCCTGACGTAACCCCAAATATCTGTGCATTGAATAGAATGTGTATAAAATAGTGAATATGAGGTTGAATCCTGACAAGACAGAAGTACTGTTTTGGGGGGACAGGAGGCGAGCGGGTGTGGGGGACTCCCTGGTCCTGAATGGGGTAACTGTGCCCCTGAAGGACCAGGTGCACAGCCTGAGAGTCATTTTGGACTCACAGCTGTCCATGGAGGTGCAGGTTAATTCTGGGTCCAGGGCAGCTGTCTACCAGCTCCACCTGGTACGCAGGCTGAGACCCTACCTGCCTGCGAACTGTCTTGCCAGAGTGGTGCATGCTCTAGTTATCTCCCGCTTGGGCTACTGCAATGCGCTCTACGTGGAGCTACCTTTGAAGGTGACCTGGAAACTGCAATTAATCCAGAATGCGGCAGCTAGACTGGTGACTGGGAGTGGCCGCCGGGACCACATAACACCGGTCCTGAGTGATCTGCATTGGCTCCCAGTACGTTTCCATGCGCAATTCAAAGTGTTGGTGCTGACCTTTAAAGCCCTAAACAGCCTCGGTCCTGTATACCTGAAGGAGCGTCTCCACCCCCATTGTTCAGCTCGGACACTGAGATCTAGCGCCGAGGGCCTTCTGGCGGTTCCCTCATTGCGAGATGTGAGGTTACAGGGAACCAGACAGAGGGCCTTCTCGGTAGTGGCGCCTGCCCTGTGGAACACCCTCCCTTCAGATGTGAAGGAAATAAGCAGCTATCTTCTCTTTAAAAGACATCTGAAGGCAGCCCTGTTCAGGGAAGTTTTTAATATTTAATGCTGTATCATTTTTAAGACTTGATTGGGAGCCGCCCAGAGTGGCTGGGGAAACTCAGCCAGATGGGCGAGGTATAAATAATAAATTATTATTATTATTATTATTATTATTATTATTATTATTAATGCACAGTTGTATACATACAGTTCCACATGATTCAGACCCCTGTGCAAATGAGGGTCCTAGTCTTATAAAATGCCCATACAGATAGCTCCTTTTTACTTGTTCCTCTAAACAGGCAAATGTTTGTGGTGCAAGATCCATCACAGCATCAAGTTTGGGGGCAGCCAGTGGTGAATGATCCAAATCCCATCCACATATTTAGTGACTATGTCAATCACATATGAGTAGAGCAGGGGTAGTCAATGAGGCACCTTCTAGAAGTTGTTAAACTACAACTCCTATTATCCCTTCCCACTGGCCATGTTGGCTGGGGCTGGCAGGAGTTTGTGTCCAGCAACATCTGAAGGGCACAATGTTTGTCTATCCCTAAAACAATCCCAAAACTCAGCATAAAGTATTAGGAAGTTGGCACTATTATAGCCTCTTTTCTTTTTGGACAGGATTACTATGAAGCCACAGCAGTGGAATTTAAGGTGATGTTTTTGTTGTACTGCACACTACTTAATTTCTTGAGTTTTCAAAAGAACTTTGCATGCCGCCTCCTCTCTGCTATTTATCTCCATGGCTATTGCTTCTGCTATTTCTTGGACCCACTGGTCCTCCCACACTGGAAGTTCACATTGGTGGAAAGACAGAAGTTTTCCTGGCTCTCGTCCAACACATGCAAAAAGGGCTCTTACTTGGAAGTTCAAGAGAGATCTTTATTCGGGCAAGTAACAATACAAGCACAGCAGAAGATACAGGGCTCAGGAGTCATGGTTCAGGAGTAGGGCAAGAAGCTCAGAACTGGATGGAAGCAATGGAGATGTCCAACAAGCCATCCATTGTTCTGCAGCCTCTGACCTGCTTCTCTGTGGGGTCCGGCTTTGGACCAGTCCACAACATGAAAGTTATGCCATGGTTTGACTAACTGTTATGTGTGAAACTGGGCTCATAAGTTTATTTCCCTCAAGCAAACAATGAGTTGTAAGCCAAGAACAAACCTTATGATTTGCTTGGAGAGATAAAAAGCATGAGCCTGGGCTCAGACATAATGCTAAGCCAAACCAGGGCTTAACTCCTGGTACTCTACCAGCAGCAGAAGCCTGAGAAAGGTGAAGCAGTCATGGTGTCCTCTCTGTACATCATCATGCCTGTTCATTTGCACTTAGCCATGGCTTGGCTTAGCATTATGTCTGAACCAGGCCAGTGTCTAGCTGAATGACTGCCATAATGGGTGGTATATGTGGATGGGGCTTGTAAGTTGGAAGGATTCAGAACTGGGGTATGTTGCACTTTCTTGTGAGATCTCTGTAGATGGTTGATGGGAGATGGGACATCCAGTGTCAGGGGTCCCTAGGTTTTGGTTTACTTTTCCACATAGAACTGAAGTGCAGTTATTCCAAATTACACTTGGAAGGTAGTACACTTGTTTCATATGTTGTCTAAGTGTGTCTATGTTTAAACTCAGATTAGATCATTAATAATTATTCAGATATTGCCCTGTTAAAAAAGTATCACTCTTTCAACTCCAGTCCTGTATTCTTCTAGTTACTACTTATTTTGTTTGTGACGAGGGGCAACACATTTTAGTGACTTCCAGCTAAAGTGCTTACTAATTTAGACAATGAACAGTTTTTGAGCTGGAAGAGCCAGAACTAATAAACTAGTTGTTTATGTTCTGTGGACAATCTGAGGCCTTTGTGGTATTTGCATAATGCATTAAAAACAACAACCCAACCATGTCCTTCAAAATGCTGCAGAGAAGTGGAGACAAATCACAATTAAAATTAACTTCATTTTCTGTAGAAACTGTATTGGTAAAGTACAATAATCTCATGAAGCCCCATGGATATGGATGAAGGACTAGAAAATAAAGTATCAGAAATGTACAAGATTGACATTCATGTGTTTACCATGCTGAAGACAGATGGAAAACATTTTTGTTGAATTGCATCTATGTTGTTGATAATATTTTATACAACTTTTCTTGATACTATGTCTTTTTCTTGCACTAATGGTGTATCTGAAGCCACTGGTCCCTTCTACTATATAATAGCTTGTTTTTGTGATTTAGATACAGCATCTTCAACCTTTTCAGACCAACTTTTAACTGAAACATGCATTTGGGGACCCATTTCTTAATCTTTTACCATATATTTGCATGGTGGTAGTGCTCCTGTTGAGACCCACCAGTGGTCCCGATCCACCAGTGATCTAGATGATTATGGTGAGTGTGGAATATCCTGTTTGAAGGGCCTGTAACTGTGGCATGCAGCATTTGGGAAAGACCCATAGCCCCTCAGTAGTAGAGCACATGTTGCTGGAATCTCAGGTAGAGCTAGGAAGGATTCCGGTCTCAAACAGTTTACAGTACTGAGCTAGATGAACCAATGATTTGACTCAGTCGAAGGCAGCTTCCTGTGTTTCTAACGTTCCCAGCATTCCATGTCGGCATGGATCCAGAGTTGTCCTTCTTTGAACAGAAGGTTCTTTCCATTTATGGAAGGACATCCATCCTTCTACCACTGGCACAAGGAAGGGAGGCAATTTTTGTTGATTCTCCCCTCCCCTTGCCAGTGCCATCTCCCATGTTGTTTTGAATGCCCCCACACCAGCCTTCCATAGTAGATTTGTGGGGAGCAAAGTGGGGTGCAGGTAGAAGGGTGAATCTGCAGAAATAATGTCCTCCCTTCTGCCAGTGGGAGCATGTTACAGGCAATTTTTAAAAAATGATCCATTTTTCTTTCAACATTCTTCCAAAAAATATAATGTTGTACAATAATTAGATCAACTTACTTCTACTCTCCTAGCCTGAGCTAATGATACCATGTGGAATTCAGACTGGATGATTTAGTGAAAGAAAACACACATGGAGAAAGACATCTGCAGATGGAAGATATTAAAAACAAAGATGGAAAGCACAAAAAAGGTGTTGTCTTCCAAAAGCTGGATGGATGGAAAATGAAAAATAGCATTATCCTTATCAAACAAAATAGTAAAGGAACAGTTCTCAGCAGTGCATTTTCAGTGCGCGCTCTTTCTCTCTCTCTCTCTCTCTCGCGCACACACACACACATACACACACTCACTCACTCACTCACTCACTCACTTGTACATATAACCAGCAGCTCCCAAACCTCTCCCCATAGACAACTTGGAAATTGCTGGTGGTCTTGGCAGACTGCATAATTATTTTTCTGCCGGTTGTAGTTATTTTAATTTTACATTGCTGGCAATTTATGTGTTTTAAAACTAGCTTTCTGTAAGACATTGTGAAATCCATTGTGGAGCTTCATAGTGCTAGTGATAAAGATAGGAAATAAGCAATGTCATATTGCCCTTCAAGAAACTGGTTACTTGTGTGTTATAGCCATAACATGCTTCTTTTATATAGCAATTTTTTTTAAAATTGCAGCCATTAAATCTTCATGAGTTCAAGTAAGGTATTTAAGCTTTTGTGGTATATTGAGGGTTCAGAGAAAACAATAATAAATTCTTCGAATTCATTTCTGTCCTGCTGAACGTCTCTGTCAAAGGGAGCTGATAATTAAGTGATTTGAAATAGGGAACAGGCTTTCCATGGTTGCAAAAGAAGTGGAACATTTCAAAAGTTAACAAGGAAAATATGAATGTTTGCAAAACAATAGCTGGGAAATATTTGGGGATTTTGTGTACCGATCAAATAAACTTATATATTCTCATAAATCTAAATAAATTACAGTCTTGTGTGCTCTGTTTTTAGACACAAATACAAATTCTGAGGCTGATTATCCTCTGGCCACATGAATAATTTCCAAGCTCTATTTCCAAGCTCTAGAGCGTGTCCAGACGAGGTGCGGGCCCTCCTGGGGGATATCATCAATTTGTCCCTTGGCACGGGGACATTCCCAGGGGAACTGAAGGAGGCAGTGGTGCGCCCGCTCTTAAAGAAAACATCATTAGATCCTTTAGATCTATCCAATTACCGCCCGGTTTCGAATCTTCCGTTCCTGGGTAAGGTGATTGAGAGAGCGGTTGCTGAACAGCTTGGTGGGTTTCTGGATGAAACATCGGCTCTGGATCCATTCCAGTCCGGCTTCCGCGCTGGTCATGGGACCGAGACTGCTCTGGTTGCCCTAACAGATGATCTTCGTAGACAGCTGGATCGAGGTGGGTCGGGGCTGCTGATTCTTCTAGATCTGTCAGCAGCTTTCGACATGGTCGATCACGAACTTCTGGACCACCGCCTTGCCAACGTGGGGATCCAGGGCACAGTCCTTCAATGGCTGCGCTCGTTTCTCTCTGGTCGGGGACAGAGGGTGGCGCTTGGGGGGGAATTGTCATCGCCCCACTCCTTGGTGTGTGGAGTACCTCAGGGTGCGATACTCTCCCGATGCTTTTAACATCTTTATGCGCCCCGCCCAGCTTGTCCAGAGTTTTGGGCTGGGTTGCCATCAGTATGCTGATGACACCCAACTCTATCTGCTGATGGATGGCCATCCTGACTCGGCCCCAGACACACTGACCAGATGTTTGGAAGCTGTGGCTGGATGGTTACGTGGGAGCCGGTTGAAGCTAAATCCTTCGAAGACAGAGGTCCTGTGGCTGGGATGGGACGATATGGGATTGGGGGGGCAACTCCCATCTCTTGCGGGGGCGCAATTAGTGCCAGCACCGTCCGTTAAGAATTTGGGTGTAATCTTCGACACCTCCCTTTCCATGGAGGCGCAGATTGCAGCTACAACAAAGGCGGCATTTTTCCATCTCCGCCAAGCTAAGCAGTTGGCTCCTTACCTCTCTCGCCCTGACCTAGCCACTGTGATCCACGCGACGGTCACCTCCAGACTGGATTATTGTAACTCGCTCTACGTGGGGCTGCCCTTGAGACTGACCCAGAAACTCCAGCGGGTGCAGAATGCTGCAGCGAGACTCCTTACGGGGTCTTCGCTGCGAGATCACATTCACTCGGTGCTATACCAGCTGCACTGGCTCCCGGTAGAGTACAGGATCAGATTTAAGGTGCTGGTTTTAACCTTTAAAGCCCTTTACGGCCTAGGACCCTCGTACCTACGGGACCGCCTCTCCTGGTATGCCCCACAGAGAAACTTACGGTCTTCAAATAAAAACATCTTGAAGGTCCCAGGCCACAGAGAAGTTAGGCTGGCCTCAACTAGAGCCAGGGCTTTTACGGCTGTGGCTCCGATCTGGTGGAACACTCTGTCACAAGAGACCAGGGCCCTGCGGGACTTGACATCTTTCCGCAGGGCCTGCAAGACAGAGCTGTTCCACCAGGCCTTTGGCCAGGGCACAGCCTGACTCACTCCCTCGGCAATCTTCACGGAGCTCTGGCCCAATGGTTGCCAGTGGCTTGAATTAATTAATTTTATAATGAATGATTTTAGAGTGTTGTTTGTGCTGTACTTTTGTACTGTTTTATTGTTGTTAGCCGCCCTGAGCCCGGCTTCGGCTGGGGAGGGCGGGATATAAATAAAATTTATTATTATTATTATTATTGTTGTTGTTTTTCTATACGGTTTTTGTTATTTGTGCTGTCTTAAGATAAAGTAATTTTGCTTTGATGTAGCATTTTGCATTTAGCAAGAGTCTTTTTCTGTTGATTTCTGTTCCTATTGATGTTTTTACACTAGACCCACTTGGACAATAAGTACCATGCAAAATGAAACCAAAAAGGCTTACCATAATTCTAATAATAGGCACTAATTAATTTTGGGGAAAATACTAATTAATGGAGAGAAGGGCCATAGTTCAGTGGTAGGTAGAATATTTGCTTTGCTTGCGGAAGAGCCCAGGTAGGGCTGGGAGAGTTCTCTGCCTAAAACCCTATAGAGCACTGCTAATTAGTTTAGACGATACTGAGTGAGATGGACTGACTATAAGGCAGCTTCATAAGTTCTGCTAATTATCTTTAAGAACAGGGGTCAGCAAACTTTTTCAGCAGGGGGCCGGTCCACTGTCCCTCAGACCTTGGGGGGTGTGGACTATATTTTTTTTGGGGGGGGAAATATGAACGAATTCCTATGCCCCACAAATAACCCAGAGATGCATTTTAAATAAAAGGACACATTATACTCATGTAAAAACACCAGGCAGGCCCCACAAATAACAGAGAGATACATTTTAAATAAAAGTTCACATTCTACTCATGTAAAAACGTGCTGCTTCCCGGACCATCCGTGGGCTGGATTTAGAAGGCGATTGGGGTAGATCCGGCCCCTGGGCCTTAGTTTGCCTACCCATGTTTTGGAACCTATAACCATGAGTACTATTTGTTAGGATATTTCCATTCCACCTTAAAAGGGAGCAGGCTGTGAGTCACAGAGTCTGCGTATTTCCTGTTCACAGGATGTTTATGTTTTCTGTTGCTTTCGTTTTTCTCTCTCTGTGTCATAGACACTAAAGCAGGCAGTCATGTTTTTCTGTGTTCTGATCAACGCTGAATAAACTTGTAAATAATGCTCTCCTGAGTGCGACTTTGGCTGTGCATTATCTGCTGATAAAGAGTGTGCATCGGCTCTAGAATGGTCTGGAGCTCATGTCGCTAATTGCTGATACTGCGTGTCTACAGGAGGTTGATGGATCGTCCGGCAGCCGGCTTGGGGGCCATGATGGACTTTATCTCCCTGGCAGTATCCCAACACTATTTTGCCACTCTTCCCGTTCAGGGACTGAAAAACTCAGGGACTGAATGTTGTCAGGTCTAGCTGAATGTCCTCCAACTTCCTCCTTGGCAACTTCTTTATGGACACAGGTGGTGCTAAGGGTACTGTTGGCCTGAATTTGCATTCAGAAGCAACAATATACTGATATGTAAAGACACATATATGCCACCAAAGGCTTGTCCACATTTCAATTTGCCCCATGCTTTCTAGCCATGGGTCTGAGGGGCTTTTCGTTTGCCCCACCACTGTCCCCAGGAAAACCCAATGTTTACCACTGAATTGTAGCAAACCTCAATCGAGTTTTCTGCAGGTTGGCATTCAATGTCCAATTCATGTCCTCTCATTTAGGACATATGGAAGTGTGGAACGAGTCCATAGTGGATCGAGTCCTTCTCAGTAGTTTTCAATCATGGACTTAGGAAACCTGTCTGAACATTTATTACAAGTTGTATACTGAAGTGTTGCAGTGCATACAGGTGTGGTGCATGGTAAACTGGGGCTAACCATGATCATATATTTGGCCATTCTGAAACTTCTGCAAGATTTTTATTTTTTATTTTTTAATAATATTTATTGCTTTTATACCTTACAAAAAGAAAAAAGAGAAAAGAAAAAAGAAAAAAAAGCAAAAGCAAAAGAGAAAACAGTACAATACAATATATAAACAATACAGAACGCAACATTAACATTAACACATTAAACAAAACAAAAGCAAAAACAATTCAAAAAAACACACATCATACCATCTCAATATCCTCTCTTTCATTCCCTTGTTTCATCGACCTCCTCTCACCTCCCTTTTTGTATTCCATTTCTATTAATTGTTTCAGCAAATCCTTTCCATCTTTCTCTATTTTCTGTCATGTAATTATCTTAACATATTTTAACCTTATTTTCCATTAATACTATAATACTTATTTATACTTAATTCCTTAAAATATTTCTACTAAAGCCGTATAATTCCCTTCCAACATTTTTCTAACACTCATTAATTTTACATTATTTCCATATATAGATTTTAAACTTTTTCCAATATTCTTCCACCATCTCTTCTCCCTGGTCTCGGGTTCTGCCAGTCATTTCCATCAATTCCAAATAGCCCATCAACCTGGTGATCTTCTGTCCGAGGCTCTTAACTCTTTTCCAGGTCCCTTCTGCAAATCTTCTTCATGTTTATACATGCACTTTACTTTGTCTTCTCCTGATCTTGTTCTTATTTTCCTTCCTTTGATGCTGAAAAGTAGATCTCCGGGAAATTCCCATCTAGCAATGTTTTTATTCCTTCTCAACAAGTCAACCAAATCTCCATAGTTAGAACTGAAATTCAAAAGATATTTCCAGTCGTGTTTCAAAGTTCCTCCAAGTCTGGCAGTCCCCACAACTCCAGTCTCCTTCTGACCCAAGTCCAGGTCCCAAAGGTCAATCTCCAGTCCAAGCGGGGCTCCAATCCTAAGAGTCTGGCTTTCTCTAAATTCAGTCTTGGAAGACATCAACTTATAATCATCAAATTGCAACTGTAAGGCTGAAGCTCTCTCCCTCGCCACTTGTGCTGCCTTAGGTTCCACAGCAAAAACTCTCTCCCCCGCCTTCTCCTCAATCCGCCATGTCAAAATAGATCCCTGTATCGATTCCCGAATAACTTCTGTATTAATATTGACTTTTTGTGCCAAATTAGTCACTTTTTGTTCCAAGTTATCAATTTTTATAGTCTTCGCATCCGTCTTCCTACAAAACTGAATCCAGTGATTCATTAATCTTGCAAAATGCAACCACTAAGACTTCTTCTGTCAACATTCTCAACAACTCAAGGTCAATCCCAGATTCTCACAGTTTTATCTTGCAGATGGAAAATTCCCCCAGCTCAGAACTTGTAACAATTTCAAAGGCTTCATCTAGGGGGAAACAATTTCTATTTGTATCAATCCTTTTAAGCACAGTTCAAACAATAAAGTTAGTTTTAATTTTCAGTTACTTTTACTCCTTTTTAAACACAGAAGGAGACAATGGAAACATTGTATTTCTCTTCTTTAACTTACTGTCAGCAGACGATCTATTCACAGTCAATGAGCATATCCGAAGCTTCAATCTTTACTAGCAGCCCGTTTCCAGGTTCAGAGCGGTGGTTATTTGACTTTCTTCACTCTCTCCTGCAGGCTTACGCGATCTTAAATTTTCCCCCTCTTCTCCTGCTTCCAAGGGGGGTTTGATGGCTTAACCGATGGAAGTTTAATCCTTTATATGAGACTTTCCAAGGCTTTAGCTTGCAGCCTCTTTGCTTCAATCTATTTACAAAAGGGGGAGGCGGACTTCCTGTTTGAAACCTCCCCGTTCGGTGCCAAATTAAGACGTTTAAAAATCCAATTTTCCGTTCTACTCACGGGTAGTTGTTTTAAGATCAAATTGTCTACAGGAAAAGTCAGCACTCTCCTGCAACAGCAATGCGGCTTCACTCCGGGAAAGAAGCAGTCGATTCGAAGCACCGCGCCACTCACCCCACGTCGCTCCGGATTCCCGAAACCGGGTTTCCCCGCGAGTAGGGGAGGCGCAAAAGGTGCCAGCCGAATCCCACGTCCATAAGCTTCTCCCGCCTGTGTTTTTTAGTGGGTCTCCGCCTTCGCCGTGGCGGCCAGACCCTGATTTCCACGGAGCGGATTCCGCCCGATCAGAGGTATTCCTCCATTGCCTGAGGCGCTAACCCGGAAGTCCCCTTCTGCAAGATTTTTAATAGCTTGCTCTAGGCTTAGTCTGGTCCCTCTCAGACTCTCCCTTAATGGTCTTTGAAATTGCTGTAGCTCCTAAATTCAATGCAAGTGTTAGGCTTACAGCTCTTACATTAGTGACTGGCAAATTCCCCCAGGCTTCATTTGCATGTGTACATAAAGTATAATGCTTGAAATGGGATGTTTTGTTTGACTACAACTACTTCTGGCTTGGTAAGATTCTCATTTGCTGATTGGCCTGATTGATTAGTAGGGCTGATACCATGTTGGGGTAACATACCATCTATTTGCTTAGATTATTAGAATGCTTATAAGTATTCGATTAATCAATATAGGAGTGAATAAAGCATTAAAAAGGAACTTTTTGTTCCTTTCTCTTGGGTCTATGAAAAGGGCATCCTGGTGGTGACTGGCAGCTGGACAGCATCCCCTTTCAGTACAATCAGCTACTCCAGTAATAACATTACAAAAACTAGAAAAATCAATAACTGGTGCTCAATAGCCTGATTAGCTAACAGTGCCATCACTAGTGGTGGTCCTGTTCCTATTTGTGGGCTTTACTTGTAGCTTGTCCAACAGTTTCTAAACAGAAGATGACAGTCCCCATAAAAACAACAACAAAAATCAAATAATAATACTACAGGCCCACACATTTCTAATTCAAGCTACATAGCTTTATTCCAAATTATTTTGATAGTTGCACATTGTGACGAAAGCATTTTTAAAAAGGTGCCAGCAATGCAAATGTATACATGCAATATCACATCGTTATGTAAATTGGCAGCAATGTAAAAAAGCAACAACAACTTGCCTAGTTTCATCCGGCCCCTTTGCTGCCTTCAAGGAAGACATTTTTATTCCTCTGTGTGCACTCACAATGTAGCCTTTTCTGTGTTTTATTGTTTCTTCCTGTGTTATTTTTATTGTCTTTGTAATGCACTGAATGCACTTGTTACAGAATGACAGAGTAGAAATCCTTGTCATAGATACAGGTATAAATAAATCCCCATATAGATGTGGGCTGTGTTGATACACAGAACTGTCTTTTCATAACTAGCAACTGAGACATCAAGCCACAGATGTTATATATTAAGACTGTCTGGTGACCTGACAAATGGGCCAAGGTGTTCCTAGTAAAATTACTTCTAGTTTATCTTCTCCTTACAAATCTTCATGGAGAAGCTAGCAGAACTGTTTCCACTAACAGTTTCACACTTGATATAAAACATATCAGGACCATTTAATCTTATTTAGAAACAGAAGCAAGAGGGGGTAAAATGCCAGTATATATTTAGGTGATGAAGCGCTATATCACTTTTCAATACATGTGGCATTCTCACACATTTTGAGTGTAGAACCTGTAAGAAAATTCTCAGTCTGAAATATTGTTTAGTGAGAGATGTGGTTATTACAGAAAGTTACTAATATAAAATGTCTCCCTTCCGCCTTCAAATTTAATAAACTGATGGGCAAAACTTCCACTTCTGAATACTTATGCAAGTTAATCACAGTGTCTCAGTGCTTAATTGGATCTAAATTTGCATGTTTTTGTGCCTATAGAGGGATGTTTCATCTGATCAAAATGTTGAATCCCAACTCTTGTATTGTAGCAGTAATTAATTTCATAGAGCCCAAATAGAGGTAGTTAGTCCACTGGGATTTCTCTAAAGGATAGCCTATGACATTTTCCTCAGTATACTGTCATTGTTTCAGAGTTACCATAACGTGAACTGAGAAATTTATAGAGCAATTAGACCCATTATTTGGAGTGCTAAATAACTAGTAACTGTTCAAAGCCTTTTACTGTGTGCATGATTTGAATATAAATGTAATTGCTGATAGCAAAATGCTCAGTCTGAAGCAATTGATACCTATCTATTTTTACATCTTGCACTTTGATTAAGATAGGGTTGCCATACGTCCAGAATTTCCCAGACATAGCTGGAATATGGCAGTAGGAAACAGTGTCCGGGAGGAAATCGCTGAAATGTTTGGGAAAATCCGGAAGTATGGCTACCCATGTCGTAAGTCTGCATTTTAGCAAATTCCCTTAAAATTAGCTCAAAACCTTTTCTCTCTCTCTCTTTTTTGGAATTTTTTCAAAAACTTGACAGCTTTGGCCATAACAGAAAAGAAAAGAAAAAAGAAAATCTCAACAACTTTTGTATCCGGATTTTCACTTTTTGTAAAATGGCAGTCCTAGTTAAGAGCTGCCCTAAATAAAGCTACTGGCCATCTTGGACTGCTCAGACTTCAGTTTTGTTAAGACTTTGCTTATGTTTTTCAGAACAGGTTTTGTTTTCTTTTGAAGTTTTACATTAAAGGTGAAACCTCATGCAACAATTGAAATGTTGCTGTATCCAAAATATGATATTGCCCTATAGTGTGTCATGACTATTCTTTTATGTCCCTCCTGATCAAATTTCCTTGTTATGTTCAGCTCCATCAAAGCTTGATAATCTGGCTGAACTATTAAATGTATTGGCAGTGATGACCTAATGCAATCTCTTCAAACATCAACTACTTAAGACACTTCTAAATTGTACTTTTTGTGCCATTTAGGAAAAGGGCATTGCATTTGAAAGATTCAAGCATATGTAGTCAGAGACCTCTAAAAATAATATCAACAGTGAACCAGCAATTCCTTTTCTTGTCCATATAAGTACAGCAACACCACAGAAGAAATCCTTATCTCTTTCTTAAACTCAGCAATACTTATTATCTATTTTGCATATGTTGTGTTCATTTCTGGGGGTTTTAGGCAAAGCTAACATTGCGATTAGAGGAGTCCACTTATCTTCACAATATTATGCTTTATCATGGTTGTTAAACATAACCAATCTTCATTTGTGGTTTTCACACATTTCAGAAATATCTTCAAAGCCTTGTAAATTAAAGGATACAAATTACTTGGAGAATACATTAATCTATAATTAAACACAATGAAGTAATATTAACAATATTGTATTAAAAGCATGCACACAGCAAAATGACACTGCTTACCAATTAACAGAAAGTTCTGTGTTTCCTTTTCTCAAATAGCGCTAACAAATTCTGTCTAGCATCTTCCTTTGGACCCAGTGGACCACAAATAGAACTCTGCTTGTGTAGCGGGGCTTGCTTTGCATCTCCTTCCCATCCCACCCTTTTGCATCCACTTAAAACACTACTTTTGAGGAGGCTGCAGCAGCACAGGGAAGTGGCCAGGGCTCACATAGGCTGTGTTCCATAAGCAGAAAGTGCCTTTCTGTCGGCAGAAGACATGTTTGAATTAAAGTCACTGACTTCCAAACTATCTTTAAAAGCACCTTCTCTCCTAAACTGGACTCCAACTGCAATTGTTAGCGTAACAATTCATTATCAGATTTCGAAGAACCAAATTGCTGTCCATTTTTTAAAATAAGCAGTTATACCTCTTTGTCTTATCCAACTGATCATGTAGATAGAAGATACATGGTTTTCGATATGCTGCTTTTTATTTTACTAGACCCCCTTCTAGGTGACCAAGGCTTCTATCAGAGTACTACTCTGAGGACAAGGAGAGTGCAGTAAATAAGATAATACTGATTCAGACTGCCAGCCCATTTTTATAATATCTGATAACTTTCCTCCACAGAGCCCAATGAAAACCTTAATAAATTTAATGCTGTATATTTGTGTTGATAGACTGACTTCAGGGAACAAAATGTACTTATTGGCTTGTATGTCATTACTTTTTCTTCAGCATTGTCACACTGATTGATGCAGGACTGCACAAGCTGGTTGCTCTTCTGGATCAGTCTTTAATATGTGACTCAGTCACTGCCATTGCTTAATCTGTCAAAGCCTGCTGGTGTAATATGTGTCCTTTCATTACCCCCCCTCCTATACCTGTAGTCATACAAATGAAAACATCACAGTGAATCAATATTCTCATTTGATTGTCAGCCACAGCAGTTGTTTCTAGGTGTTAATTCACAAACCAACTTTTGCACCTGCTGTTTTTTTCCTGTGGATATCCTAAGAATGATTCATTCGATCTCTACCAGTAGTATAATATATATTGTTGTGATTTTACTGTGTGCACGCTATGAATGAACTTGTTTTATTGGGCCACAGGCACAGCCCTATCTTAAGGATGGCGTAGGGAGTAGTTTATAGTTAGAAAATTGTTCAACAGACTGATTTGAAGCTTGGCAGGGAAAGTGTGTTTCAGGAAAGGTAAAGGGACCCCTGACCATTAGGTCCAGTCGCAGACGACTCTGGGGTTGCAGCGCTCATCTCGCTTGACTGGCCGAGGGAGCCGGCGTACAACTTCCGGGTCATGTGGCCAGCATGACTAAGCCGCTCCTGGTGAACCAGAGCAGTACACGGAAACGCTGTTTACCTTCCTGCTGGAGCGGTACCTATTTATCTACTTGCACTGCATGCTTTTGAACTGCTAGGTTGGCAGGAGCTGGGACTGAACAACGGGAGCTCACCCTGTCACGGGGATTCAAACTGCCAACCTTCTGATCGGCAAGCCTTAGGCTCTGTGGTTTAACCTACAACGCCACCCGTGTCCCAAGTTTCAGGATAGTCTGTGGCAAATTTGGGGTATAAAACATAAGAAATGGCACACGTTCAGGGTGAGCCTTATGTGAGAGAAGGTTAAATGGAGGGGAGTTGCATGAAAAACTGTAAATCAATTTTCCATCATCTGGCCAGTTTGGGCCAGTAATTATAACATCAGTACTTCTGATTTCAATGGGAAAACAGTCATGGGCATAGCCAAGGGGGGCAGGGGGCAGCTGTTCCTCCTTCCCCCCACGGTAGATCAAGTAAAACAATAGAAATAATTAACAAACTGACCAATCACATAGGTTTTATGCCTCCTAATAAAAGTCCTGCCCCCCCAAACAAAAATCCTGACTACACCCATGAAAACAGTTAGATCTGGTTCCCAAGTTCAGTCTTTCCCCTCACCTTACATTTGCAAGACAGAGAGATCACAGTAGTATGTACATTACAGTTGGAGGATGGATGGCGGCTAACGGATTGAGGTTGAGTCCTGACAAGACAGAAGTACTGTTCTTGGGAGACAGGGGGCAGGCTGGTGTGGAGGACTCCCAGATCCTGAATGGGGTAACTGTGCCCCTGAAGGACAGGTGCGCAGCCTGAGAGTCATTTTGGACTCACAGCTGTCCATGGAGGCGCAGGTTAATTCTTTGTCCAGGGCAGATGTCCACCAGCTCCATCTGGTACGCAGGTTGAGACCCTACCTGCCCACAGACTGTTTTGCCAGAGTGGTGCATGCTCTAGTTATCTCCCAATTGGACTACTGCAATGCACTCTACGTGGGGCTACCTTTGAAGGGGACTCGGAAACTGCAATTAATCCAGAATTCATCCCCTTTGAAAATCTCTCAGATAGTTCCTTAAGTAATATGATCAATCACCTTACCTACATGATGAAACAAGAGGTATGAATCTTAACTGTCATTTACTGTGATACTACTGTAACTAGGATGTGGGAATAATTTATAAAGATAATTGTTCTTTGAATATGCTTATATTTTTATTGTTTGATAGTGCTTCCCCCTTTTTTCTGACATCAGAAAGTACAGTGAGGTTATAGATTCAGTTTTTATGTTGGACTTTCTGTATTCAGAGTTTTTGTCTGCAGTAAAATGGCTAATTTGCCTGTATCTTTTAAACATTCTGTAGGTTACTGAGACCTAGCTATATTAATGCCTGGGGTATGGATCATTTTCCTTCTTTTTAATGGAACAAAGCACCAAAGCCTATACAGTATTTTAGGGGGGGGGGGGCTTCATGTACTTACAATTTTTGCTCTGTTATATTGTGTCTTTATCTTTCCTTTTCCCACTGCAGTAGTTTGTGTTGATTTAAGCAGCGTCTGTCGTGCCCAGCGGAAGGATGAGCAATACGTGCTACATACTCTATATTGCTTTATTTACAGTTCAAAGCTGGTATATTACAGAAAGACATCTTGCCTCTGCAGGAGCAGAAAATGCATCCTCTCTCCTCAACAGCTCGGAGAGAATCACACAGTGAAAAACAGGAAACCAGTGTACGTCACATCCAGTCTCCCTTTCCCGTGAGAAACTCCAACAGTACAGACTGTGGAATGTAAAACAATGTCTTGTGACTGCAGTTGCTGCTCAGTGAGGAAAGCAGAAACCAACTTCCTCCCCCTTTCTGTGAACATCACTGGGCAGCGTGTTCGTACAATATCAGTACAAACCCAACTTCTGCACATAGGTACAGTGTTGATCCCTTGATACAATCTTGGACAATACATCAGCAGGAATTTCATTACCTGGCATATAGGACACCGTTACGAGTCCCTTCTGAATACATTCCCTAGCATGCTGCAACTTTAATTGCAAGTGCTTTGTGCTTTGCTTACAACCTTCAGACTTCAGCAAAGCCAAACATGCTTTGTTGTCCTGGTAAACCTGGATTGGACATTTGACAGGAATTTTCATATCTTTGCACAATTGTACTAACCATTCACAATCCTTAAGTGAATAAGACAGTGCATTCAGTTCGGCTTCACAAGTACTTAAGCTAACTGTTGTTTGCTTCTTGCATGACCAATCAAACAGACTCTGATTGTACATGTAGCAAACTCCAGACGTACTTTTCCTGTCTGTAGCGTCACTTCCAAAACTTGCATCTGCAAATATCTCAAGACCACCAGACTTCTGATTGTTAAATCTCAGTCTGTAATGCATAGTGCCTTTCAAATACCGCGCTATGCGTTTCAGAGCTTTCAATCCTTGACACTAGGAGTGTTGACTTGTCTGCTTAGCAAATTACAGCTAACAGCAATGTCTGGTCTTGAACATCTGGCAATGAAGTTTAGCTTGCCTAGCACACTCCTGTACAGTGTAGTGTCAGAAAATGCTTCTTCAGTGTCATCTACCTGATAACCTGTTGTCATCGGTGTGTCTACAGGGTTAGCATCCATCAGATTTAGTTTGCTTAACACATCAGCAATTTTCCGTGACTGGTGTACTAGAATGTTACCATCTTGATCTCTCTCTATTTCCAGAGATAGGTAGTTGTTTACCTCACCAAGATCTTTCATGTCAAAGTGCTCTTTCAGTTGAGCTAGGGCGTTATTGTACATTGCGACATCTTTCCAAAAGAATAATAAATCATCAACATAAAACAAACAGTACAGTTTCTTTTGCCCCTCCTCTTTGACAAATACACATGGATCAGCTTTCCCTTGCTGAAAACCTAGAGAAAACAATACTTCAGTGAGTTTTGTGTGCCAACACCGTGCACTTTGTTTGAGACCATAAAGGGATTTCTTCAGAGCACAAACAAATCCCTGTTTTACCTGTACGCCATCAGGTGGAAGCATATAAAGTGATTCACCTAGAGATCCGTACAGAAAAGCTGTATTAATATCATGGTGACTAATGTGTAGATTTTCCTCTGCAGCTAGCTTGAGCATAAGCCTAATGCTTTCATATCTCACTGTGGGTGAATAGGTCTCGTGATAGTCTTGACCTGGTACCTGTGCAAAACCTCTGGCTACCAATCTGGCTTTGTGTCTGACTATCTTGCCATTTTGATCTGTCTTCGCTTTGAAGACCCATTTGCTTCCAAGCAGTTTCATTCCTGGAACTACTGGAACTAGCTCCCATGTTTTGTTCCTTTCTAAGGAATCAAGCTCAGCCTTCATGGCATTTAACCATGGCTCAGCTTCCTTTGAATCCAAACCCTGGATTTCTTGGAAACTTGAAGGTTCAAATACCTTCTTGGAGCTTTTAACAGTTGTTACTGCTATCTTAGCAAACTCATCAGCAAATCTCTTTGGAGGTTTGCCTTTTGTGGCTCTCTGTGACCTACGAATTAGCCTTAAGTCTTCAACACTCTCCTCTTCCTTCTTAGGAGAAAAACGACCTATTGTGAACAATGGTTCCTCCAATTCTTGATCAGAGCTTTCAGAGGGTCGCATAGAGGCTTTCGCACTCTTGAAATCCTCTGAATCACCCGATTCAGTTTCAGATTCAGACTCAGAACCTTCATCAGTGGGTGTGGGCTGTTGTGGTTGCTTTTGACTATCCTCAGTCTCATCACCGTCATCAGGATAACATTGGAAAATTCCCACATTCTCCCCCCCACTTTGCATTGTACTCAACACTTCTCGTGAGCTTAATTGTCTTAGAGTCAGTCATCATTATTCTGTAAGACCCTTTCTGATAACCTAGAAAGATTCCATGCAATCCACGCTTGTCTAACTTGGAGTTTTGTGGTGAGCGAACCCACATGTCAGAACCAAAAATCTTCATGTGTTTGATGTATGGCTTCTTGCCAAACATCTTTTCATAGGGGGTACAACCGATCGCTGAAGATAACCTGCGATTGTAACTGTAAACAAAACACGAGAGAGATTCGGCCCAATAACTCTCTGGAAGATTGGCATCATGCAGCAAGGTCTTTAACCCTTGAAGCAATGTCTGATTTGCCCGTTCCGCAAGTCCATTCTGCCATGGCGAGCGAGGACTAGACAAATCGTGTTGAATTCCTTTCTCAGTCAGAAAAGCTTCAAACTGCTGAGAAGTGAATTCCCCCGCGATCACTGAAAAGAGTCTTTATCTTCTTACCATGCACATTTTCCAACCAAGCACAGAATTCCTTGAACCTAGGAAAAGCCTCCGATTTCTGCTTGAGATTGTACACAAAAATATATCTAGAAAATGCATCAATGAGAACCATGAAGTATCTATTTCCACCCAAAGAGGGCGATAGTGGTCCAACCAAATCAGCATGAACAACCTGGTATGGTTCTGTAGCTTTCCTACTAGACACCTTACCTTTCGCAGCCATTTTCACCTTGTTTGCTGCGCATGCTTTGCACTTCATGTGGTACTTGCAGGGTTTAATAGTCATACCTTCAACCAAGGCAGGCATTTTAGATACTGCCTCAAAATGCAAATGACCAAATTTGCGATGAAAATCGTGAATACATTCTGCATGCAAACTTTTGTTAGAACCTGCAATGCAACAAGTGTCATCCTGCACCACATCATCATAATACAAAACAAACAAACGATCAACATATTCTGCATGCAATACATAATCATTTTTCTTTGTGATGATACACTTCTTGTTCTTGAAGGAAACGTCAATGTTCCGCTCATTCAGCTGTCCAACGCTGAGCAGATTATGTTTGGCGTCTGGCACGTAAAGCACATTCTGTATCGATAAGTCCAAACTGTGAAGAACAACAGTTCCGTAGCCTTTACTGGGAATAGTGTGGTCATCCGCCTGGTGAATCGCACCTTCCTGCGGTGTAAAAGACACAAACAGTTTCTTATCGTTGCACATGTGGTGGGTGGCCGCTGAATCAACAACGAAGAAAGATCTAGACGTCTTCTGGACCTCTGCAACCTTTGGAGTGAAGCGTGAAACCATAGCCTTGTGCTGCGTTGTCCTAGACACCGGACCTTTGCCTTTGCCTCGGCCTTTTCCGCGCGATGAGCTTTCGCTGCGCTGCTCTGTCTTGGCCCTGGGATGTCTGCATTCCCTCTTCATATGGCCTAGACGTCCACACGAGTAGCATTTCACTGCCTGCAAAGCTTTGGCGCCATCTGGTGGTTCCACTGCACTATGGGATGACGTCTGTGAAGACTCCCCCCTTGCCCATGCAGCTAGCACCCCGGCGATCTGCTTCATTTAAAATCACGGCAGTAACAAAGTCCACTGTCAGCTGAGCAGTTGGTTGCACAGCAATCTGGGTTGCAACAGACTCCCAACCTGAACCCAAAGATTGTAGTATCATGAAAGAATACACAGCCTCTGGAAAGTTGAGTCCTCTCTGTTGCAGCTCATGTCTCAGATTTTGCATCTCCATCAAATGTAAACGTACATCTCCACCTTCAGCAAGAGCCATATTATGCAGCTTGTTAAAATAAAACATAGTGGATCCAGCTTCTGTCCTTAAGTGAGCCTCTCTCAGAGCGTCCCAAATTTCTCTGGCTGAGGTCTTATCACGCAATAGACAGAGCTCTTCTGGGGATACTATCAATGTAAGAGTTCCCCTTGCTTTGGAATCCTTAGCTTCCCATGCATCTGTAACTGGAACTGGGGGTTCCTGTAATCACCTCAAACAAACCCTCTTTCCGCAGAATTGCCTCTGCATACTGAACCCAGTCGCTGTAATTTTTCTTGTTGAGCTTAGGAATCCCACAAGCATCCTGAAGGGCCATCATGACTCTGGCATTAGCCTTCAGCGTCATATGCTGCTTTAAATCTTGCTGCGTCACTGCTGCAGCTGCTTTATCACAAAGGCACACTTAAAAGTTAATTTCGATTTCCCCAGCATAGTGACTTGTGCCTGGGAGCCTTTTGCCTATTCCCGGCAAAACCGGCTTTAAAAGTTCAAAGTCCAGCCATAAAGCCATTAACTTGAAGCTGGCAGGCTGCCCGGAGCAGTAGCACATACCTCATCAATCACTTCTACGCGCAGAGCAGATTCCGTTCCGATCTGTTCCTCTGCATTCCGATCCTTTGCCGGCACTCCGATTCGACCTCTGGAGTCCATAACCACGTGTTGATTTAAGCAGCGTCTGTCGTGCCCAGCGGAAGGATGAGCAATACGTGCTACATACTCTATATTGCTTTATTTACAGTTCAAAGCTGGTATATTACAGAAAGACATCTTGCCTCTGCAGGAGCAGAAAATGCATCCTCTCTCCTCAACAGCTCGGAGAGAATCACACAGTGAAAAACAGGAAACCAGTGTACGTCACATCCAGTCTCCCTTTCCCGTGAGAAACTCCAACAGTACAGACTGTGGAATGTAAAACAATGTCTTGTGACTGCAGTTGCTGCTCAGTGAGGGAAATCAGAAACCAACAGTTTGGACATTATTTTTTAAATCATAGCAATTTTTCTATTCATACCTACATTCTGATTGAGATACCACTTGCCACATGCTGTTTTGAATCTAAATCTGTTGTCATGAGATTCCATTTCCCTATTCTTTCAAACATGTAGCTACATGAATAAAGGAATAAAGCAGAAATTCTTATTCTAGATATTAAATTCTCTCAAGCTTATGGTCATAGAGTTCTATCCAGATTTACAACTCAGTCCTAACTCCTAATTCTGAAAGTCTGTTCAGAATTAAATTCAGTGGGGCTTGCTCCCAGGTTAGTGTGGTTAGGATTGTCTGAACAAAACCTTTATTACTTGTTCACTCTCTGCTCCAAATAAAAACATTTCTATTCATTTGTTTTGCTGCTACCCACCGCCCCTCATTCTGTCACCATGTATCTGTAGCACTTTAATATTCAGCTAACATTCTATTACCTAACTATTTTTGCCATGTAAACTCTGCTGTGCTGAAAGTTTGGTTTCCCCCCCGCCCCACCCTAAACTTTAGGTTTCATCTCCAGTGGCTGGAAAACTGAATGGAAGTCATATAGACATGCTGGGTTGAAACCAGGTAAGCAGATGAAGGGAAATGAAAGGGCTGGGAAGCAGAGGGTTTAAACAAATTGGTTTACCTATATTCAGTACGTCACAGACATAAAAGTAATTATAGTATGTATAGAAAATATGGGACAGTGCATGAAAGCTTCTTTCAGTTCCAACTCAGTGATCCCAGGGATTCCATATCAATCTGTGATATGGAAGCTGTATTAGTGAACTAGAATATTCTATAAGAAGGCTTGGATCCGCCATGCAGTTCTCACCATTTTCACCATGATGCTGCCATCCCTCTTTTTGTGTTTTAAATTTTAAATCTGCATTGTTCATTGTAAGATTTTGCATTGTAAAAATCCTATGGGGAACTGTTCATACTAAGAGCTTTCTATGCATAGCAGTCTACACATCGCCGACCACACTGCATCGTGCCTTAATACAGTGGTACCTCGGGTTACATATGCTTCAGGTTACATACACTTCAGGTTACCGACTCTGCTAACCCAGAAATAGTACCTCGGGTTAAGAACTTTGCTGCAGGATGAGAACAGAAATCATGCGGCAGTGGCACAGCAGCAGCGGGAGGCCCCATTAGCTAAAGTGGTACTTCAGGTTAAGAACAGTTTCAGGTTAAGAATGGACCTCTGGAACGAATTAAGTGTGTAACCAGAGGTACCACTGTACAGATTATTTAAACATGCTCAGGATAGAGAAGTTCCCCTGCTGCCGTGATGATTGAAATTTTTTTGGGACTATCCTAAAGTTATATATTAGAGTGCATAATAAAGCAGGATAATCAAAAACATCACATTTGCTCAGAAAATTCTTAGTTTGCAGCCTTTTAAAAACACAACAGTATTTCAGGTCAGTAGAAAAACGGGCTGTTATCTATTACATAGTTTCAGCGAGTTGGAAGGTTGGCATTGCTGCCTTTCAGCTGGATAGTGCTGGGGTGGGGGCAGGGCTTCAGTAAGGTCAGAGCTGTGTGGTGCACCTACAGAGCTAATCCAGTACTCCCACCAGCAGGTTTGCATAGCTCTGACCTCACCACTGTCATGCCCTAGTAGGTGCTGCAGCGATGTTAGTGTTGGGGATGCGGGGGCACCCTTGTTCCTCCTACCCCTGTTCCCAATGTAGATGGTTATTTTCCCCCTCCCCTTGTTTCTTATATAGATCTTCACTCACCTTTCCCCCCTGGTGTGGGGAACCACTTTTTTGTGGTTTGCCTCAGGTGCCAAGATGACTTGGGCCATTCCTGGTATCTACACATGATACGGTAGTCTTGCTGAAGCTAAACAGTGAACAGGCGTGAGACTGAGAACCTCAAGGATGCTGCCTTGAGTCCCTGCATTGTCTTTTACGTGATTGAGCTCTCTGAAACTAGCATTCCAATTTTGAAACCAGTATTTCATTTTTGATAGCAACACAGCACATTCAAATGCATAATCTGAGCATAATATGTGTTCCCCCCCACATGCAATTGTTATATGATCCTCTATATACTATCCATCCATGTGCTCTTCACATTTTTTTCTACAGTGTTTTTGAAACTGTTGATATTAACCCCTGATACAGTGACGAGGATTCAAGGAATGAATGACAAGCCCCTCTCCATCTCTGATGGATGCCAAATAAGTGGTTGCCAATAAGCCCAAACTACTACAAGGCATGCACCTGGTAGTATGGTAATCCATTCAAGTACGGATTAATCTGCATAATCAAATAACTATTGTTACCATTTTAAATGCATTGAGGCTGATGAAAGCAGGATAGATTCTGTCACTGGTGTTCATCAATCTAAGGAGTTTTACTTCTACTGACATTAATTTTGGCTGCTCTTATTCCAGTGAAGTTTATGAACAAATGTGCTTAAAGAAGAAAGGATCTCCAAACAAGTCCATCAACTACAAGAGTTTGCCTACTTGTTTAATGGAAATCTTTTTTTTCCTAAAGAGAACAATAGCCTTTTCTTTCACCTGAATTCTGAATCATGGTTAATGAAGTTGCAGAAAAACATGGTTATGCTGATAATTATTCAGAAGTCATACATTCATTTATTTTCGTTTTATAAGAAACTTAAAACACCTGGTCCCAACATCAACAAAATGTTTTGCAATGCATAAAAAGTAAACATAGAACTTTGCACCCTTTTTTGCAGGTTAACATCTTTCTCAAGAGTGAGTGGCACGTGAAGGTCTGGTTAAAACAGTTTCCTCAGTTGTCCCTTGGTCCCTTGCCAGCAAAAAATCAGAGGCCAATCAAAATGCACTTTCAGGTTTTTTTCAGTTTTTCAGAGCTTTCATTTGCTGTTTTACACTACTATTGAATGGAAACCTGACCGAGATTAAAAGCTGAAATATGCTGACTGCTAACTGTTCAAAAATCAGCTCCCCATTCTTTGCTTTCTAATAAAAAAGGACAGAGGAGGAAGTCAAGAGACACCCTCCGTATCATTCAATGATCATTTCCACTAACAGCAAACCAGAATGACTTTGTTGGGAGAGTTACTAAGTTAGAGAATGTGATTAAATATATGAGTGGATGATGAAGGGGTGCATCACTGATTTCACTCCTTTAGGAGAATCACACTGCAGGATATCAAAAGGCTGCCCTTGGGAAGAATGGTGGGGTATACATTTACCATATTAGTATTTGCCACAAATCAAAAATCTCTCAGCCTCTAAGAGTTCAGCAAGAAATTTTGGTTCAGCTTCCTGCTATTAGTTGCTGACCATTTTATGTATTTTTGACAGCCATTCTTTCCAGTGACTGTACTGTAATGAGAACCTTGCAGAAGCAGCAATGTTGGACTGTTATTAATTTATTTGCTGACAAGTTATATATCTGAAAGTGCGTTTATACTACTTCTCATATAACTAATAGGAAGCAATGGATCAGGCACTTTCCCTAAACAGTCCAAAGCACATATACAGTGTGCAGTATTTGGATTACAATTTATGGTTTTGTAGTGCAGGGGGTAGCCATTGCAGTGCCTTCCAGATGTTTTAGACTAAAGCCCCTATTCTTCCCAGCCAGCATAGCTGATGGTCAGGGATGATGGGAGCTGTAGTTCAGCAATGTTTGCAGGGGACTACATTGCCTGTCCTTGTAGAGCAGACTGGTGGGCAACAAGGGGTGTGAGGAGAGGGAAGAAAAGTCCTATTGCACATGCAGAAGTCCTTGCACTAATGGGACTTCATTGGATGCAACCCCATCTGCCCTATAGTTCATATAACTGCCATAATTGAATTTTGTGCCATTACTCCTTTTAACTTTTTCTGAGAGAAGATAATTAGCACATAAAGATGCACATAAAGATATATGCAGATAAATATATATAATATGAATTGTAATTGTTTAAAAGGCCTTTAATGATACAGCACAAGAGATGTGGACCGGAAATCCAGGCGCTTTTGCAAATTTTTGCAGTATAGTTTCTTTGTAATCTTTTTTACCTCAGTCAACTCATCCCTTGCTTCTTATATCTGTCAATATTGTTGGAAAATTTAGCCTGTTGTTGGAACATTTTTTTTTTCATTTACAGATTCACGAAGGCAGGAAGAAAACAACTGACCAACTGATTATTTTCTTCTAACTTTAGTGAAGAGATGTGTGTGATTGACAGAACCACAAACAAGAATTCTACAGAGGCCCAACCTGTTCTAGGACTGGTCTTGGGTAGCATCTCCCTGACCACAGTTGTCATGAATATTTTGGTCCTGTACGCAGTGAGAACAGAAAAGAAACTGCAGACTGTTGGCAATCTTTATATTGTCAGTCTTTCATGTGCTGATGTTATAGTTGGTGCAGCTGTCATGCCACTAAACATTGTGTACTTGCTGAAGGATAAATGGATCTGGAATAGAAATGCTTGCCTGTTTTGGCTGTCAATGGATTATGTTGCTAGCACAGCCTCCATATTCAGTCTCTTCATACTTTGCATAGATCGTTACCGTTCTGTCCAGCAGCCACTAAAATATCTCAGGTACCGGACCAAAACTAGAGCCTCTGTTATGATATCAGTAGCTTGGCTGCTCTCTTGTATGTGGGTCATCCCAATCATTGGCTGGCGTAATTTTTATAAGGACAGCAACACAACTGTTAATGATGGGGCTGATAATGGAAATATATGTGAAACAGATTTTTGCAATATCGTGTGGTTTAAAGTTTTGACAGCCATGATAAACTTTTATGTGCCGTCACTGCTGATGCTTTGGTTCTATGCAAAAATATACAAGGCTGTCCAGCGGCATTATCGGCACCGGGAGCACATAAATGGGTCTTTTATATCATCCTCGGAAAAATCAGGTATGTACAGTGGAAGGCTGCAAGAAGTGCAAAAGATTTGTTTTGGAAGCGCAAATAAAGATATTGGACACATCTCAAATGAGAACAGCTGTGACCAGAACAAAAGAACAGCAGCCAACTATCCAGCAAGCAGTTTTGTTAACGTCCCAAAGGGTTTTCGTTGCAGTAACCATGAAGTAGTGAAGCTTAGCTGTTTTCCTCTAGCCCTTGCACAGAGTGACATGAAAACAGGCACTGCAGGCATGAGGTATGACTGTGTCAATAAAAGCACTCAGAATACAGAGAGCCTTTGCCTCCAAGACTTAGAGTTAAACAAGACTTTGGATGAGAAGATTTACGCAGAGCAGCCTCCCTGCAGAAATTACTCTGATTACACTCTAGAGGATCATCCTTATATCGAAGGGTGTTTCCCTCAGTATACCAACAAAAAAGACAGCACAAGTCTCCGTCAGTTGAAAAAGACATGGGAGAAGCTACGCAGCCATTCCATGAGTGTTAATCAAGGGTTGCGTATGAACAGAGACAGAAAGGCAGCCAAACAATTGGGATTCATAATGGCGGCATTTATGCTGTGCTGGAGTCCATATTTTGTTTTCTTCATGGTCATGGCCTATTGTGAAAGCTGCTACAATCGGCCAGTTCATATGTTTACTATTTGGCTTGGCTATATAAATTCTACTTTAAATCCATTTATATATCCACTCTGTAATGAGAACTTCAAAAAGGCTTTCAAGAAGATATTTCATATGAAACCCTAACTTCTTTTTTGGAATATTCCAGAGTGGACTGAGGCAGGGGATCCTCAGTATCATGGTGGAAGGAAAAATTAACTTTCTGGTACTATAAAGAATAATTGCAAATGCAGCGAATTCTTTTAGAACATCCTTGGGAACTGAAGAAATTGAAAAGAGTGAAAAATGAAAAGGAGAGGTTTGGACAATTTAAGTAAAATATTGTGCTTTATTAATTAAACACTCCCAAGTTTCAGCCTCAGGATTGTTTTTATTTTGAAAATATTTTCACTGTATTTTTATTTTCCAGTTCTATTCTTTGTAACAAAACTGAGACAAAATTAAGTATGTTAGCACTTAACCTAGTTTCTAAAGCTGAAACAGATGTGTCTTCACTTCAGTGGTCAGTTTGCTATTGTCACTTGTCTCTTAATATTATTATATGCTCCCTGATTCCCAGAGCAATGAGAATGATTTGATGGATATAGCAATCAGTTTTACCGCACACAATATTGGTTGTAACATGTTTCAAATACTTAGTGGTTGGTATACCTGCCTCTGTTGAACTGCAGATTGTAAACTCCTTGGGGCTGAGACTTGTCCTTCTACACTTGATAAAGCACCGTGCACACTGCTGGTGTGTGTGAGAGAGAAAGAGAGGGAGGGAGATACATACGCACACTCTCACACTCACATACAGGTCAATGTCAAGCATTCACAATGTAGTTCTCACAGTAAATCAGTGTCACTTGCCCAGAAACTATCTAATAGCTAACTACAATTGATACATCGCTGCCTTCTCTCTTCAGCTCTCTGTAAACATCACTTTTTATAAATATCAGAGCAGCATTCCATAAAACACCAGCTGCAAAGGAAAATCATTGGAGTCTTATTAAAGAAATTAGACAGCAATGCTTCTGAATGCCAGTTTCTGGAAACCACAAAAGGCAAGAGTGCTCTTGTGCTTGGTTTCTGCTTGCAGGTTTCCCACATTCATCTGTTTGGCCACGAGAACAGGACAGTGGCAGACTTGGGTATTATGGCACCCTGTGTCAGGCCAGCATCCCCCCACCCCCGGCCTCACACTGCCAGGAAATTACTAATTAGGCTTTGGGAAGGAGTACTGGGTAGATTTACAGACTCTTGCATGATGGAAATATATGGAAGCATTCCATGAAATTTGCTGCAGTGGTACAACTAAAAGAATTTTTAAAATGTCTAGTTCCACCTCAAGCAGTTGTTTGAAATGTAAAGGCAAATATACTGACTTTTTAATATATTTAAAATTGTGTAAAGGTATTTCAAGTATTGCAACTTCTTGAATGTTATTGAAGAAATTATGAGAGATGTGCCTGTTTACATTATATTATTAAATGATTTGAGAAACTGTGTGAAAAGGAAACATAGGACTTAAGTGGACAGTTAGTTAGCAGGTGCAAATCATCCTTGTGAAGAACTGGAAAAGTAATAGGAAACAATAAACTGCTGAATGGTTTAGGAAAGTATGAACGAATTGATCATGTGCAAACAGCTCTTACCAAGGTCCTTCTGAGTAGTAATAGACCTGTGACTAACTTTTTGGAAGGGTAGGAAAAAGTTAGTAAGACTGGACTGAAAATCAGAGAAAACACAAGTGAAACCATGTACGTAAAGAACTATGTTTGTTTTATAGACCACAGGAATAAATGGTTTGTCTTCTGTATATTTTAATATATTAATGTGAGATTGTAAATGGTTTTAATGTTGAACTCCTTAAAATAATTAAAAGTAGCTAGCAAATGTTCTTGAACTATTGTTTCAAAACAGTATTTTACTGTGCATCCAAACACCCAGCAAGAGCAACTCCCCCTCAACTTGCATCTAATGTGGTGAAACACTTCATTCCTGATATGCAAACCTCTCAGCTCCCTAATTATGATTTAAATATAGGGCCACAGAACTAGAGCATAGCTGTCAACTTAGATTTGAAAATAAGGGACCAGCAGCCTCGAAAATAAGGGATCAGCAGCCAAAATAAGGGATTTTAGTCAACCAGCTGAAATGCGAAGTTAAAAGGGACCAGATAATTTGGGAGAGCAGCGCCGGTTTTTAGCCCTTCGTTTCCAGAGGTTGCTGCTCAAGACACCAGCTGATGAAACACTGCAATTAAATAACTACAAGCAGCAACCACTTTTCGCGCAAAACGAAGTCCAAGCTACAAAGATGCTGCTGCAGTTCTGTATCTTTTCTCTCGTGCTCCACCTGCAGCTCTCAGTTCCATCAGGCGGGGCGGGGGGGGGGAATAGCGCCCGAAGTAAACCCGCAGATCAGACCATCTGTGCTAGTCTACCACTACAAATCTATGGGAGAAGCGCTTGCGGTCCTTCCTCCGCTTTCCCCCTCTATGGTTAGCCCTTGGAACACCTGCCCACGCCTCCGCCGCCTCCTCCTCTCTCTGAACTGCTTTCTCTATGGTTGCCCTCGCTCTCCTCTCAAGGCTCCTCAGCAATTCATAGGCCGCGCCAGGCTGCCCATCTCATTCGGGTCCTTCAGTGGCGCAGCCTAGCGGGAGGGGCGACGGGCAGAGGGGAGGCCCCAGGCAGAGACGCTCAGTTCGGTGGCCGTGAGGAGGATGGCGGCGGAAGGGCCCGAGGCTCCCGCCAGTCCCGAAGCTGGTGAGAGGAGGCCGGAGGGGGACGGGGCGGGCAGCCAAGCAACACAGCTGGAGCCTCCCACCTCCCTGGCCTGCAGGGAGGGAGATAGAGGAGCTGCTTCCTTTGAAACCCGGGAAATTTATGGGACATCATCAATCCGGGACAGCAGCGGGACACGACACTGGGATAAGGGAGTTTCCCGCCAAGTAAGGGACGGTTGACAGCTATGAACTAGAGGGTGCTTTTATCTCAAAGGATTATTCCTTGATGTTATGAATTAGCATCAGTTCTTTTTCAGGAAGACTCTTACTTCGCCTATGGTGACATCTGGCTAAATCTTTTTGATGAAGCCTATTCTTATTCTTCTTTTCTGAATGCTTTCCGCAATCCTGTAATATGGCAAGATTCAAGAAATAAAAAATCTTTTCACCTGTGCTGCTTCACTCATACAAAATGTTGTATATTGCCTCCTAACTCTCATTTCTGAGGTTACAATGATATATTTAATTAGGAAAGCACATCAAACAACATTTCAGAGACTGCTATCATATTCATAAACTAATTGGCAGGACCCACTACTGCAAGCCTAGGAGCAAATTCATTCTATGTTTCCATTAAATGCACTAAAACACTGTTTGCTGTCACTTTTCCTGGGAAATGCAAGTTCCTAAATTGTACAAGTTCACACAGGTAAAGTATTTTGAAAAATAAGGTTAAATGCACAGATTTATTTGAATCCAGGTACGTAGTATGCTGTGCCATTGGCAGCTGTGTGCCCCAGGACTGCAGGGAAACAAGAAGAGCATGTTCCCCCTTCAACTCTGCTATGCATTTTTTAAATATCTGGCCTTAGGAAGGCCAGTGTAAAATGAAAGCTCACTTATGCCATACACATTGTAAACACTGATTGGTTCTAATGAAGGTATTGGGTTATTGTCCCCGTGATTTCCCAAACCCTCGTCCCTAGCTAGACCATAACTTCTGTTATGTTTCCAAAATAAGCAATCTAAACATGGTATCTAGTGAACTTTTTTGAGATAAATGACTAAACGGAATTTTTTCCGCTCCCCAAAGCCTGGGGATTTAATGTTTTTGTAAGATAAGGATGTAGCAAGTACATCTGTCTTCTGAGTGCTTTCCATTTTCAAAGCTGGATAGCATGCTGACTGCTATTTTAAAAATGTCGCTTTTCAGTGTGAAGTAATCTGATAAAGTGTCAAGGAAAAGTTAAGCCGTAAATGCAAAGGGGCTTCTATCTGTATTTGAATTACTGTATTTGAACTGTGACTCCAAAAGCTCCACCAGCATACAGAAGTCTCTGACAGTTTGCTAAAACCGTAGAACCAAAACATTGAATAAAGCTGACATTATTAAACAGGATACCTAGTATTTATGTACCATACATCTAAATCCCACCTTTCCTTGCAGTACCTCAGGTATGAGATGCTACTAACATCTTTGTGGGCTTAGCTAGTCTCGCAATACTTGCCCCAACCCACCACCGTGCACAATTTATTCCTTCTAGTATGAAACACAATCCCTTGAGGCACAGGTAGGAAAATGCGATATTGTAGAGCTTTGTTTTTGTTAAACAACAAGCTAAAACAGTCTTATCTTATTTGGCATTTAGGTGGGCACAGAGATATACTACGTGTTTCATGACATGGCACTAGCTAGGCCATATTGTGCGAAGCACACTAACCAGGGGTGGGCAGAAGGTGGATCAGGGTCTACTACCAAATCCTGATCATCAAGAGTTTGTGACTCTCAGTGGTTTAACAATATAAACAAAATAAAGATTTCCCCCCACCTCCTAATTAGGCTGCTGAAATTTAGAAAGCATGGGAAAACAGGAATAGAAAGGATTTATGTCTGAGAGCGCCTGTTTTGCTACTAAACACACCTTCCTGGGCTTAGCATGTGCTTAGAGGGAAAGCTGTCCTGCAATTGTGTCTGCCTTTCTGAGCCACTATTTTACACCTGGATTCAGCTGGTGGACCTGAGGTTGTAGATCTTACAGGGAAGTCTGTTTACCTCTGCACTAGAGTATGTTCCAAGCAAATGCCTCTACAGCTTCATTCTCTTCAAACGTAACATTTTCCTTTGTCAGCAGCCACAGTCTCATCCAAAGGTCTTAAAAGCCAATTGTTTCAAAAAGAAAATAGGAAGAAAGCAAACAGATGAATGCTTTCACCCAGACACTAAGCTACTGCCATATGGTAGAGATCAAATGTCTGGATTCTTAGAGAAAGGCTGGAGTGTATTTTTAAAATGTGGACACTCAAGCAACACATGTATGTGACGCACTCAGAGTTGGAATGACATTCAGGAGTGAAACCACCTGCACCATCTGTTTCAAAGAGAAGAAGAGATCTGTGGTCCATTATGCCATGGGAGCCAAGAGAGTAGCACTGCTCGCATTTGCAACTGTTTGTTGAAAGGGCTATATGAATGCTTCTAACGCATGGGTAGTACAAATGTAGGGACGGTAACATTCAGCTTCTAAACAATCCAACATTTAAACGGGACAAAACTCAGGTACTGATGAGAACCTGTGTCACATATTGTTGCAGATGTCACAGTAGGCACAACCTGGCAGGCACCTGTGACCCATCAGCAGCCATGATTGACATGGTTATGGAATGCGAAGTAGGGCAGGGGTTCATCACCATCCCAGCAAACAGAGCTCCATGAAGCAAGGTGAAGCGCAGCTTTTGTTAAGTAAATAGCAGCTGCAAGGAAGGGCGGGGGCGGGGGCAATAACCAACTTTCTCTCCCTGTCAACATCCTGACAAAAGTCTCCTCAGAAGTTCCTTTCACTTCAAGGGGAGCCTCCCCTGACCCCAATGAGAGATTTCCTTCCAGTGCAGCTTCTCAGAAAATATTTTTTTGGGGGGGGGACATCTATCACAGTCCTATGGTCAAATTCTTCGTACTGGGATCCCACGGGTGATTTACTTGTATTGTCAAATACAAGTGCGTCGTGTCTTCTCCTTTTTGTGGTCTGGAGGATGCCTATTCCCAGTTCCCACGGCGTCGTTTCTGCCCGAGCTGGTGTGTGTCTGCTTATAAAAACCCTGAGTGGAAGAACGCGGGTGGTTTGCTGAGCTTTCGGGGTTGCGTTACTCCGAATTTGTCTTTGGGTCACTTAGAAACCCGCAAGGTGGTTGTTGTGGTAAATGGAGGCACAGACTACAATCACACGAAAAAAAGGAAAAAACACTTTCGGAGGAACCGCCCGACAGAAATCCCCAGCGCGCTTCTGGCTGCGGCGCCAGCAAAACCTTCCCGCAGGTGGAAGGCAGCAGGCGAACGCCCTGCGGAGGTAACTGGTGGCTATGCAAGCTGCAGCCACTGCTTGACAAACCTTCCGAAGGGGAGGCTAACGTGAAGCCGAGCTCGACTATACACAGGAGTGAGAGGCGCCTCGGCTTGAAAAAGCCGCGCAGCGCCCTCCCCCGCCTCCTTACTGGTATACGCGTGAGCGTTGTAATTTTGGGAAGCTCCTCTCTTCCCTCTCTATATCAGCCGCCCTCAAGCGGCGGCTTCCAAACGGAACCGGAAGTGGGGGGAGGAACGTGACTAGCCTTCGGTTGCCCTATCTCTATGTTTTTCTGCACTGACGGCCGCCCCGCGTTCATAGAGATAAAGAAAGCTCCCTCGCGGCCTTTCCGCTTCAAAGGTTCTAAACTTCCGTGGCCCTGCGCGCATGTCACGAGGCGGGACGAAGATGGCGGCGCTCTGCGGCGACGACGGCGGCTTCCGGTGTCCGGCGATCCGTTGAATGGGCGAAGCGAGGAAGTTAGTTCCGGAGGAAGGCTGCTCCCGCGGTTGAGAAGTTAGCCCTGTTTCTTGGCTTGCGCAGCTCTCGAACCCTGTGCTGTTCACTCTTGCGCGGTGAGTTCCAGAGACGTCGCTGAAGCAGCAGCAGAATGACGAGCGAGGGTAACGAAACGCGGAACCCGGCGGAAGGTGGACCCCCCAAACTGCAGTTTGTCCCCTTCAGCAGCGCCTTGGATGCTGGCTTTTGGCATGAGCTGACCCAGAAGAAGCTCAATGAGTACAAGCTCGACGAGACCCCCAAGGCGATCAGAGGCTATTACTATAATGGCAAGTACACTGTGGGCCATTTCTCTTCTCCGGGGGTGGGTGGGGGGATTGTTGACCCCAGTAATAGTGGTTCATGCTGCTGGATCACGCCCTGCGCAGGTTAAAGGCAGATTCTCACGATGCCGAGGACGTGTATGCTGGCAAAATGAAGCAGTTATAGCATTACTTCATTACGCGAAGTGTAACCTGCTCCTCCTGCGCATGTTTACTCGACGGTAAGCGCCGCTCTCGAATTCCGCGGCATAGGATATTGTAGCCAACCCCACACATTTCATTCGGAGTAAGACCCACTGAACTGAGCGGCAGTTAACTTTTGAGCCAAACGTGCATAGGATCTCGGGGTTTTCAGTTGATGCGGGTGCTTTGTGGCCCCCCTGCAGAGGCTTCAACGTCAGTGTCCATGTCACTGAAAATATGTACTCATTTATATTTGTATACCGTTTAATCACCAAGACTTCTAAGCAGTTTATATAAAGCAGTATAAAATATACATCAAAATACTGGTAACATCAAATGTTAAAAACAAGCTCCCCTATGTTTCCCCCAAAATACAGTGGTACCTCGGTTTAAGAACAGCCCTGTTTACGAACTATTCGGTTTATGAACTCTGCAGAACCGGAAGTAGTGTCCCGGTTTGCAAACTTTACCTCGGTCTAAGAATGGAAGCTGAACGGTGGAAGGACACCGGCGGCAGGAGGCCTCATTAGAGAAAGCGCACCTCGGTTTAAGAATGGTTTCGGTTTAAGAACAGAATTCGGGAACGGATTAAGTTCGTAAACCAAGGTACCACTGTATAAGTAAAACCGGCGGTTTGAAAATATACAAAATAAAATGGTATGCTGAAATTCATGCAATAATTAACAAAGTTTTTAGAAGGCACCAGAAGCAATAAACGTGTTTGACTAATATCAATGGGCAGGGAGTTCCAGACTGTAGCGATTGCCACACTGAAAGATCTGTTTCTTGGAAGCATGGAGCAAACATGACGTGGCCCTTGTAAAACTGTCTGTTCTGCAGACTGAAGCAGTCTGTTGGGCATATAGGGAGAGTAAAGCGATCCCTCAAATAAACTGACCCTAAACACTTGAGAACTTATTCTAGCAAAGAAGTGCCATGTCCCTGCACTGCAACAACACAGTCCCAAGTCAAGTCTGTGGAAGTCTTTTTGCACTCAAACTAAAGCCCCTTATGTTTTATCTAAGCTTAGGAGCCTAGCTTGCTCTGGATGACAGGAGTCTGTGGGTACTGATAGACAAATTTATTTCTGTTTCTCCTATCTGGAACAGAGAAATAGGAAGTACTTCATAGTTATTCTCTGTTAACTCCTTTCCTCTTTCTTGAACAGCTGGAGTTTCACTCTTCCTCCATTAATGTGTGAAGGAATCACTGACTGCGTACCACTGCCTCTTCAAATTGAACAGGGAAAAATTACAACCCCAAATTATTTATCTAGGCTATCTACTTTACCTTATAGTGGTGGGTGGGTGAAGGAGGGGGGAAGGAAGCAGAAATACGTCCTTTTCAATCACATTGTCTTTCATACAGTACTTCTTCTGTGAAATGGGGAACCAGTTATGAAACCACCATATGAAGAAAGAATATCTTGTGAGGAAAGCGCATATATACTCCGTCATTAAGCAATCTTATGAGGGAGTATATTAAGATTGTTCCTTGTCTAGCACACAATGTTGCTTCCCTTATGGGAAAAATGTACCATCAGACATATACCCATAGATACAGCCATTCTAAAAAACTTTTTTTTGTTGTTCTTCTAGGAGATCCTGCTGGTATGCCAGCTCGTTTAACGCTGGAATTTAGTGCTTTTGATATGTAAGTAACTTAAATGGTTCCTATGTTATCTTTATTTCTCTACTTTATTTCTCCACTTGCAAGCAGCCACTATGGCTTGACATATGCTTTCATATGTAGCAATATCTGTGCTGTTCTTTTTAGATTTTTTCCATTCTGGATCCTCACAATGCTGACATTGCATTAGAGCTATTCCATTTCTCCCACGCCATCCTACTTTGCCTCCTAGTACCCAAAAAATCAAGACTTCTTTTTTTTTAAAAAGAACTAGAATGGCCCTGCAAAAACGCTTATGTGAGAATGCTTTTTTGCACACCATTCCTCATTTACTGGTTTTAATGACGCTTAGGTGTTGTCTTTTTCACTTTTACTACACCCCATCCTATCATTTGGTAGCATGGTGGGAAAATGTTTCTCAGCACTGGAATTCTGAATGAAATTTTAATATATAAATGTAAAACAAAGGACTGTCAGTACCTTTTCACATGCACATGAAGGTAGAATGAATTTGTGGATAGGAGAGAAAGTGTGACATGACAAGTGTTCCATAAAACTGGGGTCCCTGAATTAAATGCATGGTTCCTGCTAGATACAAGCTGTGCATCCAAGTGATGGGGGATTCAGTGATCATGCAGGGATATAAAGGAACAATCTGGACCCAGATTGTTAAGAGCCCTGTAAACTCAAGCAAGCTCCTTGAACATTGTCAGAGGAGCAGGGGAAGTCACTTCAAATGGTCAGTAGGAAAACAGAAATGTTTGATGAGCAATACTATGTAATGAGTGTGGCATTCTAGAGATAAAGTGATCTATGGATTTTGTGACTTCCAGTAGATTAGCATGAACTTTTAAAAGCCCCATCCCAGCTGTAAAAAGAGGACATGCATCTCTACTTTTGAAAGAGGATCCATGGTCCTATTCCTCTTTTCGACATAGTTTGACAAACCAGGTGGAGATTCTGCAAAACTGAAGAACAGTGCCCATAGGCATAACTGTTTGCATTCTGTTTCTGGTTGGAAATGTGCCTCACTCAGTTTCTGGTTCTTCTCCCATAGCTATATTTTTATGAGACATCTAATCCAACTTCTATTCCTTTTCCCTCTGCGGCTGAGATCCATGCAAATAAATGTTAGATGAGTTTGAAATTGTTCTGGTTTGGATATGCAATGTATATTGATCGGGGTGGGGGAACCTGTGGTCCTCCAGATATTGTGGGACACACAGTTGCCATCAGCTTCAGCCAGTATGGCCAGTGATCAGGGATGATGGGAGTTGTAGTTCAACAGCATCTGAGTGGTCCATGGGTTAGGACCCACCCCTACCACCCACCCCTATGTAGCAGCCTTGCAAAACTGAATAAAATATCCAGTTTTTCATAGTTTATTTCCAGATGTTTGGGGGGGGGGAATGTGCAGAGTACCAATAGCTCTGGTTTGTGTTAACACCATAACAAATACTGGAATATAGTTTTTGTCTTTTTCCTTAGGAATGCCCCAACACCAGCACATTGCTGTCCTGCTATTGGAACATTGTATAACACCAATACTTTGGAAGCATTCAAATCCTGTGATAAGAAGCTTCTTCTTGAGCAAGCTGCAAATAAGGCAAGATAAAAGTGTTACTATTAGAAGCCGCTTTTAAAATAGCATTGAAACTGTGGCAATGGCAAAAAGGACCTATGAAGTTGTGATCCTGTTTTGGGAAGCTATTTACAATGTGATCCTGTACATGCTTATTTTGAAGAGAGTTCCGCTGAGTTCCAGAATACTTACTCTCAAGTTGAGTGTGTGCAGGATTTCATTATTTGTTTCTCAGGCTCACTTCAGGAATGAGATTAAGCAACTTCAATGCCATATATTGCCAGAAAATTGTATGTTGTGTGGTATTGGCTTTGGTGACCTGTTTTGATGCTATCCAAGGAGTAGGAAAATAAAGGCTAAGATGACAAATCTCAACACAGATTTCTTTATTGAGTTTATTGCCCTCTGTCATCCTATATGGCAGATATTATACCATTGGGAAGCAAATACATTAACCAATATACCCACTATTTCAAGGAAGTTTTATTTAAGCATTTAGTGCCTTCCCACTTTCATTGGGCTCAATCAAGGATTGTAGCCTAAGTGATGCAAATGTTATGCCTGTACTGTACTCATAAGATGGTTTAATTCTGAAGTTTTTTTTCTGAAATAACTTTATCATTTGCAGCTTTGTGAGAATGCTGAGAATTCTAATGGCAATATTGGAATGAAACCTTGACTGTTAATGCTGTTTAAATTTGCAGTGTAGGAATGCATCTTCATGTATTTGGCCTTGTAAAGAATGTAGATTACTGTTACACGGTTTTTGAAATACCTTTTATATTTCTAGCATATGCTGTTGGGAGAGATCAGGGGTCTCTCTAGGCCTTTGCATTTGAAATAAATTTCAGATACAGCATGAAAGTGAAAGTTCTCCATGGGAAAAATTCAGATGCACAAAGAAGCAAAGAGAGCAGTCCATAGAATTACATGTGCTCTCCCCATCCAAAATGAATTCTTCTTTCCCTGTTCAGCATTATGTTATGTATGATTATCATTCACCTGCATGCTCAGTCTAAGCTAACATTAGTCCATTTATTTAAGTAAGTCTATTCTGACTTGGTGGCATAAAACATATAAGAAGAGTATATATTAATATTATTGCAATGATGAGACAAATTCTAATACCTTTATTGATTATTATTTTCTTCTTCTTTTCTACTGTTAGATATGGGATGCAATAACATCAGGGACTGCTGTTGAGAATCCTGTCTTACTGAACAGATTTATCCTATTAACATTTGCTGTGAGTAAATGGTGTTTTTTATTTTTAAAAAATTCTAGATGATTCACAGCTAAAAACAAAGCATTTGCCTAATAGTCAACAAAGACTAGCTGATGGGTCATGAATCTAATGTGCCCAGGCTGAAATGTCAGGTTTACACTGCAATCTTCTGTGATTCCTGGAAAGGAACCTTCTGTGTCTGGAAATATCCCTTTCTATCCCTGACATATAGAAAAATGAGAGCAAGTGGTACTTTCTAATTTATTAAGGACCTACTTTTGTACTGTATAAGAGAATGTTGTGCGTCACTGTAAAAGCGATGCCACAGTGAATGTGATGGCTCCTAATTTTGATTTTACAGAATTGGGTTCCTAGAATCCTATTCCTAATTGGCATTTTGTAGCCTATGATGGCCTAAAAGTTTTATATGCTTCCCCTCTGCTATTCTCTCTGTGCATGTCAGTGAAATGTAGTTTATGGCAGTACCCAGTTGTCTGACATTGCATGGGTACAGTGGGAACGCTGTATTATGCATTCGCTAAGTGCCTAATTTGAATAGTAATCATTGGATCAAACAACCCTTTCCAAGCTATTACATTTCGCAGTTATTTCATTATTGTAGTTTTAAAGTGTTCTAACGTGTTTATACAATTTCCTCCTTAGGATTTGAAGAGATATCGTTTCTATTACTGGTTTTGTTACCCTGCACTTTGTCTCCCAGAAGGTATCCCTTTGATTCAGCAGCCTGTGTGCCTAGGTGCAAAGTTCTCAGCTACTCAGGTATTTTTTTAAAAAAAAAAACCCAACAGCACTATTAACCTAAAACTTTTAGGACTTTATCCTTGTCATAATGGTTTATTCATTGTAGCACTAAGTGGGGTATGCGTGTGTGGAACAAGATCTGTTCTTTCAATGGGATTTACCCCCATTCTCTTCCCATGTACCTCCTAAATCTGCTTTGGGTTTCCCTCCAATCCTCCAGAACTGCTTTAGAGGCAGGGAAGGGGCATGCAGAGGGAAGGAGGGAAGTCCCACTGCGTGATCGAACCTTGTTCCCTGCACGCGATGACTTAGTTGAATCCCACCCATTAATTCTTTATTTATGGAACTCCATTCCTGTATGTGGTACTTAAAGGAGAACCTCTGGGTTTCGTAAGGCCACATTCCTTTGTCCCAGGCAATAACCCTCACCAACACTGCTTCATGTCCTTCAGCCCTACTGTTGGGCTGTAACGCATCCTTAAACTGTGAAAATACCTCTTGTTTTCTTGGATGGAAAGTGGAGAGAGGGATGTCCTCTGCCTTCTGTGTGGTTGCGATGTGTAGAACAGGTGACAATATTGTTCCTGAGTGGCTTTGTCATTGTTGTTGAGCACATAGGTGGCCTTGGTACACTAGTGACCTGCGTGTGATGAAATGGATTGGTGGCTAGACCTCAGGTGGCGTGAATCTCAGTCTGAACTAAGTAGCATTTAAGAAACAACGCTGAATTGAGTAAGCCTGTGTTCTGTCTTCATTTTAGATTGAAGCTCTCCAGAATGCATATGATGAACTTTGTCAGAAAGAAGGCCTTACAGCTCTGCCTTTTTTTCTAATCAAGTACCACGACGATTCTGTTCTTGTCTCCTTGCTCAGAAACTGGGATGACTTCTTTTCTGATCACAAGGAGAAGGTAAAACCCACCCTGAACACAGGATTCTCTATTGCAAGTGTCATTTACACCTTTGACTCCATTTACTGGCTTCAGAGAACATGAAAATAATTCCTAGATCCATAAGCTTTTTCTTGATGAGGGTGGGAGAGGAGAGCAGGTTAGTTGGATATCTGAAAGAGGATTTTACGTAGGTTAGTTGGGTGTCAGACTTTTCTAAGTGCTGAAGGTCACTTACTTTACCTTGCTGTGCTCAGATACTTTATGGCTTTTCTTCAGCCTAGCTCTGATACCATAAGTCAGGCATGGCCAAACTTGGCCCTCCCAATGTTTTGGGACTACAACTCCCATCATCCCTAGCTACCAGGACCAGTGGTCAGAGATGATGGGAATTGTAGTCCCCAAACATCTGGAGGGCCAAGTTTGGCCATGCCTGCCATAAGTGAACCAGCTTCTGGGGTAAAATGGCTCAGAACAACTGAATGTTGCAAGATAAGAGAAGAGGCTGGATTTTGCTCCTTTCCCTCTTGCACACTAGGAAGTAGACCTCACTCCCTGCTTTTTAAGTAAAAGGGAAGGCATGTTTAATAACACAGACTCCTCTAGTCATTAGCCAGCTTCATTAATTTAGCCATTTGACTAGGGCAGCTACTCAAGTACCTGCTGCTGGGTAGGGGTTTCACCACACATCAGGTTTCTTCCCTCTCCTGCCAGCAGATCTGCTTTCTTTATCCAAGATGCTACATGTAGAGCTTGTGCGTTCGTTGATGGTACTTGTCTCGCAAGCTGATGAATGTTAAAATGTAAATGGAAAACCGATGTGCTGCAAGGTTACAATTGTATATGTTCAGCTCTGTGTCTCTTGCATATTTACAGTTGTACTGTGGTCAAATAAAATTAGCATACAGTACATATCCGTAGTATTCAGTAAGTGCTAATCCTCTTGTATTAACTGTTAATGGTATCTTTTTTTCTTTGCAGGTGACAATTGGTGTTTACGATCCCTGTAATTTTGCCCAGTATCCTGGTTGGCCACTGAGAAATATCTTGGTCCTGGCAGCACACAGATGGTATTTATTACGATTCCTTAAATGTGGCTTTCCCCATGGCTACAAACCTAAACCCATTTACCTTGAAGCAAGTCCCATAGCTCCCCTTGCCTCCTTAATTTCCAGAAGGTTATCCAGCCCTCTGGATTGGATTTAGTGGGGGCTGCAGCGGGGCAGGGAATCACCAAAAATTGCATTCCTACTCTAGTATGCTGATGGAATCCTTTCATCAGAAGATGAACTGCACTTCATAGTACCCTTGGTTATGGTTAGGATTGGTAGCATTCTCTGGAAAGATCACCAAAACATGGTATTAATTTATGAGCTTTGGGAATTTCTACAGTATTGTAAGGGCAAGAGGCTCCTTCAAATTTCAGTTTTGTGTGATAACCCTGAACTGAGCTTTGGCTGAGCATACCAAGAATTTACAAATGAAGATTGCAGTTCTTAAGAGCCCTCCCATAGGTTCCGTCTATTGAAACAGAGGTGATTCTTCTGCTATGTGGTTTAGCAGAGCACATTGCTCTCGCAGATTGCTTCTGGTGCACTTGTTCATCTTGCTGTTCCTTATTACAGTGAATAGGTTTGTCTCTCGAAAATGTATATGGCCTGTTGGACTGTATCCAAATCAAATCCTGTTGGGAAATTTTCTTGGCATCACATTCGGATAATTACCTGTTGTTAATCCTGGCTTTCTGGCTCTGCTGCTGCTACAGAGTTCTTTATTTCTGACAGGGGCAGCCACCTTCATTCTGTTCAAGTGCTCTGCTTCCGAGACAGGACCATGCAGGGAGCAAGAGACATTTCACACAGCACCCTTTTTGAAATAAAGCTTCCACAAGTGACACAGAATTCAGGTAATCCATTTTGGACTGGTGGGGCTCTGTGTCTAGTGTAATGTGGTCAATATTCCTCCTTAGAATATTTTTTTTTCTCTCTCTCTCCATATTGCTGTGATGATGAAAACAGTGTGGTACTTGTCCCTGACTTTGTATGTTAAAAGCTTCTATCAGTAAAGGCCTCTTCAGTGAAAAGTCCTTGGAAGGTGCCCATCCTCTCTAAATCATATGCCAGTTTTGAAAGCGTTTCCTGTACTTGCAAACCATTTATGCCTCTGTTGTTTCCATTATGGTGTACTCATCAATGTAGCTTTTCACAAAAAGCTGTTCAAGAGGAAGGTGAAGGTAGCCTTGTTTCTATCTATGGCATTAATTGCCAGAGATCATGCTAGAGGCAACCAGCTAATAGGATTCTTAATTTGTTTTGGACCATTCATTTGGCTTCATAGTTACCTTCTTTCTTGTGCTTTATTGTCTGAAAAAGGCACACTTGCCATTTATCGACAACCTTCTGAACCCATCACTTCGTTAAGAGGCCTTTTTATTCGCTTCAGGAACATCAGCAAGTCCTGTTCTCCAATTATATATTGGCTGCCAGGCCAGTTCCAAGGATAATTCAGGTTCTTAGTTCTTTAAGCCAGGCAAACCCTCCTGTTGGGCAGCATCAGGCAGCCGATACTGGGAGTAGGCAACAGTGGTGCAGTGCTGAAGAACAAAGATGTGTGGGTGCCATGGCCTAACCTGCATCCTCTAAGCTGACCTGCTGCCTTTAGGTATGGTGGAGCACACTGACACATCAGTGCTGAAGTAAGATTCAGGACCGCAGTGCCTCAGTGACCGCCTCTCCCCATATGAACCAACCTGGACCCTACAATCATCATCATCATCATCTGAGGCCCTTCTTTGTGTACCCCCTTTTCTACAGTGGCTCCCAACTTGCGGAATGTGTCTCCAAGAAGGCTCACCTAGCGCCTTCATTACATTTCTTAGGTACCAGGCAAAAACATTCCTCTTCTCGCAGGCCTTTGGATAACTAAGAAATTTATGCCCTTTTAAACTCTGGGTTTTTGTTTGTTACTACGTTGTGTATTTTTATGTTTTTATATTGTAATCCTCAGATGAAGGCTGGTATAGAAATTTAATAAATAATATAAATAAACAAACAACCAGTTCAGTTGGCCTTTTTGTGTGGAAAGGGGGGGGGTAGGGGGAAAACCCCCATCTTGTCTGCCTCAGGCAGAAAAATGTCTTTGGCAAACTTTTCCCAAAGTAGATTGAGTTTCCATGTTCTCCCATATGATTCTGCCCAGTCTCTGATCGTCTGGGGCCATTTTGTGTTCCCTGCAGTCTTCAGAGGTGTTTTTAGTTAGTGGCAACATGCAAGAGTTCCTTTTCTCTCTTATGTCATTCTGCTTTCATTTGAATGCTTTTCTGTTTTAGTAATCATTTGATTTCTCTGCTAGTTACGCTTTTCTCAGTTGGCTCCCAGTTTTAATAACCGTGAGCTGCTTTGGGCTTTTCTAGTTGTCTGGAGTAAGTGGGCTGTACATTTTATTTCTAATATACACTGTATGTTTAGATGTTCATCTCCACAGATTGGGATTAAATGTGATTTGGGGCCACTCGAGGAGTTTAGTAGCTCAGTGAGGGTTTGAATGTAGGTCAGATCCATCATTCCTTTGATTTGCATTACTTGATTCCCATTTAAGAACCTCAAGAAACTGAGCTTTTAAAGTAAGGCAGTGCTAAAAAAAGAAAGAAATAGCTGCCACTAGCAACAATGCCAGTCAATTGCTGCATTATGAAACTGATTACAGAGCTTAATCTGCACTCATGTGTTGGCTTCAGAATGTAAAATATGCTAGAATTTATTTTATAGATTGCTACTCTATAAAGTTCTAAGCTGCACAATAAAATATTCTATCATCCAAAGACTCACTTTTATGGCAAGTTCTAGTGAAATCTGGATTTTTGTAATCAGTATTGACTGGCAGTACTTTTCAATATATTCTAGAACAGCCAATATCTTTTTTCTTTTTTGCAACGTTGTCACTAGACTGACATGGGACACCTTTGAAATTACAGTTGTAACTTCATATAACTGTAGTTCTCCACTACTCAAACTTTTAACAATTTGCCACTTACGATGAGTGGGATTTTGCTGTCTCAAACAACGTTTCTATTCTTCAACACAGTTATTTTTCTCTGGTGAGGCAGGTTGTCCAAAAGCCGTTGGATGGGAGAAAAACCAAAAAGGAGGTATGGGCCCAAGAATGGTCAATCTGAGCGAGTGCATGGACCCGAAAAGGTACGTACCATTACAAGGCTTCACACTCTGAAAGGCAGCTTTGCAAGATAAGAAATACAAGTTGGGAATGCCACTTAAGTACCTGAGGAAGCCAGCTCTTAGCATTATGGACTCATTCACTATTTATTCACTGTCTACAGAATTGTTTTTATTTTTTCCTAAAGAATCTCTTGGCCGTTAGGTCACTCTGTGTACTTACTTATCAATACCCATTTCTTTGACAGTTTGAGGACTCTCGGTTCTTGATTATCTTGTAGATTGCAGTCTTCCTAACTACGGAAGCCTCTGGATGTGAAAAAGGAGTACAGTGGTACCTCTGGTTACGTACTTAATTTGTTCTGGAGGTTCGTTCTTAACCTGAACTGTTCTTAACCTGAAGCACCACTTTAGCTAATGGGGCCTTCCGCTGCTGCTGCGCCGCCACCATGCGATTTCTGTTCTCATCCTGAAGCAAAGTTCTTAACCCGAGGTACTATTTCTGGGTTAGCGGAGTCTGTAACATGAAGCGTATGTAACCTGAAGTGTATGTAACCCGAGGTATCACTGTACAGTAGAACCTCTACTCATGTGCATGATCTGTTCCGAAGGCCTGTCCTTGTGGTGAAACGGGTCAATAGTAGAAGTGTCATTGTGTGCAGGCGCATTCGGCGGCAGCCCGCTTCTGCGCATGTGCAGACGGTGGCGGCCGCTTCTGTGCGTGTGCAAATGGCAGAAGCTGCTTGTGCGCGAATCGCAGCAAACCCGGTGTTTACTTCCGGGTTTGCTGCAGACACGACTTGGAACGGGCCTAAGTAGAGCAGGACGTAAGTAGGACGTACCTACGGGACCGCCTCTCCCGGTATGCCCCACGGGGAGCCTCAAGGTCCATAAATAGCAACACCCTAGTGGTCCCGGGCCCTAAGGAAGTTAGATTGGCTTCAACCAGAGCCAGGGCCTTTTCAACACTGGCTCCGGCCTGGTGGAACGCTCTGTCTCATGAAACCAGGGCCCTGCAAGATCTGATTTCTTTCCGCAGGGCCTGTAAGACAGAGTTGTTCCGCCTGGCCTTTGGCTTGGAGCCAGTTTGATTCCCTCCCCATCTTTCTTTTTTCTTTTTCCTTTCTCCTCCTGCGATGAGGCTGCATTTTAATATTTTAATGTTTCAATACTTTTATTGTTGTATTTTAATCTTGTTTTTAAGTTGTATTCATTCAACTTGTTTTTATTATTGCTTGTTAGCTGCCCTGAGCCCGGCCTTGGCTGGGGAGGGCGGGGTATAAATAAAAATTATTATTATTACTGTATATTAGCAAGGGAGCTATGTGCAACAGCTGCGCTGGTGGCTTTCAAATGCCAATGAATCCATTCCACAATTGTTTTTTGAGGCCTACCTGTTACAGAGGATTCTGGGTACATTCAACTCACATTGGGCACTGGCGAGGCATATTTTTACTTAATCAGTGTCTTCCATGAGCTGAAAGGGCACCTTAGAGCACACACAGCACAATCCTTGGGCCACATCCTGCCCGCGAGCACACGGTGGACGTGCTCTGTTTCAGCAAGGCTTGTTTGCCATTACTGATTGAAGGATGCCAGGTTGAGCTGAGTTCCCATAACAACATCTATTACATTCTGCTGATTAAGTTTTATGAGTCTTGTGCAAAGAACCATGTAGGAAATGCAATCTGGCTTTAGGAACAGCAAATCTCTCATCATTTGTTACCTTCCTCCCTTGTATTTGGGGCTCTGAGGCATCAATTGCAGCTTCCCTTGAGAGTCAGATTGGAAATTTAACCCAGAGCCAGAAGACCACAGTTAACTACTTGTTTATTACATTGACTTAAAGGAACATAATTTGCATAACATAACAGACGCCAAGCTGCAGGTCATGAAAAGGTTGGTCGTTTTACAGCATTTAAACTTTGAAATTGTTTCCTGCTAGTAAAGAGAAACTCCCATCAGCCTCCGGAAACTGTGCACAGAGAGAATTATAGAAATGCCAAAAGATGAAAGGCTTTCCCTCATGGTTCATTGTTTCTGATCTTTCAGCAATGTTACCAATGCATTTTCAAGTTTTTCTTCCTCCCTTCCTAGATGGTGAGATTTAAAGCCTTCTTTTTAAATTAAAGTTGTGGGTTCTTGGGAGACTTGAGGTTTTGTAGACTAGAAACGTATCATAAGGACTTGTATGTTATAACAAGCAGGAAATCTGCAGCTGAAAAATGGTCTTTTCTGTTTCCCTGCTACATTTTCACCCTAATTGTGAGGAGAGCTTAAACATAGCCATTTGGGGCTTCTCTTCCAATTATTCTGATACTTTCATAAATGTTGATGCCAAATTCTGCTTTCAAATTTAGATGAAAAGCTAAATTAAGTTTTAAATAAATACATGAAATCTGAAAAAATGGCCTGCAGAAGTTTGCTGGAGTATGTAGCAAAATATTTTTGCAGACAGCTGAAGAATTCAAGTTAGCTGGGTTTTATTTCAAGTTTGGTTTTACAAAATTGTTTATCAATATTTTAGATTAGCATTCCTTTCTCTAGATTGTGTCAGATAGTGTTACAACAGGGTTATATTTGGATATTGTATGGATACATTTTATATTTTCCATTTAATATTGGCATAATTTACAATCCTTCCAGTATTTACTCTGTCAATAGTATGTTCGTCAGGAAAGTATTCCAGCCACTGGCTCAAATAATATTAATTAATTTTATAATAATTAAAAATTCTAATTTGACCTTAATTTTTAATTAATTCCTGCAGAAGAGATTAAACAATTTTACAATAACTCTTTTTTAATAAGAAGAATAGACGAGCAAATGGGGGGGGCACAATTTAAATTCTGGCAGGGTTTTAATAAATAGCAAATAGTGTTATATAAATGCAATTGCCGTCTAAGGATTAAATATATATTTTTAATAATTTGAGTTCTGTTTATTTGCTGTTTAGGAGTAAGATTCAATGTAGAGTCATTTGTGCAGCAATGTCCCTTAAACCATTTTGGGGGGTAGGTTCTGAATGGGGAGAAGAAAATCGGAAGTTCCATTGTTTAAACCAACTTCCAGTTGAATTTAAATTCCATGAACAGGCAGACATTGTTCAGTGTCGCCCTATAAATTCTTCACTATCTGATTTCCCATTGTAAATGAGTACATCATATCTAGGAACACAAACAGGAGATATTTTGTTCTTGTTCCTATATTACTGGGATGGGAATAATTCTGACAGGTTCTTCTAAGTGAGAGAGCAGTACAAGAGTGATCTCTTTGGATGAGGACGTTATAGTCTGATCTGATGCTGCCTCTGTTACATGTATAAAAGCTGATACGGCTTTAACCAAGACAGCTAAATTTAGTGCAGAACCTAAATGTTAGATTTTCTTTTTTGTCCTCTAGCTTTTAGACTGTGGTGATATTAGTTGTCTTAATACTGGGTATTTGGAGATGGGGACAAGAAGAAAATGTAATGCACTATTGTAAGCTCTAATTAAAATACAGAGGAGATGAAGGACATCAGTGGTGTACTGATGTTCCAACCGAGGGGGCGAGCATAACCATTCTTTAACTTCCTGTTATATTTTATTTTATTTTATAGGTTAGCTGAATCATCGGTGGATCTTAACCTTAAATTGATGTGTTGGCGGTTAGTGCCTACTCTTGACCTGGAGAAAGTTGTGTCTGTAAAGTGTCTTCTCCTAGGAGCTGGTACGCTGGGTTGTAGTGTAGCCAGAACTTTGATGGCAAGTACTGAAGCTACTCCACATATTCAAACGCTGTCCCATTATTTTGTATCAGTATGTATGAAGCAAAATAGGTGTCCAATAAGAGTCCTTCTTTCTTCCTCCTGTTCATGGGATTCTCTCTTTGACAGCCCCTACCCTGGAGGCTCAAAAGTGTGCTCACACAAGAGCCAGTTTGGTGTAGTGGTTAAGAGCGGTAGTCTCGTAATCTGGGGAACCGGGTTCGCGTCTCCGCGCCTCCACATGCAGCTGCTGGGTGACCTTGGGCTAGTCACACTTCTCTGAAGTCTCTCAGCCCCACTCACCTCACAGGGTGTTTGTTGTGGGGGAGGAAGGGAAAGGAGATTGTTAGCCGCTTTGAGACTCCTTAGGCTAGTGATTAAGCGGGATATCAAATCCAAACTCTTCTTGTTAACATGCAGGAAGCGGGCTGGGCCATCGTATCCTTCGCAATGAAAGGTACAAAATTTGCCAAACTATACCTTAACAAATGAACACTATCTAATTAAGGTGCATATAACCCTTCTTCAGGGGTTTGGAAGGGAAATGGTTTCTATCAATTGGCTGCATCATTATTTTTTTTAGTGGCGTAGTGCAGCTTGTGAAATAATCAACCTGAGTCCTGAGTAAAAGCCTGGGATTAACAGAAATAAAACATAAACTGTGATTAGTGCATATATTCCATTCTGCTCTTCTATTTTACTTTTGCTATTAGTTGAAATAGCATAATTGTTCTCAAAATGTGAGATGGATTTCTCTGAGGAGTTATCGAATATGGAATGAGCACACTACTGACCACACTTAGTGTGTGTCTGGAGGATGGCAACACAAGAACGGGCCTTTTCTGTGGTGGCTCCCTGTTTGTGGAACGCTCTCCCCAGGGAGGCTTGCCTGGGGCCTTCATTACATATCTTTAGGCACAAGGCAAAAACGTTTATAACTAGGCCTTTGGCCAATTAACATTCTATGGCCTTTTAAATGTGTTTGTGGGAGAAGGGTTATTGGTTTGTTTTTGTATATCATGTATTGTGTGTTCTCATTTTGTAATTTTTTGTTGTGAATCACCCTGTGTCTTTGGATAAAGGGCGGTATACAAATTTAACAAATAAAATATAAAAAAATAGATTAGTGGTAATTCTTGCCTTACTCAAAGAACTATTTCATTGCTTGTGGTTTTCTACTCAGGGATGGGGAGTCAGGAAGATCACATTTGTGGACAACGCAAAGATTTCTTATTCCAACCCTGTGCGGCAACCACTCTATGAATTTGAAGACTGCCTCGGGGGTGGGAAGTCCAAAGCACTTGCAGCAGCAGACAGGCTCCAAAAAATATTCCCAGGAGTGGTGAGTAAATGCATTGAGACGTGATTTAATGATCAAAACACTTTATTAGTTTCAATAACGGCCTAGGATTTCTTCTCATGCCCATTCTTCAAAAGTGAACTAACCCACAAGGAAATAATTCTGATGTTACGGTGACTGACTAGCTTTGACAGCTAGTCATTTACACGGAAAAAAAGAACTGAAATTAAACCTGCTTGAAGCAATCAAAATAAAAACGAGGCACAAAGGAAGAGTTTAGGAAAAGTAAACTGAGCACTATTTAGCTGTACTTAGTTCTTCATCAAAATGAAGTGACAGAGGAAAAGTGTCATTTAGCACAGAGTGTTATTCACACAGCCATAAAAATAATCTCTACCACCATACCATTTATAGCAAATACAGGGTATATCTGCCTTATTAGAGACCCTTACTTGGAATGCATGCAATTGCAGACTGATAATTCTAATTACCGTATATTTGCTTGAGAGTAGACATACCAGCTTATTATTTCAGACAGCAATTGCAGGAAAAAATATTACATGTTGGCGGAATCCAGTTGATCTTTCTAGTACAACTGCTGCAACGAAGGCATCTGCTAATTGCTTCTTCAAGCACACGCACCCGCCCCCCAAAAAAGATAAGTTGGGGACTCAGGAACTGTCTAGGACAGATTTTGGGGTACAGGGCTGCAGCTGAGAGGGGAATTGGCAAGTATAGCATGCCTCCCCGTTAACTGGTGTCTCCCCTTGGACCAAAGGCCTTTTAAACCAATCATCAGCTTTCCTCAGAGAAAACCTGGTACTGGAGTGTTAAACCAGGATGCCATGCAGCATGAAGTAGAAAATTCAGCACCTTCCTAAATTATATTTATTTGTATATTTACATTTCTAACTCGCCCTTTATCAGAACATTATACAGTGGTGCCTCGCAAGACGAAATTAATTGCTCCGCAAGTTTTTTCTTCTTGCGAGTTTTTCGTCTTAGTGATGCACGGTTTCCCATAGGAATGCATTGAAAATCAATTAATGCGCTCCTAGGGAAACCGACCTCAGACCAGGTCCGGGGACAGTCTGTCCCCCGACCTCTTCTGAAGGCTGGGGGACAAGGGCTTTTCTTCCCACTCCACCCCAGCATTTTAAAACCCCGGACAGCGGAGGGCTTCTCCGCTGTCCGGGGCGATCTTAAAATGCTGGCGGGCGGTATTTTAAAATTGCCCCGGACAGCGGAGGACTTCTCCGCTGTCCGGGGCAATTTAAAGCTCTCTGGGAAGGCAGGCAGGGGGACAAAGACTTTGCCCCCGCCAGCCTTCAGAAGAGGTCCTGGACCTCTTCTGAAGGCTGGCGGGGGGCAAAAGTCTTTGTCCCCCCCCCCACCTGCCTTCAAAAGCTGTCCAGCCAAGGCTTCGCGGACCTCTCCGCAAGCAGCGGCAGCACTGCCGCTGCTTGCGGAGAGTTGCCGGCATGCCGAAGCCTGCGCGCCCGGAGAACAGCGCGCCCCGGCGGCGCGGCCCGCGACGCGAGCAGCGGCAGCGCTGCCGCTGCTTGCGGAGAGCTGCCGGCATGCCGAAGCCTGCGCGCGCTGAGATCAGCGCGCCCAGGCTTCGCGGACCTCTCCGCGAGCAGCGGCAGCGCTGCCGCTGCTTGCGGAGAGCTGCCGGCATGCCGGGCCTGCGCGCGCTGAGATCAGCGCGCCCAGGCTTCGCGGACCTCTCCGCGAGCAGCGGCAGCGCTGCCGCTGCTTGCGGAGAGCTGCCGGCATGCCGAGGCCTGCGCGCGCTGAGATCAGCGCGCCCAGGCTTCGCGGACCTCTCCTGCCTTCAAAGCCGTCCGGGATAGCGGGAAGCGCTTCCCTGCTATCCCGGACTGCTTTTAAAATGCTGGCGGTGGGGAGCAAAGCCTTCGGCCCCCGCCAGCCTTCCTGGACCTCTTCTGAAGGCCGGAGGGGGGAAGGCTTTGCTCCCCACCGCTAGCATTTAAAAGAGGTCCTCGGAGATTTCCCTATGGGCTTCGCCTTGCGAAGCAAGCCCATAGGGAAATTGCTTTATGAAGCGCTCTCAAAACGGAAAACCCTTTCGTCTAGCGGGTTTTCCGTCTTGCGAGGCGTTCGTCTTGCGGGGCACCACTGTATTAGGATGAGGTCCAACCACATAAGCAGTAGGCAGCCATGGAAAGATGGAAGAAAACTAACCCTACAGGTGTTGTCTGAAAGACTGTGCTGTGTATTTTGGGTTGTATTCAGTACTGCGTGCACTAAGTTCTGCCCTTCCTCTGCTCTCCCTGTCTGCTGCCAAAATCTACTCTCAAGGATCCCCAATCCTTTGGAGTAGATTTTGGGGCTGCACACGGGGCTGGAGAGGAGAGGGAAGCTCCATTATGCAAGTGGAAACCGGTTGCACAAGCTGAACTGTTGGACACAAGGCTTTATATAAACATTTCTGCCCCATCAGTTCACTCCTCTGGGCAGCAAGAACAATAAAATGAATAATAAAACCAGTCATAATTAGGCTCTGTCTGCACTAGACATATGGAAACTGTTTCGATTTAACAGTTTCATTATTGGTTTTTATTGCAGTTGGAGCTTTTTAATTAGTCTCACAACTGTCTCACTTATACGAAATATTTCTCCATTCGTAATTATTGACAGCTTTTACTAAATGGAACTAAATTTCTCAGCCTTGTGAATCCTCCAGCTAACTCCCTGTGCATAGGTTTTGTTGTGTAATCAACAGCCTTCATATTTGGGCTCTGATTTTGGAATCTGACTGCTCCATTTTTGAGGGACTACATATTGTAACTTCCCTAAATCTCCTAATCATGGTTGGAGTATTAGGAGTATGCTGTGGGCTTAGGTGTTCCCCTTTCATGCTCTGAATTCTGGTAATGGCCTTTGACTGGCCTTGACTGCCCAGGGGTCCTTTACCTTTTTTTTAAAACCTTACTCAAACATCTCAGCCACACTAAACGCCCCCCACCCCCCACTTGTGTGGGCAACAATCCTTAGTAGATCCACTTTGCCCATCTTTCAGAAGCACTGTGTTGGATACAACCACCTGTGGTTTTTTAAAGGTACTATTTCACGCTACTGAAAGATTCACTGCGATTTGAAATAATGTTTTTCTTATGCCATCTGCTGGTCAATAAGCTCAGCTACACAACAAATCTGAGCTTTGTATTAACAATACAGTATCTTATATGCAGTCTTAGGCCCCCCTGTGTTTTTAACTGTGTTATTTTAAAATTAAACCCATTTGCCTGTTTGTACACACAAATAACAAGGTTATTTTTGAAATACTATTTTCTTTTAACTAGCAAATCAAAGAGTGCTTTGTGTACTGAAATACTGTTTTGACATGTACCACATGTAATTCACTGGACCTGAGTATGGATGCTGCTGGTGTACCTCCCAGCCCATTCATTGCTCAGCAGCTTCCCTGGCCAAGCTGACAGAGGAGCTCATGGAGGTGGTTTTGGAGAATTTCTTCACCGTGGTGCTATGGTGGCCTCAAGTGTGCTGTGACAGCAGGGCTGGTCTCTGCCTCCAGATGAAATAATCCATGTTATGATGATTAAAATGGTTCTATCCTCCTCAGTATTGCAATTTTGCTGGAGCCTGCTGGTGCCTGCTGGCTTAATTACATGAAATAACCAAACATATTAACAAGTAGGTTTACCTAATTATGGTTAAAAGTTGTATTCTGTGTGAAAATATGTGTGTTAGTCTTTTCTTTCTGCTTCATTTTTTAGAATGCTGAAGGTTTTAATATGAGTATCCCAATGCCGGGTCACCCAGTAAATTTTTCTGACGTCACCTTGGAGCAGGCCCGCAAGGATGTGACACAACTGGAGGAGCTCATTGATGCCCATGATGTCATCTTTTTGTTAATGGACACCAGGGAAAGCCGGTGGCTTCCTGCTGTTATTGCAGCCAGCAAGAGAAAGGTATCCTACTTCATTAGTATCCCAGAGGCCATGATGTAAGTAGCGCATTGTAGTCTGTGGTGGCCATTCAAAAGCATTTGCAGTTGCTGTTTTAACACAAATCAAACCCTTCAACTGCAAACATTTCCCAATGACTTAATGCTCTTAGCTATCTTCTGCTTGGAATCTCCCTCAGACTGAAACAGCTTAGTTGTTAGTGTAACATGCTCAGTTCCATTTGCACATTATTATAATCACATTTCTGGCTGGCCTTTATGGCAAGACCCTGTGTATATACCCTAATATTTTGAAGGGGAGTGGTATCCAGGAATATATCTCTGCATACTTGCCTGGCAAAGGATAATGTGGATTGTATTGTATTAAAATATATAGCTTAGAGTTTTGATCTGGTCTTCTGCTGCTTCTGGTTTTTTTTCTCTTTTAATTTTGTTTTCATAACTTTAATTTGGCTTGTAAAAATTGAATAAATATTCATAATTTCTTAAGGTATTTAAGGTATTTACTTTTGCTTATAACCTAAGGGTAACTCTAGTCTGTTGAACACTAAGAATGCTGGCAACTGTATTTGATCTGTCAGGTTGTGGCTATTAGTTTCTGTCTTCAGCAGTTTTTACCACTTACTTAGAAAAGAAAAGAAGCTTACATGTGTTTGTGGGAATAGCTACTGAAGACCTGGAGAATTATCTGCTTGTTTTTTCAGTCTGTAGAAGTACTAGAGGTGGAAATCATCAAGCTGAAATAAAAATAGTTTACAGGCTATGTATATGATAATTTTGAAGTGAAACCTGTGTACTGTCAGATGAAATGATGTAATGAAATTATCAGAGTATATAACTACTGTACTTTTTGTTCTTGTTCTAAGCTTTGTTGAAATAGCAAGATATGGGCAAGATCCCAAAGTAGATAACAGGATGGGTCTCTAAACCTCTCTCTCTCTCTCTCTCTCTCTCTCTCTCTCTCTTTTGCCTTGGGTTTGTGAACTCATCTTAAGTCAAGGTATAGAAGCGAGGTTGGAAAACAGGGATCTAGCCATGGACTTGTATCCAATTATCCCACAACAGTTGCAACCAGTGATGCCAGTCAGTGGAATGGGGAGAGAAGCAAGCCATTTTGGTTGCTTTCCCCTGTCTCCCTGCAGTAGTTGCTTTCCTCCCATCTGATCTAGCACGTCCCCCAGCCCTCTGTAGTATATTTCGGGCAGGCATGAAGGTTGCAGGGAGGGAAGGGGAGTTGCTGAGAATGACTTCGCTCCCTTTTCTACTTACGGAAGCCTTCAGTCAGCTGAACGATACCATTGGACACAACTCATAGTTTCCAATCTGGGTTTGTACATAGTTTTCTGTTTGGATTTACACAGAATAACTATGGCTTCCAGCAAGCCAGGGAGGGAGGAAAGGAATCGCAGTGCATGAAGGTGATGAGGGAATATGTGCATCCAAGGCTCCTTCATGTAGCACAGGGGCAACCAATGTGTTCTCCAGATGTTGTTGGCCTCCAGCTCCCATCATCCCCGATCACTGGACATCCTGGCTGCGGCGGATAAGAGTTAGAGTCAAAAGCACCTGGATGCCACGTTGGCTACCCATGATGTAGTAGCATTATCAATAACTTATTTCGTCTATCAGTAACTTATTTTGTAAACAACATTTACAATATATTGCCATATTTCTGTAATGTTTACCCCACAATAAATAGGTTTTCGCTTGTTCACCTGCATTTTATTTGATTACCACTTTCTATGCTTTTCATTGTTTTGTACAGCTGGTAATCAATGCTGCCCTGGGATTTGACACCTTTGTTGTGATGAGACATGGACTGAAGAAGCCAAAGCATCAAGAGGTGGGCGATTCTCCCTGCAATAATCCTTCAGCTTCAGCCGATCTTCTGGGATCATCACTCTTTTCAAATATCCCTGGTTACAAACTTGGTTGCTACTTCTGCAATGACGTCGTGGCACCGGGAGATGTAAGTATAATTGATGTGAATTGCAACTTATTGTGTTATTGTATTTTATAGTTCTTGATTTTTAATACAATCTGTCTCTGCAACCTTTCAGTGTGTTTTTATTATTATCATTAAGAATATCACTTTAAAATCATTATATATATATATATTTTCCCCTGAGAGCACAGTGGTCCATTTGTTAGTATTCGTTTTAAAAGATAGCCTTTAAAACGTTTTGCGCAATTATGCAGATAAAAAGAACTTGAAAGTATAACATTGTGAGAGCTGCCTTCCTTTGTAGTCCACCAGGGATCGGACATTAGATCAGCAGTGCACAGTCAGTCGACCAGGATTAGCCATGATAGCAGGAGCCCTTGCTGTGGAATTAATGGTATCCATTTTGCAGCACCCAGAAGGGTAAGTCATAATTGTGTGGGTGGAGTCCTGTTTTCACAAAACATTAATAAAATTAATTAATCAAAATAATAATTCTAGATGGTTAATAAATGGAATTAATTAACTGAATACATCTCCTTCCCCCCACTTTTTTTGTTAGTGGCTATGCCATTGCCAGCAGTAGTGATGACAGAATGAATGAACCTCCCACCTCTCTTGGGCTTGTGCCACATCAGGTTAGTAAACCAAAAATAAACGCCGTTGGCTTGCTATGTCCTGATATAGAAATGTGTCAAATAGACCCACTTGGCATATAACACTGAACCCATGGCTAAGCATGAGTATGCGACCATGACAATACTCATAGTAAAAATTCTGGTTTCTTTGCACCTCCTTTGAACTGGCTTCTGTGCCACCTGGAGCTAGGCCATGAGTTGCCTTGCCAGTGCGAATCCAGGTTGGGATGTGGTATGTCTCCCCTGGGGGATGTGGGTGGCGCTGTGGGTTAAACCACAGAGCCTAGGACTTGCTAATCAGAAGGTTGGCGGTTTGAATCCCCGCGACGGGGTGAGCTCCTATTGCTCGGTCCCTTCTCCTGCCAACCTAGTAGTTCGAAAGCACGTCAAAGTGCAAGTAGAAAGTGCAATAAGTACCGCTCTGGCGGGAAGGTAAACGGCGTTTCTATGCGCTGCTCTGGTTCGTCAGAAGTGGCTTAGTCATGCTGACCACATGACCCGGAAGCTGTACGCCGGCTGCCTCGGCCAATAAAGCGAGCTGAGCGCCGCAACCCCAGAGTCGGTCACGACTGGACTTAATGGTCAGGGGTCCCTTTACCTTTACCTTTTTATGTCTCCCCTGGAAGTAGTGAAAGGAGAGGGGATGTGGTCTGTGGAGGGTTCTGAGGGCTAGGGCTGCCTTTGAGCCTGAGGTTCACCCCACCCCCTTACAAAAGATTATATCCAGCTAAATTATTGCACAAGGAGAATAAATGTTGCCTCTGCAATATAACGTCTTCCTCCTCCTTTGCCTTATTTTAGCCCCCTCAGCTGTCCCTAAATCTGCTTCAGAGGGTTGGAAGACACGCCCCACAAAGCAGATTTGAAGAGCGTTGAGGTGGAGGGTTAAGTTCTGCTGCAATTTCAGGAGACGTTCTGGGCTTGCAATGGTTTAGTTGGATGTGACCCAATATTGTTAACTAGTTAAATCCACTTGCTATGACATCCAGCGACCTGTTTATGCAAGAGCTTTCCTTTTTAATTATTGGTAATTGAACTGATTATTATACTAAGACTAGTTTTTGGGGTTTTTTAAAGTGCAATTACTATTGGGTTTTTTAAGTCACCAGTGGATGCTGCCTCTTAAGTGACCCCGACAATTCTCCGGTTACTTGTTAGTGCTGTTAACGTTTTCAAAACTACCCTTTTGCTCTTTTCAGCAAGGAAATAGATTGAGATAAGACTAGCTTGTAAAAGCTAAGTTGTACAAAGTGCTAAGAAATCATCAGGGTTTGTGTGTGTGTGCTTTCAAGAGTTGATTGTACAATGATGCATAGTTGCACTGCAACATGTTATCCTGTATGGTCAGTTTTTTCTTTTTCCCTCATTGTTTTCACAAATGCTTTCCTGCTGGCTAAGAAGATGTAATACTATCCCACTTCTGTTTGCTGATACCGTATCCATTTAGAATTAGGAGGGAGAGATTTCTTTGGGCCAGAGCTCTCTCTTCTTATGCTTATCTGAATCAGGGCAAATTTAGGTGGTGGACCAGAAGCTAATTAATTTGATCTTTTCCTCTCATAGTAGTATTTTTCTTCTTGTCCTTTAAGGTCTTCTTGCTGTGAAGCAGTCCTCTTCTCTGAATGTTTCACAAACTGGATAGAAATGCACATAACTATATCACAAAAATTATTAGTAAAATTATTTCCTTTTTAGAAGAGAATTTCTTAAGGGTTGTAACTCTGAACCGTCTGCGGCAGAGATTTGATTTTATTATTTGTTTGTTTGTTTGTTTGTTTCATTTGTTTATATTCTTTATTCATTTATTTCATTTATATCCCACTTTTTCCTCCAAAGAGCTCGAGATGGCATACATGGTTCTCCACCTTCCCCCTTCATTTAATGCCCAGTACAACCCTGTGGTGTAGGTTAGGTGGAGAAGCATTGAGCAGCCCAGAGTCACCCAGCTTCAAAGCTTCATGCCTGAACAAGGATTTGAACCCTCATCCCCCAGGTTGTTGTCCCACACTCTAACCAGGACATCGCAATGGCCTGGATGGGTTTTAATTTAGTATTTAATTTTTCTTTTTCTTACTACATGCCCTCTTCAACATCTTAATATCAGCTCAGTTTGTTCTTTGCCCACAGTTTTTGCTTCAGAATAAAATACTCACTGTTGTTTTGATAATTATTATTTTTTTAAGATTACAAAGCAAAGTAGATAATAGTCTATTTAAAGAACCAGTTCAATAATTTTGTTTCCTTTAAAGACACTTCAAAATTAAAAGGGGTCATCCCTCTTGCACTGGTCATATTGGTGCAGGGTAAGATGTAGGTAACATAAACAGTAGCAATATATCAAATACTGTGATTGAAGTAAGAAGGCATATGCCAAATTCATATAGGCTGATTTTCTGAATATATACTTTAACGCAGTCATGTTCAGTCTGTTACTATTTATATAAGTATTTATATTTATATAAGCATATTCTTAAAATAAGCTGGTTTATATAATAGTAGAAGAATCTGAGCAAGGATACCATAATTTAAACAACAATGGACATGTAACTAGTGAGTTTGGGAAGGTACTACGGTTTGCATCATGCAGTTAAAAGATTCAAAGATCGTTACCCCCCCCCCCAAAAAAAAGACATTTAGAATTGAAGTGTTTGATCCTTTACTCATAGGATTGGAAAAGATTTACAAGGATTTGATAGATCTGTGGATGCTGTATTCACAATCAGAGTAGCAACTGAACTACTGTAAACAAATACCTGTAAGAACTGGTCCTGTGCTCCATTCTGGATTAATGATTCTGCTCAATCATGGTTTGTTTTTTTTTAAGAAAATGAAACCATGCTTTTAAGAACACACAGATGTCAGCCACAAAACTCTTGCTTCAGTGCGATTACTGTTTTAGCCACTGAGGAGGAAAGAGATAAAACTAAGAAAGGTGATCCCTTTTATTGGTCTACAGGATCACATTACCTTCTTTGTTTCTCCTGAAGGGCTTATTAAAGCTGGCTGGCTGACTGGAAATTTCAGTTGCACACAAAACTTCTGTAATACACAGAATTGGTTAGTATCAAGCAGCAGGAAACAGAAGTGTGTGCACCTTTTCCATTTCAGAATGGCTGCAGAGCAAGAACCCGAACAATACATTCAGTAGCAACAGTCGTCATGCTTGCTTCTTTTCTCTCAATTGTTGCTTGCTGCAGTCAAGAAGTTCCAACTCCAGGTGGTGCTGTTTCTGTATACAGTGAGATAAATGTGCATGCTAGTCCTCCTACGTGCACAACCAAAACATATCATGTGCCAAGTCAGTTTCAGCAGAAAGGCCTGCTGAAGTCTGTGTACTTGTGCCACAAATAATGGGCATCTTGGCTATACTTTCTTCAAAAGATGGTGCTTGCAAAACTCAGCCAGCACAATATTAATATCATATTGCTGCCTATCTCTTTGACTTGCAGATTCGAGGGTTTTTATCAAGATTTGATAACGTCCTTCCCGTCAGCCTGGCTTTTGACAAATGCACTGCCTGTTCTCCCAGAGTAAGTTTGGTTTTTAATGTAAACTGTTTTTTCCTCAAAACAATGCTTCCGCTTTGTCACTGTTTCGTTTTTTTACATGCAAGCCTTTCCCTTGTTTATTTTGAGATGTGTACTTTATGTCACTGTTGAGCATTGTGCTACTAACTAAACCTTTCTTAGCCAATATAATCTTAAATAATTTTCTACCCTCCTTTAAATATGGAATTTCCAAGTCAATTGTCTTAAATAAAGCACCTCTCTTTTACCTGTACAAGGCGGTGAATAATATCTTCATTTTTTAGCTCTGCGTTGAATGAAAATAACCCTGCTGTAGTTACCATTGTTACAGGCAGTCATTTAATTTTTTTATAAAAAAATGTTTTATTTATATATATATATATATATATACACACGCACACACACACACAGTGGTACCTTGGGTTAAGTACTTAATTCGTTCTGGAGGTCCGTTCTTAACCTGAAACTGTTCTTAACCTGAAGTACCACTTTAGCTAATGGGGCATCCTGCTGCTGCCGCCACGCCACCAGAGCACAATTTCTGTTCTCATCCTGAAGCAAAGTTCTTAACCCGAGGTAATATTTCTGGGTTAGCGGAGTCTGTAACCTGAAGCGTATGTAACCCAAGGTACCACTGTATATGTATCTTTCACAAAGTCTTTCTAATGGAGGTGAGTCCAGCTGTCAATGGAGGTGACCTGCCTCATTACCATCATCTCTCCTCCTTCCAAAGCCAGAATTTGTGGTGGCAAGTGGGAGTGCGGAAGGCAGGAAGACCAAAAGTAGCCAGAGTCAAAGCCAGTGCTAACCAGAACCAACTAATTCTATTTTGAAGCCACCTTCCTCCCCGCTGAGGCAATACTTGTAGGAGAAAGAAGCTGACAGGCCGTGCAACCCCCCTGGATTGTTTGCAAGCAAGAAGGCAGACAGGTGGGGCCTGGCTGAGAGCAGGATGAGATTGTTGGTGCTCCCTTCACCCTAATACACTCAGATCCATGGTGCATCACTCTTTTTATTTTATAGAAGTGTGTGTCTTCACTGGCCCTTCTCCCACTTCCATGTCTCAGTTGATGTAACATGTACCTTCTTCTACTTCTTTCCAGTGATTGATAGTGCTTGAAGCTAAGTAATAATTGTCAAGTTTGTTGTTAAGGCACTTTGGATAAGCTTAGGAATGTGGAAACCTCTGTAGCATGGATCCTTTCCTTATCACTCTGGAAATGGCAGACATTGAATATTGGTTGGAAAGAGCCCATCCCATAGCTTCTTTCCCTGCTCGTTTTGTTCTAGTTCCCAGGAGAGCAAATGTTAGTGTGGAAGGGAGCTCTAATGGACTCCCCTTGGTCCTATTCTTCTGTTGTTTCTGGAAAAACATGGGGGAGATCATGCAGTATGGCAATTTCTGCACTTCTAAGATATTCTCCAAAGATGCCCGGAATCTGTTTGCTGAACTCCGCCACTTTCCCCTGTTGGCCTAGCCTCAAGCTCAGGGTGAAAATGAAAATCAGTACTAGCCAAAATATTTTTCTGTCTGAGGTGGAACCCAAAAGCACTACTCACTTGCTAGGGCTAATACAGTGGTACCTCGGGTTAAGTACTTAATTCGTTCCGGAGGTCTGTTCTTAACCTGAAACTGTTCTTAACCTGAAGCACTACTTTAGCTAATGCGGCCTCCCACTGCCACCGTGCCACTGCTGGGCAATTTCTGTTCTCATCCTGAAACAAACTTCTTAACCTCAGGTACTATTTCTGGGTTAGCGGAGTCTGTAACCTGAAGTGTATGTAACCTGAAGCATATGTAACCTGAGGTACCACTGTACTTTTATTATTTATACCCTGCCCATCTGGGTGGGTTTCCTCAGCCACTCTGGGCAGCTTCCAACAAAGATTAAAAATACATTAAAACATCAGTCATTAAAAACTTCCCTAAATAGGGCTGCCTTCAGATGTTTTCTAAATGTCAGAAAGTTGTTTATCTCTTTGACGTCTGATGGGAGGGCATTCCAGGGGCGGGCACCACTACCGAGAAGGCCCTCTGCCTGGTTCCCTGTAACCTCACTTCTCTCAGGGAGGGAACCGCCAGAAGGCCCTCAGTGCTGGATCTCAGTGTCTGGGCAGGACGATGGGGGTGGAGACACTCCTTCAGGTATGCTGAGCCGATGCCGTTTTTTAAAATCCTATTGCAACTTTCAGGTATCAATTTCTGCCTTTATCTATCACTCGCTCCTTCTGATTGTGCCCCCAAAAGAGGCTGATTGACCCTTACAGCTGGCTGGCCCCAGATGAACTCTTTAGCTGCCCCGTATTCATTTTCTCCTCTCACGCCCGGAAGCCCATTCCTTTGCTTCTTCCTTAATCCTTCTCTATCATACTTTGGCAAAATAAATGACACATACATGCTAACCAGAGTACACTATGCAAACATGCACCAGTGTAATGAATTATTCTCATTATTTGGCTTCTTCTTACTCAGAAGTTTGACATTTAGTGTAGACTAAATCAAACATACGTTCACAATCAGCCTTTGAGGCCTTCTCAGTTCTACAGCAGTTTTCTGGGGTAAGTCCATGTTTAAGCAATCACCTTGACTGGGATATATTGCTGTGAATGCTGAGTAGGTCTGACTCATAATCTGGCTCGCACATTAAGTGCTATTATTTCAGTCATGCCAGATTCATTGCCGGCATTTCTCTTTAATTCCAGAAAACAACAGCACATCCTTCATACACCAATTTTAAATATCTAAGGCCTTCCAAGGTAGTTTTGGGGATTGGATTGGGTTGGGGTCAGGGACATAGTATAAGAAAGGCCTTATAAAAACATGGAACCTTTCCTGTTATAAATTCGCCTGTTGCAGTGGAATGCCAGTCAGTCTTGCTAATATAACTGCTGTACTTTGTCAAGACTACAGTAACCTTCCTGACATTTGCTGTTCAAATTCCTCATAACGTATGAGAGCATGAGCTGTGAGCCAGGAAGCCTCTGGTTCAAATATTACTTCATCTGAGAACATATTAAGAGGCCTCAGGCAAGCCGCCATTGCCTCCGTCCCAGTCCCTCCCCCTTCTGCTATGTGAGAATTAGCTTACATGACTGATACAACTGAAACGATAGAAATGCTTTGATTTTCTTTTCCACTCCCCTGCCCGAAGTGTGGAAGTAAAATGCAGATGGAACCTTTTCCCTGTTTCAGGTTTCTGAAAAAAAATTGGGAGGGATGGGGAGAGATGTGTTAGGAAATGATTTCCTCATTGTGGTCATTTTAAGAGCCCTGCTTTACATAAACAGGTTTGATGATTTAATAAAATCTGACTTGGGTTTTAACAGCTGTGCTATTCCCATAGTGATCACTTTTCATGTGGTGAGAATATTAAATTACTTTTTCTGCTGAAAAGGTTGCTTCAAGGGTACATGTATTTCCTTACAGTATAAAAGAAACATTTATTTACATGTTCAGCTTGAATTTTTAGAATCAAAATATGCTTTGTTGCCTCATAGGATCAAGATTTCTGATGCCAATGACAAATATAACTATGGCAGTTCAGTTCTGTACACTTTCCCCTCTTCATAATGCATTAAATTGTCATAATTTCAACATTGACATTTCCCATGTTTCTGGCTGAAAGTTTCTTGGTGCTTGAAACTACGAATAATTTCTTAAAACTTTTTTTTTTATGATGCGATTTCTTTTAAAATCTTGCATCCATTTTTTCAATATAGATATACAGCTGATAAGATATGAAAGGACCTGTATAGGCATCTTAAGAGATTCCATTTCATACTTATTCAGTTCCAGAAATTGCCATATTTCTTTTGGTATTCATGTTGCAACTTTGTCAGAAAGAGAACTGAACAATCACGGTCCAAGTTACACTTCTGTCAGATAGATCTTCAGCTCCATAAGGTAGCCAATGAGGAATTTTGATGTCTGCGGTGAAGCCAGTACCTTAATTTGGGCCTGAATTTGTCTTCCATAATCACCGCCCTTATTAGCAGTACAACTGTTATGACTGGAATGACAAACAGCTGCCTCTAAGATTAGTGATCATGTGCAGCCACTTGGGTGATTGTTGCAAAACAGCGTAGTAAGTATACCCAAGCTTCATTTGTGCTAATGCTGAAGAGTGTTTCTAGACTGTTCATCAGGAATAACTGTAGCTTAATCTCAGCTGCTTAACCAACCATATATACATCACCACCATAGAGTAACTAAAGCTAATTGAAGGTATCCTTTCCTCTCTTTTTTAAAAAGGTACATCCTGAATTCAGTACTAGTTTCTTTTTAAAAAGAAAATATGATTTAAAAAGCTGTTTAACAGATGAGGCAAAAGAATCAACATGTATCTATACTGATGTCTTGTGAATCTTTTGAAAAGTCAGTAGGCAGAGATACAACGCAAATGGAATCACTGCAGTGTGGTTTGGTTATTTAAAGTAGTTATTAAAAAAAAGTACACCAAAGAGATACGGAGATTACAACTGTCAAGCTTAAAAGAAACTCTGATATCACATTTCTGAAAATGTGAATAGTAAAAAGTAGAGCACCATTTCACAGTGCTTCAAAATTTTTAGTGCTTTGAAATTTATTTGGCTCCTTATGAAATATCAGTGATGGTACAAGGCACTGTAGGGTTTATTTGAGGGAATTCTTCATTCTTAAGCTACGATTCTAAACATAGCTGTTGACATGCAAGTTCAGCTGAAATTAGGGGTGCATACTTCCAAGTAAATGCATTCAGAACTGAGGTGTGATGTCTTCTATAGCATGCTTGATTTATTGTGCATAAAACATTGTGAATTACCAATTAATACTACGCTTATAAGTTGAAGGCTCTATAGTTCATTTTTTAGAGTAAAGGTAAAGGGACCCCTGACCGTTAGGTCCAGTCACGGACGACTCTGAGGCGCTCATCTCTCTTTATTGGCTGAGGGAGCCAGCGTACAGCTCCCGGTCATGTGGCCAGCATGACTAAGCCTCTTCTGACAAACCAGAGCAGTGCACGGAAATGCCATTTACCTTCCTGCCGGAGCGGTACCTATTTATCTACTTGCACTTTGATGTGCTTTCAAACTGCTAGGTTGGTAGGAGCAGGGGCCGAGCAATGGGAGCTCACTCCGTCAGGGGGATTTGAACCGCTGACCTTCTGATCAGCAAGCCCTAGGCTCTGTGGTTTAGACCACAGAGCCACCCACATCCCACACATTTATTATTATTTTTTTCTGCAAAGGTTGCTTGAAAATTTTCCACAGCTTAGGACACGGAGGCTGTTTCGGTAAATGGAACAGTATTGGTAATGTTCCCAGTTGCAGGGGACTTAGAAATATTGCCAGCCTGTATGTGAGGCACAATTTTTGTGGTGCTCAAGATGCATTTATCCAGCATTTAGTGGGACAAAAGAAGACTTAATGCTTCTTTGTGCCTACATGAGTGAAGATGGAAGAAAAAGTGGCATGTACGTCAAAACGATTTTGCCTTCCAATTTAAGGCCATCCAAGTTTGTTGATAGGCAGAAAAGGGCTAGCCAAGTTTAAAATACTGGAAGGTCACTTTTCACCTTCCACAGACTAATACTGATGTTTTTCGTAGCTCTTATAACCAAAATAAAGATCTAGCAAATACATGAAGTTACTTCCTCCATGGATTTCAAATGTAACATAAGAACTGAATTACTCATACAAAGCCACTTAAGAGAACAAAGGCTTTGCAGCCTGAAAGAAAAGGAACTGTTATCCCATACTCTCATTCTAGTCAGTTGTGGGGAGGGGGAATTGCCTGTGCTTTTTTGAAAAGAAACACAGATGTATTTTAAAAGCCTTGGTTTAAAATGAATTTTCTGTAAAATGGTCCTTGACAACTCTCGATCATGTGTCATTTTGCACAGCTGAACTATCTAACAAATAGATTTGGTTCTTCACTCTGGGCATCTAGCCACTTATCCACACAATGCAAGCCTAGCTTTGTTTCACAGTGAAGACATTAATTTGAGTGCTTTCATCGTGTTTAAAAAAATTGGCTGTCCTTTTTAAGACCTTGCAGGAACTACTGGGACCTGGTTGTTGATAGCCATCTTAGTCTGCAGTTTATATATATATAAAAGGTCTATTTGCAGTGTAATCTTATGTATGGCACAATATGGCCTGGTCCCCAGTCTGGGAACCGAAAGCTGGTCACATAATTTTAAAGTGGTAATCTCATCCTAAGCAAGAAGAACATCTTTGCTCGTACGATTATGTTCCTTGTAAATAGGAACAATAGTCCTGGTTTGGCTGAATTGCTAAACTGTAGTTTAGCACTACGTGAAAAAAACATTACCTTTTTCTCCAGTGAGGCCATGAGGAAAAAATCGGAAGAATCTGCTTTCTTGTTTAAGCTTAACCACACTTTGACATTACATCTGAACTGGGATCTTTGGTAAGTTTAAACTGTGCTTTATTGAAACAAGCCCAGATCAGTAACCACATTTGATTGCGTTCAGACATAACGACAAACTGCAGCTAATTTAAACTAGTAAATATATGTTTCTCATCTCCTTGCAAGTGGGAGGGAGGGGAGCATGCAATCCAGGGGCTCACTCAGGTTTGTTCACAGAGTTAATAAACTATGGTTTAGCATTACAACCAAACTATATAAAGCAAGGTATATAGTAAGGAGCTCCTATGCTTAAGAAAATGCCATATTATGAAGGACACTGTAGCCTATGAAAGGGAATAGAGAATTAATTTATTGAACTTTGAAGTCTTACATTATAGTGTTGTCTTTGTTTCTATTTAGCCTTTGAGCAGGGGTAGGCAATCTAAGGCCCGTGTGCCAGATGCGGCCCAATCGCCTTCTCAATCTGGCCCATGGATGGTCCAGGAATCAGTGTGTTTTACATGAGTAGAATGTGTGCTTTTATTTAAAATACATCTCTGGGTTATTTGTGGGGCATAGGAATTCGTTCATTATTTTTTTAAAAAAATATAGTCCAGCCCACCACATGGTCTGAGGGGTGGTAGACCAGCCCATGGCTGAAAAAGGTTGCTGACCCCTGCCTTTGAGTGTTCGTGTTGTTGGAAGATACATTGAGACCAATTGATAGTGAAAGGCAGGGTAAAGGTAAAGGGACCCCTGACCATTAGGTCCAGTCGTTGCCGACTCTGGGGTTGCAGCGCTCATCTCGCTTTATTGGCCAAGGCAGCCGGCGTACGGCTTCCAGGCCATGTGGCCAGCGTGACTAAGCCGCTTCTGGCGAACCAGAGCAGCGCACAGAAACACCGTTTACCTTCCCGCCGGAGCAGTACCTGTTTATCTACTTGCACTTTGACGTGCTTTCCAACTGCTAGGTTGGCAGGGTAGAAATGTTATAAATACATGCTACATGCAAAAGTGCACAGGAGAAGCACAATGACCAACATTGCTTTACTGCAAAGCAGCATTGGGAGAAGACAGTTTGGCACAGAAAAGAAGTAGGTGGAGGTTTCTTAACCCCGTTCAATTCAACATCTGATTATTATTATTGTTGTTGTCATCATCAAAAAATCTGAAAAATACGGAAATTAGGGTGCCTAGAATTGGAGAACTGGAAATATGGCAGCTGTACTAGAAGGACTGAGATGATTCTAGAACTGAAACCAAGTGAGCTTTTCTGACCTTGAATGAACTGAGACTCACAAGGAGGCTCAGAAGGATCGGGACATGTATGTTTGGCAAAAGAGGCCTTACAGTTTAAGGACTAGTGAGAGTTTTGCCAGGGATGATTCCTTCAGAATTTGCTGGGTGCCTGGAAGCCGAAATGTGAAATCCCTTTTCAACTGTGCCAAGTTTAAATAGGATTTCCAAGCCTAAGAACTCTTTTATAGCAGATGGTGGTCTTCCCCGTGGCAGCCCCTAAGCTGTGGAATTCCCTCTCCTCAGAGGTGTGACTGGCTGGCAACTTCATTATGTACAGTAGCTCTTGTCGTAAGCTGATGGTGCACCTCTTTACCATGGCCTTGGAAATCTAAGAGATTCAGGGACCATCTTATTCTCTTGACTGTATTTTTAAAAAACTGTAAAATTCTCAAGGGTCTTCCAGCCAAGAAGAACAGCTTTTCAAGGGCTGCAGACAGAACGGCGTTGCGGGGAAGCCCTGTTCCATTCATGGAAAGAAAGTTAGGATCCAAGCCATTGTTGAGTGTGACACTGCAAGGAGCGGAACAGCTAAACAAAGAATTCAGTTTTAGCAGATGAGTAACACACTTCTGCTCCACAGAACTTAAAAGCAATTTATTTATTTAGTTCTGAGACTTTAAAAAGCTTTCAGATACGTAAATTAGATAAGTCATTTATGTTGTTGGCAAACGTACAGAGATAGAGATTATGAAAGTTAAACCTGGGATTGAGAATTTGGCTGCTTTAGTTTCTTCTATATATATATATATTTCTACATTTCTAATTTGGAAGGTAGTTGTCACTTAGGGCTTTCTTTTAAGAACTTTGAAAGGGAAAGATCACAGTTCTTTCCTCTCTGTTCTCCTCTTTTTCTTTTTTTTAAAGAGCAAATCCTTTGATAAATCTTTTTCTGGCACAATATTACATTAACATCCTTACGTTGTTAGGAACGTGTAATCTAATTCTCTTTAATTAAAGCCGGAAAAGGTTTCATCTCAGGCTTTGGAAAGTGGTGTTAGGGGGGAAAGGAACTGGTATTGCCTTAGAGGTGTTGGGTAAAAATCACTACCATTGTTCTTCCTATAGATAAGGGGGGGGGAGCCCTCCAAAGTATTGCCTATACTATTATGATACAATAAAAAGAAAATAAACCTCTCCTGAGGCATTTTTGTGATAACACTTTGGTCAACTTATAGTAAAGGAAGAGGAACTGTGATGGGAGTGGAATACAGTGGTACCTTGGGTTACAGACGCTTCAGGTTACAGACTCCGCTAATCCAGAAATAGTACCTCAGGTTAAGAACTTTGCTTCAGGATGAGAACAGAAATCGTGCTCTGGCGGCGCAGCAGCAGAAGGAGGCCCCATTAGCTAAAGTGGTGCTTCAGGTTAAGAACAGTTTCATGTTAAGAACAGGCCCCCAGAACGAATTAAGTTCTTAACCCAAGGTACCACTGTATTTTGGGCTGAAGGAGAGAGGGGTATCACTTTGTACAGTGGTACCTCTGGTTACGAATTTAATTCATTCCGGAGATCCATTCCTAACCTGAAACTGTTCTTAACCTGAGACACCACTTTAGCTAATGGGGCCTCCCGCTGCTGCCACGCCGCGGTGGTGTGATTGCTGTTCTCATCCTGAAGCAAAGTTCTTAACCCGAGGTACTATTTCTGGGTTAGCGGAGTCCGTAACCTGAAGTGTATGTAACCCAAGGTACCACTGTACTCATTTATATTTACTTTGTATACTCTTTGTAACCCGAGGTGTTTGTAACCTGAGGTACCACTGTACTTGTTTACATTGAATGACATCTGCCATTTTACTGCCCATTCACTCAGTTTGGAGAGATCCTTTTGAAGCTCTTCACATTTGCTTTTTGTTTTAATCACCAGGAAGAGTGAACATTAATAAAAATTAAAGTTGACCCATGGCTGTAGAATCCTGAGGAAAAGTTGAGAGTGTTGCTTGCGAGAACCTCAAACTTCTTGGGGGCTTGTACAGGCAGAGCTGCTAAAGTTAGATGAGTGCTGCATGTTTTTAATCCACCCAGCGTGGATGGCATGAAACTCTTTTTCCATAAGAATAATGAACAGAATAGCCCTGCCAGGAAATAGGGCCAGCATATGGCTCTCTTGAGAGTGTTGCAAGCCAGAATGACACAAATGAGTGATACTTGAAACTTATAAAGAGCCTTTCAATCCAAAAGTGGAAACTGAAATGAAACAAGATGGAGGAAAGAAGCCTCCGTTCCTTGGCCAGATACCTTTCTGAGCACGCCATACAGTAGGCAGATATTTCTGCTTGCCATCAATCACACTGCAAAAATAATCCGCCATGCACTTCAGTATTGACATTTATGAGCACTTTTACTGTCACTCGGGAATAGACCAAACACTTTCATATCACTGCAGATCTTCTGATACCAAAACAACAGTCTTTCATATAGATGGATTAATAACAGGAAGCTTTTATAGTTGCCACATCCAAGGGTATTTTCTTCCACACACGGATTGTTTTTTATTTAAAATAGTTACTGCAGGAAAGTGAGGAGACAGTTCTACATCCACAGGTTTGGGTACTGCAGCCAAAAATGATGCCATAGCTGACTTGTGGTTGGTAACTCTCCAAGTATTTCAACATAGACCTCCCCATCCTCTTTCCCTCCTGCTCCCCTATTTCCTGTTTGCACCTGCCTTCAGTCTTGTTTCACAAGCTTTATTTTTATTATTGTGGTCATAAAGCTATGTAGTACATTTATAACTGCAATAAATATAGATGCAGTTTCATTTCTGCACTTGCGTATTCTCGTAATCATTAATGGTGAATCCAACAAGATTTAAATTTTTCAAATTGTTTCTGAGGCAGAGGGTGTGGTCTGTTGAGATTTGGCCTAGCCATCAGGAGACGGAGCTTTTGCTGGCTGTCTCACTCATTCCGCCTGTGATGCTTCCTGTACCTTTCACCGCTCCAGTCTCTTCCTAGCGTATATACTCTTTTCCCCCATGTCATCTGGGTCTGTCATAATTCCAAATGCTTAATAATTGCTCAAAAAACAACACTCTTTTGTATTCGCCCACATACGTTGGGCGGAATAATTGCCTTGTCAACAAATCCCTTAGTACACCGTGTGGTGTGTGGCATAAAGAAGTAGAACTGATCAGATTTTAACAAGCAGATCGAGCACAAATCGAGCACAAAAGTGTACAGGCATGTGGAAATTACCACAGCTGGCTTTGATTCTGATGCTGACATAATAAGAGTAATTTTTACCTAAGCCTAAGAGAACTAGGTTCTGGATTACATACCTTGCAAGCTAGATCCTATCAGTAATAGAACTGCTGAGTTGGAAGGGACCACGAGGGCCATCTAGACCAGCCCCATGCAGTGCATAAATATTTTGCCCAATATTTTGTGACTCGAACCCATGACCCTGAGATTAAGAGTCTCATGCTTTACCAACTTCGTTTATCCAAGAATAGTGATAATGTCTGGATTCTTTATTGACCTGAAAAATTGTGGCAGTATTTTGAAAAAAATATATGTAAACCCTTTATATTTGTGTTGAAGTGATATTCAGCTAGGAAGAGTTTCATCTCCTCATTAGCCTTGAAATTGTGAAATATCACTATCCCATATTTTCCGGCAGGAAGTATTGACATGTGTTTTGATTAAATACAGTGTTTCGTTTTCATAACTTCTTCAGTCAGCTGCTAGATTGAATCACCTCACTTGTTCTCACACAGTTCTTCAACTACTTTGATATACTGGACATATATGGCAAAGCATTCTGGGTAGTATTTGGTGCACTCCTTCTGTTAGTGCAATGTCTTTTGGCTGTGTAACAGAATTTCTTTTCCCCTTCCCCCTAATTCTGTTCTGTGGGTTGCCCTAACCCTATGGAGCAGCTTTGGGGAAGCGGCATGGTGCACAGGGAGGCAGGGTTGTATTTGAGGGAAGCAGTTCCATGTGGTCTGAGAGATAACCTTCTCTGCTATCTAATGAAAATTTCCCCCCTCTGAAGCAAGTGACCTCTTAACTTCCATAATCCCCAGCCGGCATGACCAGTGCTCAGCGATGCTGAGAGTTGTAGTGTCCAACAACATCCAGTAGGCTGTAGTTTTCCCACCCCTGCTTTAGGAGTAATTCCCAATTCACATTAGTAGGTATTTCCTTCAAAATTTCAGCAGGGGAGGAATAGTTTAAATCGGTTATCAGCACCACCATTGCAGCAGATACAGCTTGAATGGTCTAAAACATGCCCATTAAAAATGTAAAGATGCATTTAACCTCAATTGTAATTTGATCCAGATACTCAGTAATGAGGAGCCTCTGAGTCTTGAGACTGCACTCCCAAGAGGAGCTAGACGTTCCAAAGTTGTGTTTTTATGTTGTGGTTAAACTAAAAAAAAAATGCCCAGAAGGCAAAAATTAGCTGAGTTGTCTAAATAAATTCTTCCACTTCCAGATGCAGTAAATGTCCAAAACGAATATACTATGCTATGAACATCAACTCAGGTGCATGGATGCCTTTGAGAAAATGAACCGTATCAACATATATAAGCAAGGCATAGCTAAGGTGTCAGAGAGAGAAAGCGAAGGCAGCAGGGTGAGGGGAGATGTAGAAATTCATATGTGAAATAAAGGAGGGCTGCTTATGTGCACAATTCAGCCAATGGAGGCTGAATACTAGGCCCAGAGGGCAAGAAAGAGCTGGAAAGGTTAAAACCATGTTCAAAACTGCAGTTTGAAACTTAGGGAATAGATGTATGGCTAGATGCCAGTGTTCCCTGGCTCTGAAAGGAACACCATCCAAGGAATGGAAATTCAGTTCTCCAGGGGTAAACCCAGAAGCATAGCAGGGCAAGAGTAAAACCAGAGATCTCCTGAGCATAATCATTTAAGCTTTTAAGGGATTACTTCAACATAAGGGGGGAAATAACAAACTCCAAGTTTGTCATTATTCCTCCCTGCCTTTGCTTTTCCTTGGGTTGGAATATCTGAAACATCTTTATATCCAAGCTGTTGTTCCCTGCACTTGGCTAATATGCTAAAAACCTCTCTGCAAGAAGAATGTGCTTCCATATGCAAGGGGGCGAGGTGAGGTGTTTTCTTACCAGTTTCCACCCACATGCTATAGTCCAGTGTCTTGCATCACATTCTGTTCTGGAGGGTTCCTTGCCCTATGGAGCAGCTTTTCAATGGGTTTGGAGGACTATAATGTGGGAGGAACTAGTTAGCCCTCCCGCCTACAATGCAATATGGAAGTCCCTTCTGCTCACACATTGGATCTTTGCGTCCGATCTGTTAAAAATTGTGTTCCTGTGCTTTGTGCTTTCTTTATCCGTGTGTATTTTTGTTTCTGAGTGATGCTAGTGTTTTGAAAGCAGGCTTGTCTTTTGATTCTTGCATATCGATAACCAAAATCTGGCCTGAATTTTTATGTGCTCTGTGTTGTTCTTCCAACAAAATAGATTAACATCAACATCTTTGAGAGGATGATAACTGGCAGCTCTGGAGTTTGTAGATTGACTTCTGTGTAGGGCATGCTCTATATAGAGACATCTGGTTAGGTTGTTAAATAACTTCTTAGAATACTGAAAGATAGTTTTAGAAACTACCGACCTCTCTAAGATAGTAGAATTAGTTTGCTTTGTGCACATTATACCATCATAACATTAAGACAATCCAGTGGGTGGGAGCCGGTTACCTTTTCTCTTCCAGTGTTTGCACCTTTAGGTTCTGCTTTATCCTCATCACCATTCTTTGAATTCAAACAACAATTAAGATGTCTCCAGGCACTGCAGTTGTGTGGAGAGGTTGCAGCTCCTGTAAGCCATCCAGGAAGGCTGAGCATTGCTATTCATCTCCACAAAACTTTTATGCATATATATTTCCTAATCCTCCTGTATATTTCAAAGTCCCTGCTTTAGCAGTGCCTTAGCATTATACCTCCTGTGGGCCTTAACTCTCTGTTCCATTCATCTGTCTTTTCCTCATACCTAGCTCTTTCACTCAGTTTATAGAGCCAATTTTCCTTCAAGCCTTTTTTCAACACCCAATGAAGTTTTATCGACGCCTTTCCTGAGCTTTTCTGGCCTCATACTATCCTTCTTTCCACCTGATATTGCCCTCAACCCCCCCCCCCCCAAATCCAGCCTGAGCTTGTTATTTATTCCTGTTTTATCCATTTCTAACTAATCAAGACAAGGGCAGTCTTATTTCTATGTTTTGAATAACATGTATCGAGCTGTTGGCGCTGCTCTGGGTGACTACAAAGGATAGGGCCTTTTCTGTGGTGGCACTGCATTTACGGAATTTGCTCCCGGATCAAATCCCCTAGTGCCCATCTGATTACTTTTGTAAGTCACCTTGGAGGCCCTGGACCAGATTTAACTAACCCTGTGCGCTAGCAAAAGCCAGCACAATGGGGCTTTCCCCACCCACACCCCCAAAACTGCTCTGGAGGTTCAAGAGAAACTTCACAGCAGTGCAGAGGGGAAACAAGGGAGATAATTCCATATGGCAATCAGAAACGCTTGTACTGATTGAATGATCAAATCAACTCCACCTTCTATGGTTCCCAAGCGTGCCCCCCCCCCCCGGCACCTTAGAAAGGCAGACCTGCTTAGCTTCAGCGCTGGACAGGATAACAGCAACACTTCCTTAAGTCAATACTGATTTGCCTCCCCACTCCCTTTCAAAGAAAACCTCTGATAATAGTGTCTGCTTTTATATGCAGCACAAAAACTTGCTGCTATTTCTTTGGAAATTATACTGCATTTTTCTGCCTCCCAATTCTTACCATGCACGTTACCTGGAATACCAATTTGACTAGGCAGCTGTGCTACAAGATGGAAACCTGGCATTCAGTTTGATTCAGGATCCTGGACTCCTTGTGTAATTAGCTGTAGAATGCTGTCAGCTAAAAACAATCAACACTGGCTGCAGATTTGCAAATGAATGGTTGCAGCTGAGAGAGATTCCTCTGAGTTTCCTCCTTTAGCAATGTAAGGCCTAGCTGGATACTTCTGAAGAGATGAGCAGGCAACAGGAGGTATATGACTGTTTGAAGACTCATACTTAAATTGGATTGAATTTCATGTATTGAAGCCTAAATTTCGTTGTTTTTTTAAGTAAAATATCCTGTATGTGAGCTGTTCTCTGGGCTTCCTTCATTCAGAAATTAACTGAGATAATGTTTGCATTGCAGCAGTATATAAATTGCACTGGTTGCAAGGTAGACTGCTGAGTTTCACAAGTGGCTGTGAATATCATCATTATTCATTTGCAAGGTGTCTATCCTTGAAAAGCCGAGTATTACAACATGTATTTAGGTAGTGTTAAATTAATTTTATTGTTCATTTTTGGCATAGGCAAAAGTAAATCTATATTGTACAATATAGAAGATTAAACTAGGAGGCTGTGATTTATATGATTGTTTATTATTTTGTCCATCTTCTATTAACAGCCACGTGTTTTGTTTTGTTTTGGTCTGTTCTGTTTAAGTTTGTTTTGGGATTTGATTCTGAAACAACAACAAAAAGGAGTAACATCCTTCCCTCTTGTCTTTTGTTTTGCAGGTCCTTGAGCAGTATGAAAGAGAAGGCTTTAATTTCTTAGCAAAGGTTTTTAATTCCTCACATTCCTTCTTGGAAGATCTCACAGGTCTGACTCTGTTGCATCAGGAGACCCAAGCTGCTGAGGTAAGGTTCTTCAAAGTGGATCGGTTGTTATAGGAGCAGCTTTTGTGAATAAAATGCATGCATATGTATACACACACACACACACACACACACACACACACACACACTTATATATATATATATGCTCACATACATACACCTATTACTCAAAAACTCTTATGCTGATCTGTGTGTGTGCGTACACCAACCGTGAGAATTAAGTAGCAGTTGCTGTTCCATAACAAGAGTTCCTTTACAATCATAAGGAAAATACAATGGAGGAAGGTTGTTTCTTTCATCACCTGGATGCAAGCTTCTCAGAAACATGTCGCTGGCCCAGTATTGGAAAAGGGATGGTGAAGCTGACAGATCCTTAGTCTGGCATTGCTTGGAATATCAAGCCAGGTAAAAAATGAAGAAGGGAATCAGGGCAAGTATCAGCACTGAGTCCTACCTGGGTGCTACGCCCATGGCAGCTGCTTAAGAATGCCAGGTGGCAACACTGGCCTGGTGTAGTTGCTGCAGTTTTATTATTAGATGTCACATTTGACTTTGCTGTTGACCTTTATAAACTTCAATTTTTCGGTATATTTTATAAAGCTCTTTTCAACTGTGGATTAATGTTGAAGTCTGACATTTTTTGTAACAGGAAATTGGTTTGAAGTTATGACCAGAGAACAGTTATTAGAGTGCAATTTATCTCCTCAAAATATGGATAACCACAACTTTTTCCACTGTTGCATGACTCAAGAACTACTTTGTCTATTTAGCTTCAAAATGTGCTGTGGAAGAAGTATTATTTCCCCTGAGAAAAGAGATGGGTCAAGTATCAGCCAGTTAGTTTCTCTAGATGTGTCTGGAGGCATTGCTACTACAATCAGCCAGTGTGATGTAGTGGTTAGAGCGTTGGACTAGGGCCTGGGAGACCTAGGTTTATACCCCACTTGACCACAGAGCTCACTGGTTGACCTGGGGCTGAGAGAATGTGACAGGAGAAACATACCCCACAGGGTTGTTGTGAGGATTAAATGGGGAGGGGGGAACCATGTACCCCACGTTTCTGAAAGCTGGCTTGGAAATTTAAGAATAATTAAAATTGATAAACAGTAAAAGGACAAGGGTAGCAGTCTCCTAGAAACAGCTGTTCTCTCAGCAGAGCCAATGAAATAGCCCCGCTTCCATCTCTCTCTATTCTAGCCTGATGGAATGGCTGCTGTTAGGTGAAAAATCAGTGGAGGGACCAGCCTGATGGAGCTGGTCTTCCTAGCAGAGCCAGTGAAATGGCCCTCCAGCCCTCCTTCTTTGGAAATGGCTAGTAAAAAAGGGAGGGAAAGGAAACGACAAAGGAAACAGACAAAGAATTATCTGAATCACAGATGTAGAATTCACTGTGTAGATTCAACATTACAGATACACCATGATCAAGCAACTTATTGTAAACTAAGCATGCCTCTGATTTACAAGGTTGCTGCCTGCTCAAATTTTTTAGCCCACTCTGCAAGGCATTCCCCTTATTCATGCTGAGCTACAATTAAAGTGAAAAACAATAGCCTGCCTACTTACAGAGGAGCTCTGGGTCACCATTACATATTTGCATAACTTTTGATTAGGCTGCATGCAAAAACTTGAAATGGCAGTTTATTCATCAAGTGAAACAAGCAAGGGTTGTTGCTAACATAGCCATTCATGCAAGGACTTCTGCTCGTTCAATGGAAGCTCTCCACCTGCTCCCCCCTGCCCCCCACATCATCTTTCAGAGGATTGAGGGGACAGATTTGGAGAGCGTGTAAAGAAAGAAGAGGGAGGGGAAGTTCTGCTGTGCAAGCAGAACTTGTACAAATGGAAGGCCACAACCCCCAAAGTTTATATTAGGGGTTTAGAAATGACAAGGTATCCTAAAAATGCCAGTAAATATGTCTTACTCTCACATCTGGTTTTAATCCGGCAGGAAGTCATTACCAAAAAACAGCTAGAGAATTTCATTGTATCTTCCTCATGGCTTTATAATGCAATAGCTGTTGAGGTCAACTCCCACTTCATCCCAAGTGGACTTGTTTGCATTGAAGGCTGTTCACTTGGGGAATTTCTTCTGCTTGCTCCCAATCCTTAGTTGATGTGGCTGGTTTGTCTCCATATATACCTAGAGTTTATAGCTAGTTCAGAGAGAAAGCATATTAATAGTCTTTAGTCAGGATGCTGAGATGGGTTAAAACAATCTAGATTCACATTGTGCAGATCATACTGTCTGACTTTAGAAACAGACTCTTAAAATTCTTTACATATTAAAAGTGTTGGAGGGAGTGTGTGTGTGTGTAATAATAAATATATATAAATCAGTATAAGCCTTTTGCTTTATTCTGTCCTCCTTTCTACTTCTGCATCCCGCCATTTCTTCCTCCAAAATGACTGTATTTCCTCTGTGCTAAAACCCTCATCTTTCTTCTAAAGGTATCTTATTTAGATTATTATAGTATCCTCTTCCTTGGCCTTCCCTCCAAACGCCTGTTCTTAGTAAACTAAAGAACAAAACAAGAAAACTTGCAAACTCTCTGAAATGAATTAATTAATTTAAACTGTTGGAAACAGTAATTGAGAGTAAGCTGCTTGGAATCTGTTTCTGGAAAAGTGATTAGAAAGTTTCTTGTATTTTCCTTCTAGTAAAACGTCTATTTTGCAAGGTGTGGTGTGTGCAGCAGAGAATGTGTTTCAGTGCCCATATAATCTATATGTGGTATATTGCATCTCTTTGCCATTGAGTTTCATTTTGAATTTTCATTGCACTTTCCTATAAGATAATCCTGCTAATGTAGTCACCTACCACCCTCACCTGAATTCTTTTGAAATTCGATCATGATACATTCAGTAGAGCTGCAGTTCATTTTCATCGAATTTAATAGGATTGTAGTTTCCTCAGAAGTGATAATCAGATCAGAATGTCTGTGGCAAAGATGCCATATATAATTTTAATAGCAAGAGGGGGCAATTGCCCTCATCTCCTGCCTGTGGGCATTCTGTAGACATCTGGTTGGCCTTTGGGGACACAGAATGCTGGGCTGGATAGGCCTTTGGTCTGATTCTTCAAGGTTGTTCTTAACATCTTTATGCTTGTCTTACAATTGGTATGATAAATCTTCTGGTACCAGCATTTGTATTTCTTATCAAATTACATGAAAGCAAGTGAAATTCTGAGTTTTGGGGGGTGGGAATTGGTTGACTACACAGACAGAAGGTCTGTAATGCTCTGAAATCAGCTGCACATGGCATTAACTTGGTGAATTTACTTAACTACTCTGCTCTTCTAGAGTGTTTGGTTCACTTTAGAGCAGCATCCTGTCTCCTTGTTCCTTGTCCACTGTTCACATAGAATATTGTTTTCATTTTGGATCAAGCACGAAGCTCTTGCCATCACGAATAATAATAATAATAATAATAATAATAATAGTAATAATAATATTTTATTTATACCCCGCCCTCCCCAGCCAAGGCTTACAAGCAATAATAAAAACAAGCTGAATGATTACAACTTAAAAACAAAATTAAAATACAACATTAAAATATTGAAATATTAAAATATTAAAATGAATAATGATGTTTGTAGCTTCTACCCTGTTCATTTAACAGGGTAACAATTGTGCCAGTTTCTTGACTGTGATTATTTTGCCCAAGAGATTTTTAGTCACCAGTAAGAGATGGTTCTAGACACTGGAAATAATTGGCAGTAATAGCAAAGATAGATAAGCTTACTTGATCAGCTGAAGCTTTTAACAGATCAGTTTTTGTAGCAGAGCTATTACTGAAGGATGGAGAGAAAAGACAACACCAATAGCTAATGTGTTCTGAGTCTCAGCTTTTTGTCACAGGGAAAAATGAAGGCAGATTCTTCCCCTTCCCTCAATTACGTCTTCATGTAATTTTGGAACTTTAGTAGTTTATTTAATCTTTAGAACATACACAGCACCCAAAGATTAAGGGTCATAACCAATTCCTAGTCATACTGACCCATTGTAATCAATTGATTAAGTCTACTCTGAGCATGACTTAATTGGATACCACTGTATCCAATTCCTTGCACTGGGTTTTGAACATAAATATATTTGAGAGGTCTTTGCATCCCACACTCTGTTCCTGGTTTTCATATCTTTTCACCTCTTCATTCAGAACTTTTAATTTGTTTTCAGTGGCAGAGGGTGTTGAAAATATTAATTGACTCACTGCCTTCTGAAATATTACAATAAATGCCGCTGGCCTTTTTGCCAAGGTAAAGCTTAGAAACACTTTCTTTCCCTCCAGTATACTTGTAATAGTTCTGAGTTGTCTCTGCCTCCAGCATTGTTTCACTTGTCAGTAAATTAAACGATCTGTTGCAGGCTATGGAATGGATTCAAAGTACATGAGTGGAAGGCATTTTTGTGCTCAGATTTTCTTCCCAAGTTGCTGTCCTGTTGTGTACTGTTATACAGAGTCTCCCAATCATCTGAAATGCTTTTGGGGTGGGCAGGTAGCATAGGAGGAAACTGGCACCTCCTTTCCCCATGCATGGTGTATGTCATTTTATGCTTGAAAATATTTTGTATTCAATCTGTAGTAGAGAGCTTCATTTATTATACAATATTAAGAGAGAAAACTCAGAAGTGTCTTGGAAGGAATTATATTGTTTGTAGGCTTCAACTTGGCAGAAAGGCCAGCAGCATTTACTGCACTATTTCAGAACACAGTGAATTAATTAACATTTTCAACAATGTCCATATCTCTCCACTTACCCAGAGGAATCTTTGGACCCAACCCTTTGTGATCAAATTCTTACTAAAAACTTGACTAGAACTATATAGAAAGGTAAAGTATTCTAGTACTTAGGCTGTAGAGTCAGAGTCAAAATGCCATACATCTGTTTAGTAGTAATACCTCAAAGCCAATGTTGTATGTACTATAATACTAGTTATACTGTAACATTTTATGTAACAGTAATATTATATAACAGTGTAATAGTATAACAACTAGTACAGTGGTACCTCGGGTTACATACGCTTCAGGTTACATACGCTTCAGGTTACAGACTCCGCTAACCCAGAAATAGTACCTCAAGTTAAGAACTTTGCTTCAGGATGAGAACAGAAATTGTGCTCCAGTGGCGCAGTGGCGGCTGGAGGCCCCATTAGCTAAAGTGGTGCTTCAGGTTAAGAACAGTTTCAGGTTAAGAACGGACCTCCGGAACAAATTAAGTACTTAACCTGAGGTACCACTGTATAACAAATACTATAACAAATGTAATAGTAATACTATAACATTGTACTACTACTACTACTACTACTACTACTACTACTACTCATTAAATTTATATACTACCCTTCATCTGAAGATTGCGGGGCAATTTACAGTATAAAAACACAAAATACATAATACCTAACATAACAAAAAATATATGCCCCCATTTCATTGGTGAGATTCTGGTCTACCATCTTGCTGTCTCATCATTGCATTGATCATATATGGAGCAAAGTGCATTTTTCTATTTTTGCACTTACACCATATGTTGCATTTGTAACAGAGTGGCTGGGGAAACCCAGCCAGATGGGCAGGGTATAAATAATAAATTATTATTGTTATTATTGTATTTCTAATAAATCACAGAGACAACTTGCTCTAGGAGCCGAAATTATTGAGAGATGCTTTTTTGTGCCCTTCCTTATTTCTGTCACTTTGGTATGTTGTTTATTCTTTTGAATAATATTTCTTCCTTCTACAACACTGTTATTTAAACAGTTGGCTTTGCCTGCCCCCCCCCCCCCCCGTCCTTTATTGCCTCGTCAGTGTGTGATTAAAATGTATTTGGTCCGCATGTTCAGGTGTCTCTACTTTTTTAAGAGACCTATGTATACATGGAAAATTAGCATGTTAGTGGGGGGAAAGTGTTCTAGCTCAGTCTGTCTTCTTATGTGTATTTTGAGTGCAGAGAAACCTCTAATGTGCAATCTGCGCTAAGACTTTTTAAAGCAAGTGAGGAATGTTAATTGAAAATATGTGAAAAATAAATATCACATCTGCAATTTGTCAATCATGGCTATTTTTAAAAGAACCACAACAAATCCCTACCCGCCTGTCTTTCAACTATATCAGACATGGCGGCCTCCTCTCTGAAATTTATGTTTGCATTTTTAAAGGTTACGTTGTTTTTGCAGTAGTAGCAATAGCTTAGGTTAGTTTAGTTAATTTGGTCTAGAGACCATAAACGTCAGATATAGAGCTGGGTTATCAAGACAACCACAACATGCCTGCACACAGATTGTGCATTTTAAAATAAATAAATAACAAAATAACAAAAAAAAATTACAAAATCCACTATCAACAATAATTTAAATACTGACAGTTTTGATTCAGAACTCTGATGTTCCCTTTAACAATTGTGTTCTAGGTTTGATTGCTACCGGAAGTAATGTGGCTGGGTTTTTTTGGAATCTTAGGGTTGGAATCAGCCATTAAAACTGAAACATAAAATTCAGCTGAGTTCCCAAAATGTAAAGAAAGTACTGGGGAGAGAAATTGTGATATACTCTTATAAAAAGTACAGTATAGGAGAACATACACTAGCATTTCAACTGAGCCATTTTTCCAGGACAAACTCTCAAATACCAATACAGTCTCGACCTTTCATAACTGTAACAACAGCAGCAAGAATAAAATATTTATATGCCGCCCATCTGATTGGGTTCCCCCAGCAAGTTCTTTATTATTTTCAACGAAAAAGATTTGGTCACTTGATGACATGTAATTTGCTTTGGGTGATGCTTGAGGGTTGGTAATAATAAATAATAAATATAATATAGGCTTTAAAAATTAAACATGTTAAGAGAAGGAATCATAGGAAATCTGCATTTAAAAATGCCCTTGAAGAATTCAGGCTCTTCATACTAGCAAAGTTCTGAGTTTTCATGCACCTTTCAGAACACAAAACTATTACGTCTGTGGACAGCTCACCTCATATATATTGTGTAATTATTATACCTGCTATATGTTGCGAGCAGTTGCCAGTTGTGGCATACTGCTTTCCAGTCTTGCATATAAAAAGTGAAGGAGTAATAAATGGCGCTTTTAAAGAGCTGTAAATTCCTTCCAATTTTGTTCCTTTGTTGTGAAGCACCCTACAGGGATATGGTTTTAACCTCTTTCTGTGTCTTGGCTCTATGAAAGTGGAATGCAGTTATGAAAAAGTGACTAATCTGTATGCGAGGGCCTGCCCACATTTCTAAACCCCAGAGCTGCGTACCCAAATCCCGGTTCAACAGTTTCAAAATGTGTAGCCCCTTAGCCTGCCATTCTTTCCTTCGGGACAGACCTCTACATAATGCCCCCCTACTACACTTTTCTCTGCAACAGAAGCCAGACTTTTGCCTCGCTGAGCCCAGTATCTTGTCCCTCGGGGCTCACATTTTGCACTGTTGATTCTTTCCTCTGGAAAATCTCTGTTTGAAATGGAGGCAGCCAGTAGTTTTTATGAAAGTTGAAATAATCTAGAGGGAGGCATCCGTTCTCATGGGGCCCATTCTCTTTTTGTCCCACTGTCACCTCTCTCCAGATAAGAGTTGCAGGTTTTTGAATCTATTTTGAAACCAGCAAAACAGAGATGTGAACAGACTACGAGTACTGATTTATCATCCAAACCACCTTCAACTCTCCAACCATACTTTCCTATCCTACAAAGCGCTTGTTTAATGCTGTTTCTATTTACTTTGTTGACCAGCTCAACCCACTCATGGTTTTAAAAGCAGAGTGACTCAATCATAGCTTTGCCAGGCTGGGCTACATACTGTGAGTGCTGTCATTTTGAGACATGGGTATCCGTATTTATCTCGTTCTTAAGTTTTACCCGTATACTAAATATTTGTACCAACCACTGCCACCTCTTATTGACTCTGAATAAAGACTGCTTTAGTCTCTTATTATCTTACATTTTCTTGACTCTGCAATCAATTCAGAAAACACACTAAACAATTCCTTATCAAGCAAGGTACAAAAGTTTCCTATTGTCCTCCTATTGTACTTGAAACAAAGATAATTCTGGGGCCTTGGCTTTAATTTTTATACACAAGAAGCCTGTAAGTCCAAAGAATGCTAGTTTCATATGGTGTGTAGTTCAAAAGTTATTTTAAAACCCCTGCAGGCATTATGTATGTTGTGGGTTCATTCCCAGGAAATTAGCCCTTCTGGAATAAACAAACAATGGATATGGAGAATCTAAAACCCTTTGTACAGTCTCAAACCACCATGCAGTGCTGTTAATTGTATTTCCTCCCTTTCTCCTAGGTCACTTGTATCCTAGACATATAACCCCACGTCTAAGATATAAAACAGCTAACTAATCACAAGGGGGTAATTGGTCAGAAAAAAATTCTCTTGCAAGCGTAATGAAACATAAGCTTTAACAATCACATTTCGGATAATGTAACTATGGCTTGTGATGGTAGAACTGAATTGGAAAATTATAGAGATGATGCTGCAAGAAGCATGAAGCAATAGCGTTCTTATCCCTTCACGTTTTATAATGGTAAAAATAAAACGTCTTTTAAAGATGGAATGTAGTTTTACTGGGAGTATTTTATTATGTTGCAGGAAACAGTACCTGCTTCTTACATTATGATTCTATGAAAGCTTCCACGTACATTGAGAAAGTAATAAAGTACTATAAAATTATAAAAGCTGATCAATAATGGGTGGTTTCTAGCTTTTGCAAATGGTTTGAGTGCCTGTTTGAACTGAACTTTTACACTGCCAGCTCCATGTTCTACTGTCCTGGCCCACCCCAGCTAAGGCAGACACACATCTGAGAGTCGTGTCTATTGACAAAAGAAGCACTTACAGCAAATCCCAAGGTGCTTCAGATGCTCATGAACACACACTTCTAGCCACTAGGCAGCTGTCCCTCAGATCTGCACCCTGTGGAGCAGTTGCAGCAACAATGAGCCCCTGCCCTCTGCCAGCTTATATGTCCTCTTGGGACAGGTTGTTGCTGATCTTCCTGCTTCAAGCTCCTCCTGGTTCTAGGAGACAGCGGGGCAGAGGAAGGTGGGGAGTCTAGTGACCTATCTGTTGCCAGAACATCCCCTTCTTCTTCCTCCCCATCCTGTGCACCCTCCTCTTTCTCGGACTCATAGAATCATAGAGTTGGAAGAGACCACAAGGGCCATCGAGTCCAACCCCCTGCCAAGCAGGAAACACCATCAGAGCACTCCTGACATATGGTTGTCAAGCCTCTGCTTAAAGACCTCCAAAGAAGGAGACTCCACCACACTCTTCTTCCTGCCTCTGCCCCATACTCTTCAGAGCCCTGCCAGTCCCTGACAGGCACCTTACATGAGCTCGTTGAGCCAGTGTCAGCTTGTCTATAAGAATCAACATGACGGAGCCCAGCTTCATACTCCATCCCCATAACTTCTCACTCTCATGGGAGACAACTGCTAGCTGCAGGTACTTCTCTGTCCTGTTTTAAAGAAGACAGAGAGAGACTCGTTCTAGATTAAAATGTGAAGCACTATATGCATGTGCCTAGCGGTTCCTGGCATTCAAGCATATGCCCAGTATTTTCAGAACTAGTTTTACTCCTGTTGGCATAGCCTGACACGACTTGAAGAATCCCTACCTCCTTGGTCACCTACTTGTTTGCCTGAAAAACTGTGTCGAAGGTACATTCGCCAAAAGGAGTCATTTGGTCTGGATAGCGTTGGGCATGCAGACGTTGCATGAAATGGAGAGCATTCTTACTGTTGGTCTCTAAAGATAGGCTGCTAGTGGAGAAGGGAGGCAGGCTTGGTGTTAGTATAAGCCACCCAGAAAGAGGTCTAAGAGTGCTAGAGAAAAAGGCAGGTGACCTTGGGTGCCCTGTGTAAGTTGTGAGTACTGAGATGACTAGACAGGTGCTGTAGTCTAAAAGCTTTTGGAAGCACCAGCCATTGGGGATCAGAAATGTGGGACGAAGGAGAATACAGGCGTACCTTGGAAGTTGAACGGAATCTGTTCCGGAAGTCCGTTTGATTTCCAAAATGTTCGAAAACCAAAGCGCGGCTTCTGATTGGCTGCAGGAAGCCATGGAAGCCCCATCAGATGTTCGGCTTCCCAAAAAAGAGTTCACAAACTGGAACAGTCACTTCCGGGTTTGTGGCGTTTGGGAGCCAAAACGTTCAAGAACTAGGCTGTTCGAAAACTAGACTTTATAGTTCTCTAGTTGCTGTAAAATGTTCTGAAAAATTTAGATTACTTTCTTTATGCTTTTCTGGTCATAATAATATTTGCATCAACCATATTGTGGCTCATACATTTTTAACTGTTTGAAGTGTTTTGGGGATCACTGATTTTAAAGCTATGTAAATTAGGCATTTTTATTTGCCTGCAGGCAAAATTTATAAATCTTTTGAGTAGTTTTGTGTTTCAGAATATCCACCAATTTTTAGCCTTTGGGATAGACTACAGCTATTGCTTAGGTAGCAAGATTTTATTCTTCTTTAAATTTTTATTAAATTTTTATTAAACACACATTATTACAGCTGGACTTTTAAAATTCCTTTCGGATTGGTTGCCAAATACCGTATTTTTCGTCCTATAGGGCGCACCGGCCCATAGGACGCACCTAGTTTTTTGGGGGGGAAATTAAAAAAAAATCATTTCCCCCCACCAGCCACGGGGCTGGGGCTGGGGCTGCCCGAGCTTCCCCCGACCCCAGCCCCCAGAACAGGCTGCTGCCCGCAAGCCTTGGGAGCCCGCGGGACCTCCCGCCGGGCGCGCAGGGCTTGCGGACATCTGCCCGAAGCACGGGGCGTGCTCCAGAGCGCGCCCCGTGCTTCAGGCAGCAGGCTGCTGCCCCAGCCTTCCGAGCCTCGCCGGGACTCCCGCCGGGCGCGCGGCTGGGGCATCTGCCCAAGCCCGGGCGACGTGCCCGCAAGCGCCCCGTGCTCGGGCTGCAGTCTGCCCGCCCAAGCCTGTGAGCCCGGCGGACGTCCTGCCGGGCGCGCAAGTGCGCATCTGCCCGAGCACGGGGCGTGCTCCGGAGCGTGCCCCGTGCTCGGGCGGCAGGCTGCCCACAGCCTTGGGAGCCCGGCGGGCACTCCCGCGGGCTCCCAAGGCTTGCGGAAAGCTTCCTGAAGCCTGGAGAGCGAGAGGGGTCGGTGCGCACAGACGCCTCTCGCTCTCCAGGCTTCAGCGAAAGCCTGCATTCGCCCCATAGGACGCACACACATTTCCCCTTCATTTTTGGAGGGGAAAAAGTGCATCCTATAGGGCGAAAAATACGGTAGATAGTTCACTTAAAATATTTTTCCTGTTGAAGAGTTTGAGCTTTTCCATGCAAATTGTATTCTCCTTCTTTCAGTATGTTCCAGGGCAATGAAGAATAAATAGACCGTTTGAGACACTTTCTGCCATTCTTAGCGTTCGAAACTCCCATTGTTCTAGGCACTTTTTGCGACAGGGAATTTCATTAATGCAAACAGTTTCTGAGCTCTGGAAGCAGCACTGCGCCTAAGATTTCAGATTAAAATTGCCACTGTTTGAATGAAAGGAGGACCTTTTTCTGCCTTTCCCACTTCTAGCCACTCTCTGAGGACTGCAGAAGGGACCCTCATAAGAATATTAGTTGGGCAGGCAGGGGAAGCATGGCTTTGTTTTTTGCAGTCTTCACATGAGGACTAGACCATGTGAAAAATGAATAGAAGATTTTAGCTGCAGTTCATTCATTTTCTGCTTTTGTATTTTTATAAAAAAGTGTGCCTAGATATTCCATTGCAGCACCCATAACCTAGGTTTAATGTGCCATTTAGCTCCTCGCTTTCATATCTCAGTTTCTAATACTGGTCATTCTCATGTGATGAATAAGACAAAGCGACATGCAGATAAACCTTTTGCTATCTTTAAGAACATAAATAATAGCATGCTGTGTCCACATACAGACAAACACTTGCCTGGTATATAGGCCCCTGTAGGTCTTTGGAGTTGGAAGAGAAAAATTTGGTTGCAGTTGTACAAATTACTTCCAGATGTAGATTTCAATAAACACATAGTGTTGTTGCTTTACCCGAAGGTGCTATAAATTTCCTGAGACAAGTCTGCATCTAGTAAACTGTTGAGTATTTGAATACTAATGAAGTCACTGTATTCTGTGTGAATGCAATCTCTTAATGCTGCATGGTTCAGGACTTTTCCACTAAGATGACTTTTTAAGAGTATTGTATTTTAATAGTCAGGGCCGTCTTTAGCACATGCGGCGCTGGGGTGCAAATTTAGTTTAGCTGCCCCCAAATTAACTTTAACTGAGCTTTTTTATGAGGGGGGATCGCTCACCTGTAACAATGATGCGCACAGCCGTGTGGTCACGGACCCTTCCCCACAGAAGGGACACAAAGTGAGGGAGAGTGGAGGGAGAGGCCACCGCGTCCTTTTTTGCCACGGGTACCTGCTGGGTGCTGAAGTCCCATCCCAAGTAGTTGGGCTCGGCAGGCGCAGCCATGGCAGCCTGAGGCGAATGGGCCTCACCCCCGCCATCCTCGCACGGAGGGAACAGGGCAGGGAGTAGGCAGCCCGGGCAACAACTTTTGCCTCAGTACCACCTCACAGAAACGGCTTGGCTGGTCCCTCTCCTGTGCCCAAGCTCCACCGGGTCCTGGTAGTTATTAACCCACCCGCCCTGCGGCCCCTTTGGGGGCGGTTAAATAGGACCTGTCTCTCACTTGCCCAGGGATCGAAACGGCGTTGATGGCCTCGTTACCCAGTGTGAGTGGTCCTCCTCTCAGTGGCTCTTTTCCTCAGGTTTTTGGGCACTTCAATCCCCCCACTTTTTAATACAGTACAGTGGTACCTTGGGTTACAAACGCTTCGGGTTACAAACGCTTCAGGTTACAGACTCCACTAACCCAGAAGTAGTACCTCAGGTTAAGAACTTTATTTCTGGATGAGAACAGAAATTGTGTGTATACAAATCACACAACACAAAGCCGCCTGCAAATAAATGGTGTCAGTCATGACACTTAAGAGGAAATGAGATTAAACTACAGTCTTGTTCAGATTAGCAATGAGGAAAGGAAAAAATGCATGGTTAAAAACCTGCAACAATGACAAAGCGGAAAAAACTGCTTTTGTTTCCTGACTCGTCAGGAATATTTGACGCTACGGAGTAACAAAGCGACGGAGTAGGGGAACGGGGACTTTCACTCCATTGTTTTTCACTGCCGCCGATAGAGATGGAACGGTGTACAGTACATATACATTTGGCGCCCCCCAGAATTCAGCGCCCAGATGCCCTGCACCCCTTGCACCCCCAGTTTAAGACGGCCTTGTTCATAGTTGACATCTATGTTTGGATATTTACGACCCCAATCTGTACAGAAGTTCCTTTAGGAGTTCATGTTAGAGTAAACAATGGGAGGGTGGTTACATTTTGATGGTGATGTAGATGCACTTTGGGCCATACCTCACAATTGCCATCTGCAAATTTTGTACACATGGGACTGGGTCTAAACATGTCCTTCCATTAATTCAAAGGCTCCTTCCATTCATTTGCGCAAGAGAGTTTGATCCAGGAGACATTCTTGCTGGAGGAAAGGGAGAGAGGTAATTTTCACACATTTCTGCACACAGATACCCGGTGCCATGAGGTTCAGAAGGTTCCCCAGTCCTCCAGAGCAACTTCATCCTTTGTCAAAGTCCTTCATCCAAGTTGTTTATAAAGATGTTGAACAACAACGGGCCCTATGACAGAACCCTGAGGCACCCCCCTTGTCCCTTTTTACCAGGATAGTAAGGAACCATTAGTGAACATCGTTTGGTTTCGGTCAGTCAACCAGTTATAAATCCACCTAACAGTTAGCTCGTCAAGCCCACATTTTACTAGCCTCTCTGCAAGAAGCTCATGGGGTACCTTTTCAAAAGCCTTACTGTAATCAAGATTCACTGCATCCACAGCATTCCCCTGATCCACCAAACTTATAAAAAACCCAATGAAAATAATAAAAATGCAAAGATGATTGTAAATTGTATAATGTGGAGGAAATCGAGTGGGGGCAGAGGGAAGTGGGAGGAAGGACAAAAGAATAATATGATGGATTGAGGAAATATAAATGTAAATGTATGGGGGGATGGGGAGGAAATGGTGTTGGTTTTGGTACATCTGTATTGTAATGTAATATATGAAAACCAAAAAAAAAAAAAAAAGAGAAAGAAAGTAAAATAATAAAAATCCCTGTTTGGCCACTATGAAACAAATTCTCAAAGTGATGGTATAAGACCCAGACTACAGGTTATACAAGGAACATGTGCCTGCCTTTAATAAAATAAAATGCACCACACAGCACCATCGGGCTTAGAGTTTCCCTGCCCCTTGCAAGCTATAACCAATAAAGTGGGCAGAAGCAAGGAAACTCTGAGCTGCTGATAGAAGCCACAGGTTTCTCATAATATGCAGTTTGGTCTGAAGCTGCATTGGGCATCCAAAGTAGAATATATAAATATTCTCATTTCGGTTTCAGCAGGAAAAACCTGTCCTGAGAGCTAAACAGCTTTCAATAGGTTCCAGTATTTCAGAGAGGCGACACTTTTATTCCTGGTTCTAAAATTATTGGGTTGGGAGAAGTTAGCCTATTCAGTCTATGCTGAGCCTTTGGGGACAGCCCATGTAGTTTGTTTGTGGTTAGCAAAGCTAAGTTGAGCAATTCTTCTGGAAGACTATTGAACTTGAAATAAAATGAGACTGTAGAAACCACTGTTGGGAACTAAAAAGACAGGGAGAGAGTGCCAGCCCAGAACCATGGCAGACAGTGTTTAGTTTGGAAGCCAAATGGAGCAGAGCCAAGCAGCAGTGCAAAACGCACAAGTCACATGAGAAATTAAATGAGTCTCAGTCGGTGGAGAATGTATAAATGTGGCCTGTGTTTTAATAGAGAGACATGAAGGGACAGAAGCATGATAACAGCATGGAATGATTTTCCTGCAGTGAGTTATCTCTCCTGGCTTGTAATACTTGTAAAGGGTCGCTGCTGTTTTGCTCATTTCATGCCTCGGCTCAGTATACCTGAAGGAGCGTCTCCACCCCCATCATTCAGCCCAGACACTGAGGTCCTCCTCTGAGGGCCTTATGGAAGTTCCCTCACTGCGAGAAGTGAGGTTATGGGGAATGAGGCAGAGGACCTTCTCGGCAGTGGCGACCTCCCTGTGGAACGCCCTCCCATCAGATGTCAAGGAGATAAAGAACTACACATCTTCTAGAAGACACCTGAAGGCAGTCCTGTATCAGGAAGTTTTTAAATGTTTGACATTTTACTATGTTTTTATATGTACAGTGGTACCTCGGGTTAAGAACTTAATTCGTTCTGGAAGTCCATTCTTAACCAGAAACTGTTCTTAACCTGAGGTACCACTTTAGCTAATGCCACCACGCAATTTCTGTTCTCATCCTGAAGCAAAGTTCTTAACCCCCAAGGTACTATTTCTGGGTTAGCGGAGTCTGTAACCTGAAGCGTCTGTAACCTGAAGCATCTGTAACCCGAGGCGTCTGTAACCCGAGGTACCACTGTACTGTAAGCCGCCCACAGTGTCTGGGGAAACCCAGCCAGATGGGTGGGGTATAAATAATACAATTATCATTATTGGTATTGGTGTCCATGCGCACCTCTGTTTATCTCCCAATAGCAGCCACTCTGTTTAACCCCCAATAGCAGCCACTGTAGTATAGCTCTCACATTTATGCAGTATCTTATTGGACAGAGCTGTGATGCATGTTAGGTTTCTGTTTTGGGGGAGGGGCGGATTGCCTTGCCTTGCCTTGCCTTGCCTTGCCTTATGGAAAGACTCAAACACGGCAATACAAGTGCAGCTACTGAATCTGAGGGAAACCAAGTCACTCCTGCCTTCTCTTGGCAGGGAATTCAGACATCCAGTGACAGCTGTGTGTGTGGGACTGCATTGTTGCCACAACAACCTGTTGCTGTTGCAAAGGGAGAAAAGCCCTTGCATTTACTTTCTGCACAGCCAGTGAAGAGAACTCAGTTTCATCTCCTCTCTAGTGTGGGCCAATGCTCTGAATAGTTTCAAATTGTTAGCACTGGGAGCAGATGAAAGGGGACCCCTTGGCTATAGGTGGTACCAAGGGGCCAAGAGTGAGCAAATGCCCACCCTAAAAATAGCCTGACAGTCTGTTAGCCCAGCATGTCTGAATGTGGATATAAACTTGTTTCTGTTTGTATCATATCATACACCATATTAAAGATTAAATGTGAGATGGAGCTTCCCTTCCTCTCCCCTCCACCCCGCCCCCCCCAGCAGTCTACTTCACTTTTTCTGGAGCCTCTGCTGCTCCTGGCCATTCAGGCTTCTGTAGCTGTCCTTACAAGTTTTTTGATTGGGACCATAGTTTAGACGGCACTCTAAAATTTTTTTTTTGCATTAAATTCTTTCATCAACACTCACCGAAGTTTACTATGGAAAGGTTGTTTTAGATCTGCCATCCATCTGCCTCTCTCCTTCCTGCAAAAAGAGAAGCGCGAAAACTTGTGAGAGCATGCATAAGAAGACTATTTTGAAATGTCATTGTGTAAGACTTAGAGCAAGCCTATAAAGATTTTTATTTGCATTGACTTATTCCGTAACTAACTGGCAGCTTTATGGATTCAAAAGAAGCTGTAGAAATCCTATTATTACGTCTTCCGGAGTTCCTTATATAATTGCCTTCTTTTTTTTTGCCTATGGCTTTAAAACAGGGGTGGGAAACCACTTCCAGCCTGAGGAATTAAACCTTGCCAACTTTCCAGGGGCATGGCAAGAGGCAATTTTTTTTGGGGGGGGGAGGGTAATTGTACATATTTTACATTAACATTAAACACTTACAGATGTAAATATTATGCATTATATTTACAAAATCAATATATTTTATATTTCTATTTTATTTTTAGTTTTAGGGGAAATTGTGTATAAAATATATCTTTTCCTAGGGAAAGTGTGGAAAGTGGCGAGGCAGAACAAAATGCTTAACAAATGATTCAGAAGATGTCATGTGGCTGGTGGCTGGATGAAGTTTGCTAGAAATGGCTTCATGGAGGGGCTTGGTGGGTTGAATTAGACCCACATATCACAGATTTCCCACCACTGCTTTCTAGTGACTGGAGATGCCAAAGTTGTATTTCAGCTCCTTTTTTTTAAAAAAGGCTTCTTTTTCTTATTTTGATGATGTTTGATTTTAGGTCTCAATATTTTGCTTCGAAAATTGATAAAGCATTGCAATAGTTCATTTACTGTGCGCTTTTTTTTTTAAACGAATACCTCAGCTGTTCTGATTTTACCGATTTCGCTGAACCTTATTTGTGTATCGTTAACAACTCACTGGATGCTTCCTAACACTGAGCCAGGAGATGGAAGAAAATCATCTTTAAGATACTGTTTTTACTTCTAAAATAAATCTGGTGCCCTCTATAGAGGGGAGGGAGAAGTGGAGAGAGCACCCTTTAGGCACCTGGGATACATTTATGTCAACTTCACTTTTTACTTTCTGACCCACCTCTCTCCTGGCCCCTATCTCTTGACAGTTGGAAAGAGAACTGCATTGCAATGACAGCTACCTTTCCAAGGTTTTAGGAGCCGAAATAGTCCTGTGGAGCTATTTCTGGCTGTGGAAAGCCGGAAAGAAAGGCGAGGTATAAAATTATGCAAAGGGTGTGGAGAAAGATCTGCCTCTCTCATACATAGCACTTGAACTTTTGGCCATCCCCTGAAGCTGGATGCTGGAGGATTCACAACAGATAAAATAAAGTACCATACTTTTCCGTGTATAAGACTAGGTTTATTTCTTTAAAAATCATGCTAAACAATGGGGGTTGTTTTATACATGGGTAGTGCATTTGATTGGTTGCTGCCGTGGCTGTTTGCAGCTATTGTGCGTGTTACTGGTTGCTGCGTCAATGGGTGGTGTTGATTTGCTGACGCTGCGGCAATTGGGCGGGTGATTGGCAGCTTCTGCTGGTGAGGGGACAAGACGCCAATTTTGCGACGTGTGCGGGTGAGTGATTATTGGCAACCCCCCAAAAAAAGCTCAACAACCCTGGGTAATCCCCCCCCAAAAAGCTCTACAGCTCTGGGCAATCCTCCGCCATAAAAGCTCAACAACTCTGTGCCACCTCCCCCCAGTTCCTGAAATTTGAGTCCTCAAAAATAGGGGGTGTCTCTTGCACAGAAAAGTATGGTATTCCCCTCACAAAGTGCATAGCTAAACCATGGAATTCACTCCCAAAAGATAAAGGGATGGCCACTTTAAAAAGGGATTAGACAGATTCATGGGAAATTGGGCTATGTTCTCCTTCCTCTCAGAGGTAGCATGCACAGGTGGGGAGTGTTGTTACACTCCAGTCCTGCTTTCAGGCTCTCATAGACAGCTGGCTGGCCACTGTGAGAACAGGATGATGAACTAGATGGGCCAGAGGCCTGATCCAGCAGCCTTTTCTTACATTCCAGTTCCTTGATCATTTTTGTTGTCGTTTTCTACACATTTGGTGGCTAAAAAAACATTGAAAGGCACTCATCGTGTTTCCTGATCCTATGAAATGCAATAATTTGTCAGCTATTCTTTTCCAAGGTAAGCCCAAAGGCTTACCGGCTTTGCATCATGCTGTATACTAATGTTAATATCCCTGACCTTTTAGAAAACATGCTAATTGCAGCAATTTACTGTGTTGCAGTAATCCTGCCCCATCTCCCTTCCCTCATTCACTGTGATGATCTGATGTCATGTTCATGAAAGCTCTTGCTTCTGGGTGAAGGAATGTTGGCAATTCAGATTGTGAAAGAAACAAAAAAGCCTCTTACCAAAAAAATGCTTTAATATGTCAAAAGTGTTACTACACTATTCGTCTTCAAGATAACCCAGTGAATTCTGCTCTAATTATCTTGTTCGACATCTTCAGTCTCAAATTAGCTGCTCTAATTATTATTAAACTTGTATATGACCAGAGGGGAATTTTAAGTTTTGGTCAGTATAAGTTCTTTTGAACACTTACTTAAACAGAAGGTTGAATCCATATTAATGTATTACATAGCAAGTATATTTCTGTATATTCCTGCCAACCTAGCAGTTCGAAAGCATGTCAAAGTGCAAGTAGATAAATAGGTACCACTCTGGCGGGAAGGTAAATGGTGTTTCTGTGCACTGCTCTGGTTTTGCCAGAAGCGGCTTAGTCATGCTGCCCACATGACCCAGAAAAACTATCTGCAGACAAATGCCGGCTCCCTTGGCCAGTAAAGTGAGATGAGTGCCGCAACCCCAGAGTCGTCCGCAACTGGACTTAACCGTCAGGGGTCCCTTTACCTTTATATTTCTGCTCATAGAAAAATACAAAAAAGTGGAAATTTAAGGGTATTAACTTGTTGGCAAAACTTTATTTGGCCGAATAGTAACAGTAGCTGCCAGTTCATCTGTTCTTTTACATGGTGTTTCTCTCAGGAATTATTTCATTCTCTAAGCTGTGATCATCAAAATCTTCTCAATTACAGTCTATGATTTGACTTTATTTGGTATTTCCGGAGAGACGTCACAGGTTTATGACTTTAAATCATGGTAAATGAAATGGAAAGATGGTCCTAGCAAAATTTCTTTTTATTGTTAGAGAAGAGGGAGTGTAAGATTAACAACTTGCTTTACAGTGAAGATGAGATCTTACTGCACTAGATTAATTATTGTGTCAAACAATTCTAGTTTCTAATGAAAATCAGATGCTGTACAAATTCTGGGTTGTTGTTTTCAAACATGCCAGAGAGTCAGTGGTGGTCATCTGCATGTTAATATACACCAAAGTGCTTTACACAGAAGTAGTGCGTCTGACACCAAATGTCAGTGTCATCCCTTTGCATTCCAGGTCATTGTGCACTTGCGTGAAATCAGAAACCCATTGAAAACACCTGCAGACACCCTATTCCGCTCCTACCCCCATTCCACCCTTTTAGTGATGTTTCAGTTACGTCTTTGATGTTTCTAGGTCACTTCCATGTTCGAGGCTGTGTGTGTGTGTACGATTGTGCACATATTGGTCACTCCTAAAACAAGAGTTGCCTGTAGTTCAACCTTTGGGTATTTTATTTGTTGGAAATACATGTATAAAACAGTGTTCTAAAATTCTTCTAGAAGTGAGGTGCAATACAGCTTTTCTGAAATCCTAATATGGGGAGAGCTTTGGAACTGCTATGGAATAAGGTTAGTAACTGGCATCGTTTTCACTTTATGGGGATGTGATAAGGACCTTTCTTTGTATCAAGCTGAAGTAAATTTAGAGAGTGCAATTCAGGGATTTATTTAAGTGGGAACTTCATACAGTGCTGCTTTAGCTTTTAATGGACGAAGAGAGACTGGGAAGCAAACAGTGTAACATCAAATTTTTTTTTTTTTTTTTTTTTTAAATATTTTATTAAGGATTTTCTTGTTTTACAGAAGTGTAGTGCCTCGTATTTTTTTTCCCATGTAACATTTTTACAAATCCGTTTCATTTGTTGAGGCATTAGGGGGAGAAGAAAAAAAAAAGAAAAAAGAAAAAGGGGGGGTGGAGAGAGGGAAGATGGATGGGGGTGGGGTCGGGTGGCGGTGTTTCTATTATGTTTAATGTATGTAGAGTTTGGTGTCAGCGTTGCTTGTGTTGTTCACTTGTGTTCCTTTGGTGGTGAGAGAGGTTGGGGTTGGCCTAGGGTGTGATTGTTTGCTTGTGATTGGCTGTGGTGATCTTTGTTTTCGTGTGTGAGTGAGGTGGGTGGGTGTTTTGGATCAGGTTAGCCATATTGATTTGTATGCTGTTGGTGGATTATTGTCATTGTCCTGTTGGGCTGTGTATGTGATAAATGGGAGCCATACCGGGGTGAAGGCGTCTTCTTCTGTTTGTCCCCGTGTCAGTTTCAGTTTATTAGTTAATTTTTCTAGTAGGGCTGTTTCCCATACTATTTGGTACCATTGGTCCATGCTTACTCCTGACAGGTCTCTCCAGTGTCTGGTTATGGTGTTTCTGGCTGCTGAGAGCAGGTGGGTTATGAGTTCTTTGTGGTGTAAATGGGCATTGTTGTCTTGGAAGATGTTTTAAAAAGTGGATTGGTGGGGAGAAGAATCCAGGAGATTACAGTCTATTCTGTGGTAAATTGGTGGAAAGCATTATTATTTATCACGCATATAGAAGGTCACACAATTGGTCATCTTAATATGCCAATAGAGTAAAAAATAAAAAATTAACAGAGTTGTTGCTCCACTGAGAGATCCAATAATTGGTGTTGACAGAATTTACACAAACATCAACACCAAGCTTTTCAATTAGCAAAAGAAGTAAAGTCAGCTACCTCTGGGAAGATTACAATACTGCTGTGTTAGATCACAGGTAGTAGGAGTGGAGCACTGATTTGCATCATTAAAAAAATCAGAAGAATAGACATCAACATCCTCTCCCAAGGGTTCGAAATTAGCAAGGCACCAGGCACATTTTGCACCTAAAGATTCTCCATTTTCGAGCACCTCAAAAAGCCTGGGTGCTATTTTTTGTGCGTGGCTGACATGCAAGGATTACTGAAATGCATGTGCTTTGAAGCCTCAAAGTATATGTTAAGGATAGGCAATATGTTAAGGAGTTTAACAGTAAAGAGTAGTGTTTTGAAAACTGAAGTTTAGTACCAGTATTTTTATTGTAAACACCAAATTAAACATGTATTATCAATTTCTGCTAAAAATGTGATATTAACAATGTGTCACTTACGTGAATTGCGTATTAATTCATGCTTATCAAAATAATAAAAAGTGTTGCTGACACCCCCCCACATGGCAACTAGACATTCTGTTTGGCACCCACAACCCAGGTCCAGAAGCCATTTGGTTCCCAGCTTTTCTATCCCAGTTTGTAACGCTGCCTCCCCCCACTCCCAAAAACCCCAAAACTAGTTCTTGTTGTGAGAAAAAACCTGCCTTGCCTACCTTTCAGGCATCTTGCTGCTGCTTCAAACTTCAATGGAGTTTAGGTAATTCAAGCAAAATAGCAAAGGCACTAGACAAAGTGCAGTTCGGCATTGCTCACTTATCTTCCAGTCCAAATAGTCCCTCCGTCATGCCTGCCTCTCTCCTATCCAAATCTGCAGCTGCTCAGGTGAGGAGGAGCAGATTCTGTTTTGCTCTTGACTTGGGAAATTAGTGAGGGAGCATGAGGAGACCCCGCTGTGGTGCTGCCCCTCCCTCTGCCCCAGAAATCTTCCTGAGCTGTGAGCAGGCCTGTAAAGCAATTAGAGACAGACAGACAAGACTACCTCCCACTGGCCCCTTTCAATACTAGCAAAAGAGAACACCAGGACAGGACATACTGTAGCAGGCTTTCTGGTGTAATAGGGGGACACCTGACCACCCTAATCAATGACTACTAATTCTGATGGCTGTCTGCTACCTCCAGGTTCAGGGAGTTGCTGGAGAGCAACAGTAGGAAAGGGCTTTTGCTTTCATGTCCTGCTCCTGAGATGTTCAGAGGCATCTGGTTGGCCACTGTAAAAGGCAGACTGCTGGACAGGTTTGGTCTGATTCAGTAAAGCTCTTAGGTTCTTAAGTTTTGGAAGCTCTATTCTCCCTTGTTGGCTTCCCCTTCCGCTGCAGTCTCCCATGCAGGATTAGGAGACCTTTCTGGGCAGATTTAGTGGGAGGACATGCATTTCACCCTATGCCTTGGTATTTTCCACTGAAGACTGCCACCATGTATTTTATGTTGTGTATCAACCCATGAAAGGAATTTATAAGCTACCTCTAGGTAAGAATGTGACAACCAAATTCTGATGTGTATTGTTGGAAGACACTCATACACAATTCAAAGTGCTGGTTTTGTCGTATACATGACCTTGTTACGCGAAGAACAGTCTTCTCAATGTGTAGGCAAGTATATATGGGATCAGCAACAAAATCTTTATTCAAGAAACCCCAACTTCAGAAGTTAAGGGGATAGTTACTAGGCTTCAGTGTGGTACCTTGAGTTTGGAATGCCTCCTTAAATATTTTCTTGTCACTGACCAAGTTTTCTGTTTCTTGATGGAATTTAACTCTTGACATCTTCTGGTTAAATTCTATATACAATGGTACCTTGGGTTAAGAACTTAATTCGTTCTGGAGGTCTGTTCTTAACCTGAAGCACCACTTTAGCTAATGGGGCCTCCTGCTACCGCTGTTCTGCCGCTGCACGATTTCTGTTCTCATCCTGAAGCAAAGTTCTTAACCCAAGGTACTATTTCTGGGTTAGCGAAGTCTGTAACCTGAAGCATCTGTAACCTGAAGTGTATGTAACCCAAGGTACCACTGTAGTTTCTTATCATTGTAGTAAGTGTGTTGTAAATGGGTTTATGTTTAGTTTAGCTTTTGTACTGTGCAAGTTTTTTCCTCTTTCTCTGTAACATACTTTTGAACATAATTTTCAGATGGCAAGTTTTTTTTAAAAAAAAGAAGAAGTAAAATTAGCACCCATGTTCAATAAATACTTCACCTAAAACATTTTTGTTTCACCCTCATAAAACAGGAGAGGAGAGTCAATAGGCCTTGAGTTGTTGTTGGACTCCAATTCCCATCAGTGCCAGCCAGCATCACTAGTTCTGAGGGGGGTTGGAAATTGTGGCCCTCCAGATGTTGTTGGATTACAAGTTGGCCATCCTTGCATTAAATACAGCATCTAATCGAAGGGGTGTCTCAACTTGGGGTGGCTAATTTGGACATCCCCCAGTAGGGTGTGTCATTTTAGGGGGTGAAAGTTAATTTTTGCAAATTTCTTCTTCACTCCTTATTTTTGGAATTTGAAAGTTGAAAAATTCTACATGCCCTAATTCCCGCAGCCTCCTCTCTCTCTCTCTCTCCTCTCTCTCTCTCTCTCTCTCTCTCCATACACACACACACAGAGAGAGAGAGAGACGATTTCCCCCCTTTTGCTTGTGGCATAGTCCTTTTTTGTTCCATTGGCACACACTTGTTGATGTAAAAAGATGCTGGCACAATCTGCTACTTCTCTTCAGATTGCCAGGGTCACTCTTAAGGCATTGGAATTACTATGAACATTTCAGCAGTGTATATTTCAGTGTATATATGTAGCAACAACTGCTAGTTCACACATCAAATTTCACTATTGGAAATGGTCAGGAGGGATTTTGTGCAGAGGAGCAAAAGGATTCAGGGTTTCTCCTGGCATTCTGCCACTTGAACGCTTTGCTGGAAAGTGAGCAATAAGGGATGCAGTTCTTCTTTTTAAGCTTTTACAAGCATGCTTTGTTTTTAATGTGTGTTGCAACTGAAAAGCAAGTTGCAGTAAAAGTCAATGAATGCAAATCAGAATGAACGTTTAGTAGACAATTCCTATAATTCAACTAGCCATCGTTAGCTGTTGTCATGCCCTTGTTCTTACCTGCCCTAAACAATTTACCTTGGAAGATGCAGAAAATCAAATGCAAGGTAGTTTTCATAAAAATTGTAGTCAAACTGTTCTGGATTGCGTGATTGGTGCTGAAATAGCAATGCAAAGTGAAAACATCTGCCTGACAATCTGCCAGGACCTTTAAAAGTTAATGAAAACAGCAAGGAAAAGGAAAAGTGAGATATACAGGTTTATACACACACTTTTGCTTTGGCTCTAGGTTACCATGGCAAAAGGTAACTGCTGAACTGCTTGCCTCTAAAGATGCACAGTTATATACTCTCCCTCTGTTACGTGCGCTGTTAGAGCTTTTCTTCTACTTTTAGTTTACTCCTGACTGAGATTGGCCGATTGTCAGAAGTTGTTGGAAAAAAGAACCATTTGCTGTTTTGAGTAATTTTTTAAAAGGTACTTTCTTCTCCTGGTATATACTCCTAATATATACTCACATGAACTCCTTACAAAGGAAACAAAACCCAGACAAAGGAACCCCTTAAACTCCCCACTGCTTGGAATTGGGGGAGGCATGACAATATAATCGGCTGTTGGGATGTTGTGAATCATTGTTTTTACTGACAAATAGGAAGGGCAACCCTCAATTTGCAAATGCTCCATCAATGAAAGCAATGTTTCATGATTTCCTCTCTTTGTATTTAAGCTGGCATAGAATCTTCACAGTAAGCTGATGATTGGAGTAAAGTTAAGGCCTTCAGGATGATACAACTTTGCTACAGGGCATTACCTGAAAAGTCACTTCCGTTTTCCTTCTGCTAAGTTTCCTGATTTGAGAAAAAATAAAAGGCATTTCTCCTGAATCCAATCTTCTAAATGGCAAGCAGTTGTACTTTGCCTGCCAAGAGTTTATTTCACATGTGGTTGATGCCAATTTTCTTCTCACATATGCGAAATTCATTTGGCCCATAGTAAATAAAATACATATAGTAGATTTTTAAAAATATATTTTTGGAAAAGTGTTGGCATTTAAAGGAAAACAGCTTATTTAATAATCTCTCTCCTTCAGTAAACAATTAAGATTTTAAATCTCATTAGAGACTGCCAAATAACTAACTTTTAAGACGCAAAAGTTCATGGTTATGAAGTATTTTCATTTTATTAGGTTATTCTTGGAAAAGTAAAGTATCATGTGATAATGCATCACAGTACATGCATGTGTGTGTAATTCAAGCATTGCGCAGTGATTTCCAATGACTAGAGGTTTATCAGTTCCCTCTCATAGAAGAGAACAGAAAAGTCTTTATTCAGAGTTTGTTTAGTGGAACTCCTTTAGTGCCCCTTCACAGTAGGGTATCTTACAGAATGACTCTCATGGTAATGCTCTGTAACAAATAACTGGCTTGCTGTATGTAATTTTTTTTAAAAAAAAACTTGCCACTTGCATAACCTCTTCAAAACGTTTAGCCACATCAAACAAATATACAGAGAAGATGCAATCTACAGCAAAGTTTTCAGTTAAATTTAGTAGTTTAGGTTAGTAAGGTTTCTGCTTAAACATCGTTTATCAAAATTATTCCCTTAATAACAGAAAAGAAAACAACACTAAAAAGAATAAGATTGCACTGAAGATCCCTAAAGCTCTTATGACCTCTTCTGCTGCCCACCCAAGGATTTATTTGCAGCCAGTTCCAAACAGCTGTGCTGTTTTTATTGCTTCAGTATATTTACAAGATTTTGAATTGTAACTAGTGGTGTCCGTGTGCAAGCAGAACCGACTTCAGCCTGCTCAGCATAACTTCCCCCTCCCCCTCCTCCCCCTGCACCCATTCAGATATGCTGCAGAGCGTTGAGGGTCCCTCCAGAGCAAATTAGGGAGCAAGAAGGGGAAGTTCTGTTCCACAGGTGGAAGCCTTGTGCGATGTTGAATGCTATCCTTTTATTCTGGTCTTACACAGCTCTGCAACAGGGGTTGAAGAGGGGACACAAATTTTAAAATATCCATTCAATTTTGGCTTCTTTGTCTGGAGAAATGAATGGTGGCAAACAACTTGGATGACCATGGCCCTGGCCATCAAGCGATACCTTGGGAATGTTCTGATAACTGCCTCATCCTTAGTTACAAATACAGTGGTACCTCGGGTTAAGAACTTAATTCGTTCTGGAGGTCCGTTCTTAACCTGAAACTGTTCTTAACCTGAGGTACCACTTTAGCTAATGGGGCCTCCAGCGCCGCCAGACCACAATTTCTGTTCTCATCCTGCAGCACCTTAACCCAAGGTACTATTTCTGGGTTAGTAGAGTCTGTAACCAGAAGCATCTGTAACCTGAAGCTTCTGTAACCTGAAGCATCTGTAACCTGAAGTACCACTGTAGGGAATAGTTCTATAGTTGGTGGGGAAACCACTGAAAGTGCCTTTCTACATGCCTTTGCTATTTTAACTTGGATCATGGAAATAATATTCCAGGGTGTATTTTTAGTTCACGTTTCAAACTGGAATGGGATATAAGAAAGAAAGTCGCCCCTCTTAAAGGCTACCATTTAGTGCGTACTGTAGTACCTTCAGATGGGATTCTACTATTATTTTCTCTAATGCTTTTAATTTTTATTTTCTTTATAAAATCCTTTTGGTACAATCTGACTATGCTTTAGAATCCTACCGTCCAACCCACTTTCAAATATTTGAATATGGCAATCTTATTGGATGTTCGCTAGACTGAAGGCACCCAACTCCTTCAACCTTTCTCCCATAGGACTTGGTCTCCAGGTTCCTCACCATCTTCACTGTCCTTCTCTCAACACATTCTAGTTTTAACAATACCCTTTTTCTGAAACTGGTGCTCAGAACTGGCCATAGGTTTGTGAATTCTATGAAGGCACTTTATTGTTTCATTCTTGGATAAGCCGTCTCCTTTTCTCTTTTGTGTATAAGATGATCCTTTAAAGCAAACTACCGTGAACTCAGTACCCCTAGAAAATGGGACTTAGGAAATACTTCTCTTCATAAGTATCAGTGTGCAGGCATTGTCTTAACAAGTGGAAGCAGGAGTACATGTTTCTCAAATCAACATGCAGTCCATGGCCATTCAGACCTAGCACCAAGGTAACACTGGAGTGATACTACTATGTATTGTCTCTTGTATGGTACCTAGAACAAAGTACCCAAGCAAAATCAACCCACAAGCATGATGGGTTCTAGTTTATCGTTGAGTAACTTCCTACCGCTATAGTAGCTATAGACTGCTTTCAATGGAAGAATCTATAAGAGCATAGAGAAGGAAAATCTGTTTTTTAAAAAGTTTATCATAGTAATCCTTCTTAGATTGGATGGGAGGTATGCATTTATGACTCCAGATAGTCTATATTGCTAGAAGGACTAATAGATTGAAAACCTTTTTATACAGCAAATTGTTCATACATTTTCTCCATTACGTCTAGCCAGAATATCTATCCCTTACTGCATACACACGTCTATTTGCAAGCTAGAAGTTTTACTGGATTCCTCTACTCTAGTTTAAGCTTCACTTACGTACCTTTCCATTCAGGCTCTTTGCCGTTATTGTTTGTTGATGAGTTTTTCAGCTGTACTGTCAGGTCAGAAGAAATGGAAATATATAGCGGGATGTTTTCCATATGCTGAAGATGTAGTAACTGATATTACTTCAAAATTACAGTACAGTTAACTGTACTGAACCATTGCCTACTTCTACTCATATATAATATTTTCATTATTTTAGTGTTCACGTTTAATTTTAGTTATGGAGTAATTGCTATGATTGTTTTTTATCCCCCAGTTTCTATTAATTGTGACACATATTTATCATGAACCCCAAGTTCCAAACAAATCAGTGGGGAGTAGCATAACTAGGCACAGAATCACAATTTCTACCATTTGTGATATTTGCCATTCCTTTAAATTGTTCTGCATAAACAATTTATTAATACTTGTGATGGTACAATAATGATGGTTTACTTCAACATGCTTCTTTAGGAGTTGTTCCTCCCCACGTGTCAAAATTCCAAATGTGCTCACTAGCCCAGAAAATTTTGCAACCACTACAAGTAATATTTCTTCTGTGTGGGACAGCCTTCATTGCAAGTTGCGACCCATCTTCTGAGGCCAAGTGAGATCTAACCTGAAACTACTGCAAGTGCTAGTCTTAACCTTCAAGTCCTGTGTTAAGTACAATGCAGATACTTCCACAAGGAAGTCAGTAAATATCATCTTCAAAAGGTTTAGGAATGAGTCATTTTTATTTAGGCCAGTGCTTGCAGAATCTATTGTAGTTTAAGCTATATTTCTAATGTTTTTAGGCTTTTGTATTGTGATACATTTATTGAATATAGCCATTTGTTTCACTGTGGTATAAGCATCCTTTCCTCCCAAAAGAAATGGAAGATAAACACATTTAAAGTACATAAATAATACTGAAAGCTGGAGAGACTGCTGTTGACAGTGGGTGCAGGAAACATAGCAGTCTGCCAAGAGCTTGGTCTACTCAGTCTTATTTTGTGCTGCTTAAGATATGGGCATTTATTAAGCCTTAATGTTATGATTTTCCTTCACTTAATTTTTTTTCCCTTTGGAAAATTTGAATCATATCAAATGGCTGGGGAAAATAATATACACCAAATGAGCAGATACAAGAAATCATAATGCAAGGCTGCTTTTGATTTGAAACTACAAAGTAGACAGCAATGTGAAGAAAACTGAGGTCACTGTGGAAGCATGAACCCAAACTTTCAGAAAGACTTTGAAGCAAATATAGTGGTAGGATGTCATCAAAAACTAAATAAATAGCCAGTGATCCAAGAAGAATGAAATCTCATATCCCAGACATTACTTATTATTTATGCCTGCTTTCAAAGACAACTATGGGCTAATTGAGGGCTGCTTCCACCCAGCGGGTGCTACAGTTTTTCTGTGATATACAGACATTTATATATATTTACATGTCCCCAACATGGTATTTGTTCAGTTCCATGGTTTTCCAGTTTGAACAACTAGATTAGACAAATCTTATGTTGACGTTGATCTAGGTCAGGGGTCAGCAAACTTTTTCAGCAGGGGGTCCACTGTCCCTCAGACCTTGGGGGGGACTGGACTAAATTAAAAAAAATAATGAACGAATTCCTATGCCCCACAAATAACCCAGAGATGCATTTTAAATAAAAGGACACATTCTACTCATGTAAAAGACGCTGATTCCCGGACCATCTGCAGGCCGGATTGAGAAGGCAACTGGGCCACATCCGGCCCCCGGGCCTTAGGTTGCCTACCCCTGATCTGGGTGTTGCAAGCCCTGAACAGAAAAGAATAGAAGAACCTGCTTGATCAGACCAAAAGCCCATTGAGTTGAGCAGTCTCACAGTGGCCAACCAGATGCTGAAACAAGACATGAGGGGAATAGCACTCTCCTGCTTGTGAACCCAAGCAACTATTATTCAGAGGCATACAGTTGTAAGTCTTTGCTTTGGAAAAGCATAAATGAAAAAGCAGAGCAACTGGCAACGTTGCTGACTTCTTTTGTAAATTACAAATCAAGTAGTAAACTGGATCTTATTTCCTTCCTAAAACAGTGCAGGAAGGGGGGGGTATAGCCTAAGAGAAAGAAATAGACAAAGGAGGTTATGGAAGCTGTGTACAACATATCTTTGCAATTTAAAACCCGTAACTACATAGATTGAAGTGTTGCAGCATTCTGGCACAGCTTCTATCACTTTGGTTGGTATGATACTCCTCCACTTCCTTGGAGTGTAGGACTCTTCTTGTCCCTTGTGAGATGGGACACTGTTTCCTGCAAAGCTTCCAGTGTAGGGAGGTCTAGTAAAATATGGGATGTCTGCCATCCCTCATTAAGATGCAGTTTGGATAATGTAACTTCGTGAGGATATTTATTGTTCACAAATGTCCCCCCCCCCCCAAAAAAAAAATAAACCATCAAGAAAGAGCCCATATCCAAACTTGAAGAGAGATGGTAGAAGAATATAGAATTTCTGCATGTTTATAATATTTCTGAAGTGCATTGGGTTTCAGCCTTTTGCATTAACAGAGTCTGTAATGATATTTTATGACAGGAGAACTAAACATGTGTTCAAAACCAATCTCCTTTTCAGGCTCTGAGCAAGGCACGTACTAGACTGAATTTCGAAGACTTTTATTCCAGTTGCCTTAAGTAGAAGGAAAGCTAAGAATCTGCGGGTAGTTGTTTTTCTAGCTTGCAACCTTCCTTTATATAGAATTTCCTAATTAAATATCTTGGATGTCATTGACATTTGGATCAGAAAATTCCCATTTCCTTTGGCTTTGAAACAGTTTTATTTTTCCCTGCTTAAAGGAAAAATTTAATGTTGCATTTTATGAGTTTATATTAAGAATGTTTGGCCTTCAGTTTAATTAAATTAAATAACCTTCCTGGCAGTGGTCTTGATTTCATTTTGCAGTGCAAACAGAAACAATTTATTTATACCTGCTCATTATTCTTCTCTTTATTACCGTCTATTGTTGTTTCTTCCAATTTGTAGATTAATCAAATCTTGGAACAGCTGCACTGCAGTTCAAGTTCTAATTAGAATCAAGATTTAAAAAGAATAATACTTTAAAGGCAAACTCTTTAAAGGACTCTTATTGAGGAAGGTTTAATCTGTTTGCAATCAATACCCAATTCATAATTCTGCACTTAAATTCTAGAAATTGGTATATCATGAAAACAATGGTATAATTGTTACAGAAGAATGGAGGTCTGCCAGAAGAATGGAAGTCTGCCACTAAATAAGTGTATGAGAGGACAACTTGGAAATCTAATGCAGAGCCATCTCCTTGTAAAAATAGTCTTGGCCAAGGATACCAATCAAATCTACCCCAGTGGAGCAGGATGTCTGTGTCTTTCAGATTCAAAGGGCAAGATAAAATTTTCAAGATGACAGAAGTCTCTTAGGGATGGCAAAGTGGTGACCTCCATAGGTTGCTGGACTGTACCTCGCAGCTGACAGGATCAGTAGTCGGGGAAGATGGGAGTTTCAGCCCAACAACATCTGAAGCCACACTGGCTAGGTCTGCTCTAAGGTCCTCTATGATGGACAGCCTCTCAGATCCTGGTCAGCAATTAATATTAATAAGGAACCATATTTTCCTTTGAAAGTAAATTCCAGGGATGCAGGGTCTCAACGTCTTCAATCTCATGTTGATTTAAGAAATGTGATTGAGGCCTACCAGATATTGTGGAAACCACTCCCATGAGGAATTGCAGCCCCATTCCCCACAGGCACTAGTGACCTTCAGTCTTCCAAGATATTTGCAGAGCTTCCACTTGTCATTTCAGAACACTAAAAGACTGGCAAACCTTCCTCTTCCTCAGCAGCCTTTGGTAGGAAGGAGTGTTTGCAGAAAGTAGTGTCCTTGTAGGATGCAGATCTATGAAAGCCCACCCTTCGGATAGCACTGCACTGATAAATCCCTAGGTGGAAATTTCCTTATAATATGTTTCTGGTCTGTGTGGATTAGCTTAGGCCATTTCTCTGCTGAGATATAATATTGTCTATGTTAGTATAGCATTTGAGCAGGAGGTGTCTGCCTTTTCTAGGGAAGTCCCTAAAGGGTGGAGGCAGTGACTTCTCTGGAACTGGAAATAAGAGAAAACTAATTGCTGAAGATGAGGGAGGGAGTTGCTGTAAAACGGTTAAGAGCAAGAGCTAATATTACTTAAGCGCACCACAGGAAGTCTATGCTCCTTTCCAGAACACACAATCTTGTGAACATCATTTGTAAGGCGATGCTTGATATGGCAAGCTTTGTATTAATATATTACTTGTAGCTTTGAAGTGAAATTGGAAATTGGCAAGACAAAAAAAGTTAAATAGTGTAACAGTGCTGTGTTATTATCTGCCAGTCCTCCTTTCTGAAAACTTCTTGAGGACACAATTAAAAACAATTAAAAATTAAAGACTTATGCCAAAGGACGGCTATAAGGTGCCCAGGGCACCTCTTTCCCCGCCCCCCAATGTCCAACTCTCATCCCATGATCAATTGATATCAGAAGTCATGAGCCAACAGAAATTGCACCACCTGTTCAGTTCTTAGCATAGGGTTGCTGACAGAGCTGCCTCCATTCTATTGCTAGATCTGGATTGAAATTGGACTAACATGATATTTCTCATCTGAGAAAACCTGGGGAGTGACTCGGGATACAGAGTGTGAAAACTGTCTCTCCCGCTTTTGTCAGCAGGGGCTTCAAAGGATCCCTTTTTGTCTTCAGAAGAACAACTCAGGATCTAATACATTTATAAATACAACACATAAAAAGGTTTATGTCTTCATTTGTCAAGATATTGGCTTGTATTCATATGGCATTCTGAAAAACATCAGCAACTCTTAATTATGTAACCATCTGAACAATTCTGTAGCTAATTTAGTGTAGTTTAACATACTAAAGTTTGAAACAATTGAAATTGGCTATATTAAACTATATTATTTGGGCTCCAAAATGAACTTTCCATTCTATATGACCCAGTTCTAGCAATAACATAATTGTGTCTGCTCCTGGTTCTTCTCTGAAGGCTGAGCTGTGTGATTTAACACTGCAATGAGGGGGAGAGTGTACATGGGCTTGGTGCTTCCAACTGTGTCATGCAACACCCTATTCCAGGAAACGCCACCCTCTATTGTTTCCAAGCCCTTGTGCACATTACCTAATTTAATTGAAAAATTGTGGTGTCGACCGGAATAACGTCTTCACAAAGGAAGGGAGCAATTTAAATTTGTAGATTCAAAAATGTGTACTTGGGGAAAATATACATATATTTGTAATATGGGATGGGATTTACAAAATGGGGATTACCGTTATTAACCACAATATGATGATGACATCAAGCTCTGTATTTCATATCTGATTAGCCCGGAGCAGCTGTCTTGGCCCTGAATCAGTGCCTGGAGGCTGTGGTCAGATGGATGAGCCCTGTTCAGCTGTGTACGTTTGCCACTTTTGGAACAGGTACATAGTGACTCAGAACTCCCACCAAGTCCATTCCTTTTTGTAGGATAAGCAGGTAGCAGTGCTAACCTGCAGTGCTTTCCTTCAATTGAACTGGCATGCCTTTGTTCCAAGTCAATACACAATCCTTGCATAGTTCCCTGTGTCTCTGCAACCTGAAGGGATGGCTACTCCAATTCGCTCTACATGGGATTGCCTTGGAAGACTTTCAGAAGCTGCAGTTAATACAGCCTGACATAGACAGGCACAAGTCCTGTGCCAACTTCCCCATGAGGGGAACTCAATTCAAGGCACAGGTATTGATCCTTACAGCTCTTCATGACTCAGATGTGAACATAGCTCAGAATGACATTTCTCCCACCATGTGACTAACTGCCGGCTGAGATTATCACCATCAAGGGCTCTGCTCCACGTTCCTTTCCTTGAGCAGATTTGGAAAAATGTGGTACAAATGTTTTTTTAAAAAAAACTAAATAGGTTTGAAAACTCAAGCTTGCAAAAATCTATCATTTGCCCGATAATAAATGCTGGAAATGTAAAGAAACTGAAGGTACATTCTTTCACCTTTGGTGGATGTGCCCAAGGATCAAGGATTTCTGGGAGATGATTTATAATGAAATGAAAAAGGTATTTAAATATACCTTCCTGAAGAAACCAGAGGCCTTTCTCCTGGGCATGGTTGGCCAATTGGTGTTAAAGAAGGATAGAACTTTCTTTATGTATGCTACAACAGCAGCAAGAATACTTATTGCAAAGTATTGGAAGACACAAGATTTACCCACTCTGGAAGAATGGCAGATGAAGGTGATGGACTATATGGAACTGGTGGAAATGACTGGCAGAATCCAAGACCAGGGAGAAGAGTCGGTGGAAGAAGATTGGAAGAAATTTAAAGACTATATACAGAAATACTGTAAAATTAATGAATGTTAGAATGATGTTGGATTGAAGTTAAGTGGTTTTTAGCAGCAATGTTATAAAGGAATATGTAAAAATGGATTGTTAACAGGTGATAATCTAAAGTTATAATATATTAAGATAAAAGGTTAAGATAAAATCAAAGAGGGAAAGGATTTGCTGAATTAACTAATTGAACTGGAATACAAAAAAGGGAGGTGTGAGGAGGTCAGGGAAGCAAGCAAATGAAGGATAAAATATGGAAAGACTGATCTGTTTTTAACTGTTTTTATCTTGTATTTTCATTTTCTATTTTTTCTATTTTTTCTTTTTCTTTTCTTTTTTCTCTTATTTTTGTAATATGTTGAAACTTTAATAAATATCTTTTTTTAAAAACTCATGTAGCTAAGAAAATGACATGTGAGCCTGGAGGTTCCTAGCTCAAATCTCACCTCAGCCATAAGCTTGCCAGGTAACCTTATAACAAGTCACTATGTATCCCTCTCGTCCATTTTGCCATACACTATGGAAGGTAACACAATACCTGACCTACTTTACAGAGCTTTTATAAGGATTAGTCATGTAACTAAGCCAGTTTTGAGCCTTTGAGATGCAGTCTAGAATGCTAAATACTGTGTATAAGACAAGGTTTTTTGCTTTAAAAAAATTGAGGGGTCTTGTACACAGAACATGGGCATCTGGGGGAATTTTTAAAATATTTAAACATATGTCCAGGATTTTGGCTTGGATGGTCTGAGGCAGTCCCTCCTGCTGCCGTCCCCCTTTCTCTCCCCCCACCCCCCGGCTGCATGTTGGTGACTGGCTCGCCTCCTGAAGCCCCCGCTGGCTCAACCACCGAATCGAGAGCAGCTGCCTCAGCTACCTCTCCTTTGCCCTTCTTTCCTTTCTCCCCTCTTCCCCTCTTCCCCTCTGCCACCGAGGAGGAGCGTGTGGTGCCCCAGTCACTGCCTTTGCTTCTGCACCACTGTGCACTGCATGCACCTCACTCTGGAAATTTTGAGGGTGCATAAGACGCCCAAAAAAAGATCAACAACTTGCCGCCGCCAATCACCCAGATTTTCACTTCTATTTTAGGATTTCATTTTCTTAATTTTGGGTTCAAAAAAACAGGGGGCGTCTTATACATGAAAAAATACGGTAGTTTGTTTTTTTAAAAAAGCATACAGGCACCTCCTGATTTGCGTGGGGGCTGTATTCTGGGTCATTGCATAAATAAACCCGTTACTTTGTCTTCCAGGTCTGAAAACAACCTGTGCATGCATGGTCGCACGGCCTTTGAGTGCACGCAAAACGGTGGTTGCCTGTAATCTGATTCCCATGCACCATTTTAATTGCTTGTACTGGAATTCAATGATATTGAACAGGAAGTAGGCATTGCAATCACTGGTACTCAAAATGGGTGCAGCTTTTTTCAGTCCAGAAAATATTGCAGGGGGTTGACCTTCCAATTGTACAATTCTGAGTCTATGAGATGCCATAAGTAACTTGCATTATCAAATCCTATTCACATTGTTTCCTTTTTTGACATGCTGCCTTCTAGACTGTTCAGTGTTGTAGCCATCTAGTGTAGTTTTATAGAAAGCTGGAGCATAAAATCATCATCTTCATAACTTTTTACTTTTTAAAAAAGTCCATAATGAAGTTGTAGAACTAACTGCATTTTAGGGGATATATCAGTATGTGATTTGAGGTGAAACAATTTGTAAAGGAAAATGAATTTCAAAAGGTAGGATTTTATCACATGTGAGAATATTTCAATACTGGCTGGTAGTTTTTTCACCTGTAAACTTGGAAATAAGTGTTATGATCAGAAAGGTATGATCTCATCCAAGATGATGGAAATCAAAAGCTTGGCAAATTAAGTCACACATCATTCATTCATTGAGATCACAGAGAGAGAGAGATTATAAGGAAAGTACAGCTTTAATTCTCCATAAACATGTTGAAACAAGACTTTAAAGAATATTAAAAACTGCAGGGTGACCCACACCCAACAAAACATCTGCCAGAGCAAAGGAATATATGAAAACTAGAATAAATGGCATGGTCTTGTCACTAACAAACCTCCTTTATGAGGTCTGTTTTTATAAATCAGTTGCTGTTAAGTAGTGTTGTTGGGATAAAATTGTACATATGGTGGTGGTATTCAACTATGTAAAATAGAATTATTTAAATTGAAGATTGTAATAATGGTAGTTTGTGGTTTTGTTTTTTTCATCCTTTTCATTACATTGATGGGCTAGATTTTAAAATGTTTAGTTTGAAATGAAACTTCTCAACTCTGAATTTCCTAACAAAGGATCCCCCCTTTTTTTGTATGAAAAAATTCTCATATGGGGGTGGAAATTGGATTGACAGAGCAGAGTTAATCCTTCCCCATCCTTCCCCCCTCAAAAAAAAAAGCTTCTATTTTTATATAACATGCATGTAGTACACCAGGCTGACTTCCATCAATTGAAATCACAATGTAAAATTCTACTGGTGAGATAAACATCACACAATAACAACCCCAAATTAAAACTTTAACAACAGTATTATCAAACCTAAAAGAGCAGGCACATCAGATAAAACACCGTTCTCCACAAACTCAGCCTGATAAATTAAAAGCCTTGAGGAATTGAAAAAGTCTGAGAGTTGAAGATGGAGCTCTCTGAATCTCACGGGGCAAGATGTTCCATAAAACTGGTGCAGCTGCTAAGAAAGGCCTTACTTCTTGTCCCAATCAACCTTACTGGGCAAGCAGGCTGGTGTGGGAGGGGGAAGTAGTTCAGCAAATTGACTACCCCGATTTACAAAAAGGTTTATTGAAATAACCCAGGATTACACCATGGCTGGGGAATTTGCGTGGGATCACTTCCAATCTGTTACCTCCTAGGATGTGGACAGGCTGCTTGGACGAGTGAAATCGACCACCTGTCTCCGTGATCCTTGCCCATCCTGCCTAATAAAAGCGAGCCGGGAAGGGCTGAGCGATGGGCTTCGCGGGGTGGTGAATGCTTCTCTCTGTGAGGGAGCCTTCCCAGACCCGCTGAAAGAGGTTGTTATTAAACCGCTTCTTAAAATAAAATAATCTTTAGACCCAGCCAATATGGCCAACTATCGCTCAGTTTCAAATCTTCCATTCTTGGGCAAGGTGATTGAGCAGGTGGTTGCTGAACAACTCCAAGCATGCCTGGAGGATGCAAACCATTTGGATCCATTTGGAACCATTTGGACTGAAACTGCCTTGCTCACGCTGGTTGATGCTCTCCGGTGAATTAGGGACAAAGGTGAAAGCTGGTTCCTAGTTTTGCTGGATCTCTCAGTGGCCTGTGATACCATGGACCATAAGATCCTTCTGGACCTTCTAGAGGAGCTGGGAGCTGACGGCACTGTTATAAAGTGGTTCTGCTCCTTCCTCCTGGGTAGTGTTCAGAAAGTGGTGTTGGGGGATGAGTGACCCCTGGGCTCTCACTTGTGGGGTGCCTCAGGGTTCTGTCCTCTCCCCCATGCTTTTCAACATCTACATGCAGCCACTGGGAGAGGAGATCAGGGGGTTTGGGCTGGGTGTTCATCAGTATGCAGATGATACCCAGCTCTACCTCTCTTTTAAATCAGAACCAGTGAAGGCGGTGAATGTCCTGTGTGCCTGGAGGCGGTTGGAGGATGGATGGCAGCTAACAGATTCAGGTTGATTCCTGACAAGACAAAAGTCAATTATGTGTCCAGGGCAGCTGTCTACCAGCTCCATCTGGTACGCAGGCTAAGACCCTACCTGCCCACAGACTGTCTTGCCAGAGTGGTGAATGTCTGGTTATCTTCCACTTGGACTACTGCAATGCGCTCTAGGTGGGGCTACCTTTGAAGGTGACCCGGAAACCAGAGCTAATCCAGAATGCGGCAGCTAGACTGGTGACTGGGAGTGGCTGCCGAGACCACATAACACTGGTCCTGAAAGACCTACATTGGCTCCCAGTACGTTTCTGAGCACAATTCAAAGTATTGGTGTTGACCTTTAAAGCCCTAAATGGCCTCGGCCCAGTATACTCGAAACAGCATCTCCACCCCCATCGTTCTGCCTAGACACTGAGGTCCAGCACCGAGGGCCTTCTGGCGGTTCCCTCACTGCGAGAAGCAAAGTTACAGGGAACCAGGCATAAGGCATTCTCTGTAGTGGCGCCCTGTGGAACACCCTCCCACCAGATGTCAAAGAAATAAATAACTATCAGACTTCTAGAAGACATCTGAAGGCAGCCCTGTTTAGGGAAGCTTTTAATACTGGATGAATCATTGTATTTTAATATTCTGCTGGAAGCCGCCTAGAGTGGCTGGGGAAACCCAGCCAGATGGGCGGGGTATAAATAAGAAATTATTATTATTATTATTATTATTATTATTATTATTATTTGATTTTAATGGCAATGGGGCAGAGAGGGGTTGATTAACCTGAATAAGTGCAGGTATAAAATTTGAAAACTAAGCATTAAAAATTTGCCGAAGGGTGGGAAATAGTGAGACTAATAATGTCTGTGTGTGTGTGTGTGTGTGTGTAATTCTTCAGAATTATAATGATTCTGATTCAGTTGTGTGCACTAATTTCATAATAAGAATATTGTGCAATAAATGCAGTATGCCTACCAGTTGTAGGCTGCAATCTTCATAAAAGTAGCAGAGCTGCAACTAATCTTTGCAAATACTGTATTTGGATTTACTGCTTGAACAACTTGCTCACCCTGATCCTATCCAACCTCTTTTACCTGAGAAAGCAAATAGTGCAGCCAGAATGTTCAGAGAGGTCCCAGTATAGCCCATGCAGCTCATTGTCTACCTTTTTGTTACAGCAAAAAATTGTTACCCCTAATACTCAGCCCTTATTTTCAAGTTTCAACAGGAAAATAGAGAACAATGTTTTTTATCCACAGTATAGCAAAAAGTTACCTTTTCCCATCTGAAGGAAACATTATTTACGGAGTTCCCTTGCTGCGTAGCTTCCTTCCGTAGACTACGCAGCAAGTGCCCTGGTTACATTGGCACAGAACTGACCAAAGGAAAGGCCCTGAAAACAAAACTCCCATCTTCTGACGATAGAATAATTGTGCTGAACTTGTTCTGTAATTACTGCCAAAGCAACAGTTACTAAATCCGTCTGAAATATAAAAAGGTAGAAAACCGTGAGAGATGAGATAAGGCTTGTGCTTTGATTGGCTAGGAAAGTTTCTGTTCACACTTGTCTGGTACTACTTACAGAGCTTTCTCTCTTTGTAGCCAAAAGCATTTTGTCATGTTGATACTGGCAGTGCAACCACTCTGATTTTAAAACTGTATGAAAGAACTTCTTTTATCATTTCTAATATGTAGCTTCAGGCCAAAACAGACACAGCAATATTAAAGCACTATGTTCAGAAGAAGTAAATTCCCCCCTACACAGCCTTTGGGAATATGACTTCAATAACGAACTCTGAAGCCGTCCTTTATCATAATGACAACTGTTGATTTTCCTGTAATTGTTCAGCTGAGCTCCCACTGCTTGTCACCTAATTAGCCATCTGGCCATCCGTCCTTCCAGGATTTTTGTTTAAAATTGTTCTCTGGTTAACACCCAAAATATCAGGAAGATGTTCCCTAATATCGCTTGATGTTCTTGGACAAGCCAAGGACAAGCCTTTATAACTGCACCTGCAAGCTGTTAGGAAGTCTTAGTGGGGGAAAATTAGAATAAACCAAACAACAGCCTCAAATTATTGAGGTTTTAAAACCATGCACCTAACATTGACTTTGGAATAAATGCAGTCATGGTAAACAGATCTTACAGATGCAGATGTTAGTGCATAGGGATTCTCGTTGCAAAACTGATTATTTTGCTTTTCTTCCAAAGGCTTAATTTAAAAAAAAATACTTTATTGTTGTGTTTTGTGAAGATAGATGCCTCTTGCAAGAATATTTATATTTGTATCAACATATTCTTGAGATTTGCTAATTTGGAACAATCATTAATTTCTGTGAGATGAATTCAAAATCCATGTTAAAATAAATGGAGGTTGTACAGCTTCAGCAGTTGATGACTGTGTCCTAAAAATATATTTCAACTAGTTACGATGCCAAAGACAAAATTAAATGTCTCTTTAAATCTCTGGTTAAAAGTAAAATGTTGCCACTGTGGAATCTCAGGAGACCAGTTTGTGTACTCTGTAATGGCTGGCAAGTACAGCTAAACTTTCTTCTTCCTCATGCTATTAATACTATGTATTCTTTTTTTACCTCTAAACTTCAATTGCTCGCACCAAATACAGCTTCCGTTTCTTAGCACTTTCAGTAGTTTGTAGGAGTCTCTAATTGTTAGAGGTTTCCTTCTGAGGAAGGCAGCCCATGGGATTGTAGGATGGATGTATTTTAGGGAGGTGCCTCTCGTATTTCGGTTGTGGGACGCGGGTGGTGCTGTGGTCTAAACCACTGAGCCTCTTGGGCTTGCCGATCAGAAGGTTGGTAGTTCGGATCCCTGCGATGGGGTGAGCTCCCGTTGTTCAGTCCCAGCTCCTGCCCACCTAGCAGTTCAAAAGCACATCAAGTGCAAGTAGATACCGTATTTTTCGCTCTATAAGACGCACCAGACCACAAGACTCACCCAGTTTTTGGAGGGGGAAAACAAGAAAAAAATATTCTGAATCTCAGAAGCCAGAACAGCAAGAGGGATCGCTGTGCAGTGAAAGCAGCAATCCCTCTTGCTGTTCTGGCTTCTGGGATAGCTGCGCAGCCTGCATTCGCTCCATAAGACGCACACACATTCCCCCTTACTACTTAGGAGGGGAAAAGTGAGTCTTATAGAGCAAAAAATACGCTATATATCGCGAAAACCAAGGCTGTGTGACACACAGAACCAGCGCAAAAAGTTGAAAGGATTTGTTTTTAACTCACAGTTTTGTACACTTCCCTGGAATCTTTTCATGATGTTAAGTAATATTTTAAATAAAATAAATAAATATAAGTGCTGCATACTATTGCCCTCTAGTTCCTCCTATACTGTGCAATATATGAGTACCGTATTTTTCGCTCTATAAGATGCACCAGACCACAAGACGCACCTAGTTTTTGGAGGAGGAAAACAAGAAAAAAAAATTCTGAATCTCAGAAGCCAGAACAGCAAGAGGGATCGCTGCGCAGTGAAAGCAGCAATCCCTCTTGCTGTTCTGGCTTCTGTGATAGCTGCGCAGCCTGCATTCGCTCCATAAGACGCACACACATTTCCCCTTATTTTTAGGAGGGAAAAAGTGAGTCTTATACAGCAAAAAATACGGTAAATAGGTACCGCTCCAGTGGGAAGGTAAACGGCTTTTCCGTGCGCTGCTCTGGTTTGCCAGAAGCAGCTTAGTCATGCTGCCACATGACCCGGAAGCTGTCTGCGGACAAATGCCGGCTCCCTCGGCCTATAGAGCGAGATGAGCACGCAACCCGAGAGTCGTCCGCGACTGGACCTAATGGTCAGGGGTACTTTTACCTTTACCTTTAACCTCTTAGGATTGCTTTCCTTTCAGAGAAGGAGAGGAATTTGTTAAATGTTTTTTTGGATGAACTCTAATTGTTTTGTGTTTGGGGCATATATGGAGCCAATTGTCAGTTTAGTTTGGCCATCTAGTACCCCTTTAGGAAAAAATGAATCTGCCTTTTTTGTCTTTTAGCACTGTTGTGGCTTCAAAATTTAGGTCTCTACTGAGAAGGTCCACCTTTGTAAAAAGATTACAACACCAGGTTTCCAAGCCCATACCAGTTAAAATGGGACTAATCATATACAACAACATACTCCAGAGTAGAGTAACTTCATCTGTGCCCAATAACAAAGCAAATTAACATTTAAACAGGGAATCCCAAGAGGGCAGGTATCCCAGACAGAGTGGCCCAGACAGGTTTCAGAATCAGGAAACTGAAAATAAGCAATCTCAGTTAAAGCTGCCTGCTTTGCAAGCTTGGCTGTTTCTAAACAGTTTAGGTGATGTAAAATTGAAGCCAGAAATGTCAACTAGCCAAAATGGTAGTGAATGATTATGTTGACATTTGAAAAAAAAATGGAAAGGAGGGTTATTGGGTAGAAGTGAAGACCAGATCTTAATTTGAACAAGGCAGAACTTGCTATAAAAACCTTTACAAAGCAAGGGCAACAAAATTGTTTATGGATCTCACAGCACAATATCTGGGTTTACTCAGTGGGATTTAATACCAAGAGAAACACTGCAAGTACATTCTGTACAGGTTTGCCTGTCACAAAATCTGATGTTTTCTTGTCCCCAGGCAAAAATATTTTGATTTGTCTAGCATAGCCAATGGTCAAGGATGATGGAAGTTGTAGTTTAAAAATTAACGGGAGGTGGGGCACTGTGTTGGCTACCCCTGGTCTAAGTCTTTACAGCAGGCCTTTGCCTAAGCTGGAGTTGACTGATGACTTAGATTAATTCTGTTGGTAAACTAAAACAGAATATACACATTTTGAATTTATTTCTGTGTTTCTTGTTATTATAGTTGTGTGTGTGTGTTTAAATCCACTTTTTAAAGTGGTGTTTTACATTTCCTAAAATTCCTAAAAAGAGTGTCTTTCTTTAAAAATTGGTTAATTTTGAAACTGTTTCCTTGGCTTGTTTTGTAAATGATTAGCTGGCCTGGATAAATGAATTCTGCACTTTTAGTTCTTCCTAAGCAAGAGATGAAAATGATAAAAAACCATTTAACTAAATAGTTGTGTGTAGCTGAGATGGGGTTAGAATCAGATGCGCATATATGGAGTTGAACAGCAGAGTATATCTTTTTAATGGACAGTGTAGCAAGAACTGGCCAATTTACACAAAACAAGATCTATATTTAGGGAAGTGAGTTAAATGGTGCCAAAGTAAAGAAAGAGATGATCAGAGCTGTTCTTGTAGCCTGTTTACTTTGGACTGAGGAATTTGCCAGCCCAAGGCCTTGCATTATAGCTGTACAGTACAATCTTGTCTCCCTGTATTTAAATCCAACACATTCACAATTTCTTCCTGAAAAAGCTCATGACATGGAGCAAAACAAAACAAAATAATAATAATGATAATTTACAGTTCTCCTACAGACATGCATTAGAGGGGGAAACAGAAGATAAGCACCTTCTCCCCCCCCCCAACATACACCCCTATCTTCCCCTTCCCCCCAGCTGGGCATCTTTGGACCACTTCACTGCCTCATTCACTTCTTAGTTGTTGGGCTTAGAAATCCCCCTCTAGCAACCCCAGTTAGGGTAAAGGGCTTAGGAGTTATTGGCCCTGGTAGCCTTCATGAGGAGCAGGAATTTATTCCTTATTAACCCAGTCCAGAACATTTTCAACTCCTAATTCGGCTGACACTAGTAATGCAAGCTTGCCCATTCTACTGGGCAGTTATAGAGGTTTTTCCAGTTTAGAAGGAACAGCTAATAAATCCTGCCCTTGAGATCTATGTATCAAAGAATATTGCACAAATGCTTTACGGTGCTGAAATTTGGGGAAGTGGTGTCAAATCTGAACTAGAAGTTCTACAGAATTAATTTATGGGGGGGGGGCTTCCTCCTGGGACTCAGTCAGCTCATCTTAGTGCTCAGTTGGATATCCCCTCAATAGCATCCAGAATTGATCTAGCTTATCTTGGATACTGGCATAGACTAAATGCCTTTGAGGGACCATATTCTCACCTAGCTCTGCTATTTGGAGCAACTAAGGATAGGAGATTGGGCACAAAAGTGTCAACATAAACCTAGGGCTTATATTTCCAAATATCAATATTTATCCTTTAAAAGGTATGAATTTAGAAATTGGGTCTTGAATCATGGTGCCATCCAAGACAGAGCATCCATTATCGCTGCCTGTTATTCTATTTGGTACCCTCAAATTAAGGACAACCACTCAAGGCCTCACTACTTTGAAGTGAGCAATTATTCATCATCATCATCAATAATAATTCACAGGTTTCTGCACACTGGGTTGATATTTGCATTGAGCCACCCACCACTACCAAGATCTTTCCTGCTCAGTTACTTTTACTTCGGACCCCATTAGTGGATTGAATTGGTTGGTAGAAGCAACAGCTACCATGTGGCTTCAGAGGACGGCAGGAGGTTTTTCTTCCAGGTGGCACAGCTCTTTAGACAGCAGCTTCAAATTGCAGCACAACAGACAGGTTTCCCTTGTCCGTCTTCTTTCCTTGGAGCTGAAGAGTGGGCTGGAGATGATCCCTGACTGCTTTAGAGTGCTGGTATTCAGCAGTGGCTCAAACCCTGATCAAAGGTGGGTTGCAAAAGGAGCGCTACCACCATGCAAATACTGTATATGGTAAATATATGATCTCCAAACACATGTTTGGATGAAAAGAGGGTTCTGGGTCTGAAGAGGCTGATGATATCTGCAGTGAGGAGGAACCTGTGGGCCTCCAGCCATTGTTGGGCTTCAGAGTTGTGCAACGGGGTGCCATGTCCTTAAGCATTAAATGGTGGTTGTAGTACATAAAAATATATATAGAAAGTTGTTTAAAAAACCTTAGTTATTCAAAATGGCAATTATGCAGCATTATTAAAAGGTGAATGTTGTGCTGTTAGCCTTCCAATGAGTAGCACTATGAGTACCACAGCTATGCCTTCTAATGTGCACTCATATAAATCACATTGTCTTCATTATCTTCTGTTGCCTGACTTTTGGGGGGTTGTGTTCAGATAAATAAACTAACAATTTCAACTCTTAGTCAAGAGATATATTTAACAGTCATAAGAGCACATTTTTCTGAACATTAGGTTCCTTATTTTTGTAACAGTTTGGAGTAAATTTAAGAAAGAATTGAGGGCATTTATGAATGAAGGGGCCAGGAATCTTACTTGTACTATATATCTGCTGGCTGTATTAAGATGCTTTATGGAGAGAATTCATTTTGCAGCTTTGCGGCACAGTCTCATTTTGGGAATGCGCTAAAGATATTTGCAGCCCTCGATTCATATTACAAAAAGTAGCTTCTCACACCATCACTCACACTGGGATTAGTGTGCTCTTTCTCTAGTCCCTGTTGATCCCATAAAATGAATGTAATTGCATTTGTATAATAGCTTAAAAAGATCAAAGTAGGTCCCATAAGGGGAGACAGTGTTGAGAGCCAAAACAAGCTGTTTGGCTTGTAAGCAATTGGAAGCCTTTAAGGTACTGACTCACATCTGCAGCATACTCTGCAATTCTGACTGCTCTATAGCATATGTTATAGCACATGTTGCTGAAGAAGTCATTTCTGCTTCAGTGAGTTGAAGAGAGGAAACGTCAAATTCTTTAGATATCAACGCCTTTATCTCCTCCTCTCAGGTCTATAGAATTGTACTGTGCATGAGTTCCTCTTGAAATCACAATAACCAGCACTGGACACCTCCCTTGTTTTAGGATGAGTTTTCTTTTGTGGGAAAATAGTTTGCAACATTTACAGTTTTCTCATAAATACATCTAAATATTACTTGACACTCAAGGAAATCTTTAAGCTTTGTTCACTTCTCTCTAAAGGAAAACATTTCAGATTTAATTCAATTTTAAAATGTTGGCTAGATTAGAATTATACAGATATTGCTTATGGAGAGCACAATATTGGCTACCCTAAGTTTAGTTCATCATCAACAGACATGTAGCATTTCATATACGAAAGGAAGGTATGAAACCTTTAATATGTCATTCATTCTTTTCTTTTTTAAAAAAAAATTATAATGTTCAGGAGTGGACTTCTATCTAGCAGGAATGTTTTCTGCTTGAATAAGCATCAGTTGAATAATCTTGCTAGCAAATGTTTCTTGAACATAGAATTAGCATTGATACTGTTAAGTGAACAGTGGAGAGCCGTAAAGGAAGCCTTTATTATATAAATAAGAGTGTCATGACTGAGTATACAGTGGTACCTCAGGTTAAGAACTTAATTCGTTCCAGAGGTCCGTTCTTAACCTGAAACTGTTCTTAACCTGAAGTACCACTTTAGCTAATGGGGCCTCCTGCTGCTGCCGTGCCACCGGAGCACGATTTCTGTTCTCATCCTGAAGCAAAGTTCTTAACCCGAGGTACTAGTTCTGGGTTAGCAGAGTCTGTAACCTGAAGCGTGTGTAACCCGAGGTACCACTGTAGTGTTATCCTTATCTTGCAGACAGTGGCCTGAGGCCAGGTAGCAAAGTTTGTCTGTGGCTCAGGTGAGTCTCAATGTGGGACTTCCTAGCATATGCATTTAGCTGCTGCTTTGCATCCCTGCTAACATGAATGTACAGTGGTACCTTGGGTTAAGAACAGTTTCAGGTTAAGAATGGAGTACTTAACCTGAGGTACCACTATATATTATATACACTGACTATGACTACTCCCTCAGACTACTCCCTCATCCTGAAGCAAAGTTCTTAACCTGAGGTACTATTTCTGGGTTAGCGGAGTCTGTAACCTGCAGCGTATGTAACCTGAAGCATATGTAACCCGAGGTACCAGTGTATATGTATAAATGAGACAAATCATTTACACTCCTGAGGGATAGCTCAGTTGGTAGAGCATGAGACTCTTAATTTCAGGGTTGTGGGTTCCTGCTCGACATTGAGTGAAAGATTCCTGTATTGCAAGTGGTTGAACTAGATGATCCTCATGGTCCCTTCCGTTCTATGATTTTATGTGCAAAGTGCACATAGCAACATGCTGTAAGTGACAGATGCACTTCAATAAAAGAAAAGTTGATTTTATGTTGTAGTTAAATTAAAAAGATTGTAATCAAGAGAGAAAGTGGTGGGAGAATAAAGATACAATTGGATATATGTAATTGGCATCCAGGTAATAATTAAAACCCAGCAGATGATGGCCTGGTTTGCACATAACGCTAAGCCAAACCAAGGCTAAATATGAATGTGCAAGCAATCACAGTAAAATGGGATTAACACTAAGCCACACCACGACTTCACTCAGAGTAGCATAGCAGCAGCAGGAGGACTGGTGAGCAGAGAAGAACCTGCTGCTTTTACTGTGAGCATAGGTGCCAACTCCTAGGGGCTGAGGCACTTTGGGATCCCCAATGTTTTTTGAGGTGGCTGCCCCCCGTTGTTCCCAGGGCAGAAGAGGGCATGGTCCTGCTTTGGTGACTGACGTCTCACCACCACTGGCTGGGGCAACTTCCTCGTCCTTTCCTTGCATGGCAGTGGGAGGGGGGACGATGGGGGCCACCACGTTCGATTCCTCCCCCTGGCTCCTTGTGATGTTGTGCACGTGGTGTCAAGATGTCATGTTGGGGCCCCACAATCTTTTTCAGGAGTTAGCGCCTCTGACTGTGAGTATTCACATACTTATGCGTTCACACTTTCCCATGGTTTGGCTTAACATTCCATATTCACCAAAGTATTGCCTTGAGAGGCAGTGGAGTATGGCTCAGTCAGGAAGGTGAAGTCAAACTGCTCCGCCAGCTCCCCACAGGGCATTTTTTTTTAATTATAAATAATTTTTATTATTTTCCGACACAAATATACAATTCTATCAAATTTTCACAAATTTGTTTCTTTTTAGACTTCCTTCGGCTTCTCTGACAATCATCCATATTTACCTCTCAGTTTACGCATTCCTCTGTTTATATTGCCATTAAACTTCCCTCCCACTCCTATTTCTTTTTAACAATATATCTCAACTTTCACAGTGCTTCTTGAAATCCCACCAGTGTTGTTTGCACATCACATGTTCTTTTCAGATACTCAACAAATTTCCCCCAGTCCTCGATAAACTTTTGGTCTCGAAGATATCTAATTTTCCCGGTTAATCTGTCCAATTCTGCATAGTCAGTCAGTTTCAGTCTCCATTCTTCTATTGTCGGTGTTTCTTCTTGTTTCCATTTCTGGGCCAGTAGAATTCTTGCTGCTGTGGCTGCATATTGAAAAAGTTTACAGTCTTTTCTTCTGATTTCATTCCCTATAATTCCTAAAAGAAAGGTCTCTGGTTTCTTTACAAATGTATATTTTAACATCTTTTTCATTTCGTTATAGATCATCTCCCAGAAGCCCTTCACTTTCTTACATTCCCACCACATATGATAAAACGTACCTTCTTTTTCTTTACATTTCCAACATTTGTTACACATCTTATACATTTTTGATAATTTTACCGGTGTAATATACCATCTGTAAAACATTTTCTTTAAGTACTGTACATGCAGTAAATCTTAAATTCTCTTTCCACAGTTTTTTCCAGTCCTCAAACTGAATATTATAACCAAAATCTTTAGCCCATTGTATCATTACCGATTTAACTTCTTCATCTTTAGTGTTCCATTCCAACAATATTTTATACATTTTTGACAAAATTTTACAATTATTGTTTATCACGTCTGTCTGGAACTTTGAATCTTTTTCTACATAACCACTTTCTTTAATGTCTTTTTTAAACATTTCATTAACCTGGAAATAGTGCAACCAATCATATACATATTCTTTGACTTGTTCATATGGTTTTAATTTCCATTTTCCTCCTTCTTTGATTATCAATTCACCATATGTAATCCAATTACCTCTCATATTTATTTTCTTTACACTCATAACCTCTAATGGAGACAACCAGTGTGGAACTTTCAGTTCTAATAGGTTTTTATATCTATCCCATATTTCAATTAATGACCTCCGAAGTATGTGGTTCCCAAAGCCTTTATGGATTTTCTTCTTTTCACACCATAAATACGCGTGCCATCCAAATCTGTTATCAAATCCTTCTAAGTCTAATAGTTCTTTATTCTCTAATTTTATCCACTCTCTCAACCAGCAAAGACATGCTGCTTCATAATATAGTTTCAAGTCTGGCAGGGTGAAGCCTCCTCTTTCCTTTGCATCCGTTAATAATTTAAATTTAATTCTCGGCTTCTTGCCCTGCCAGATATACCTTGAAAGCACTCTTTGCCACTCTCTAAAGATTGCTACCCCCTTTAATATGGGGATAGTTTGAAATAGAAATAACATCTTTGGAAGGACACTCATCTTTATCGTAGATATTCTACCCCAAAAAGATAATTTCATTCTTCCCCACACCTCTAAGTCTCTCTTTATTCCGTTCCAAACCGGTATATAGTTATTCTGAAACAAGTCGATATTCTTAGGAGTTAACCAAATTCCTAAGTATTTAACCTTTTTCACCACCTCTATCTCTGTCCTTTGTTGCATTATTTCTATTATACTTTGATCCATATTTTTTGTAATTATTTTGGTTTTCTTCTTGTTTAATCTGAACCCTGCCACACTTCCAAATTTCTCAATCTCATCCAAAACTTCTTTTACACTTTCTAAAGGTTCTTCAATCGTAATTACCAGATCATCAGCAAAGGCTTTTACTTTATATTCATTCTGGCCAACTGTTACCCCTTTTATTAGTTCATTTTGTCTCATTGACCTCAGGAAAACCTCTAGGACCATTATAAATAGTAATGGCGAAAGTGGACACCCCTGTCTAGTTCCTTTTGTTATTTTTATATCTTCTGTGGTTACATTATTTACAATTAACTTTGCTTTCTGCTCTGTATAAATTGCCTTTATCCCATTAAAGAACTCAGTTCCCACATCCATAAACTCCAGGTTCTTCAACATAAAGTCCCAAGCAATATTATCAAATGCCTTTTCTGCATCAACAAACATTAATATAGCTTGCTTCTCATTCCTTGCAGTCAGATATTCCAAAATATTAATTACATTTCTTATATTATCCTTCATCTGCCTGCCTGGAAGGAAACCTGCTTGATCTTCATGAATAGTTTCTTTCAGTATTTTTTTCAATCTATTCACTAAAATCCCTGCAAATATTTTGTAATCTATATTGAGCAGTGAAATAGGCCTATAATTTTTCACTTGTGTTAGATCTGAGTCTTGTTTAGGGATCAATGTAATGAAAGCTTCTTTCCATGTTTCTGGGATGTCTCTTTCCTTTAAGATGTTGTTCATTACTTCTTTCAATGGTTGCATTAAAACCTCTCTCATTTCTTTATAATATCTTGCTGTAAATCCATCTGGTCCTGGGGCTTTCCCTCTTTTCAGTTCCTTTATAACTTCTTTTATCTCCTCATTTCCTATTGGGGCATTCAGTTGGTCTTTCTTTTCTGTCGGGATCTTTTGCACCTTTTTTTCTTTCAAAAATCGTTCTATTTTCCTCATGTTGTTTCTTTCTCTGTTTCTATATAAATGTCTATAAAAATCCAAGAATCCTTTTCTGATTCCCTTCGGGTTGTCTATCTCTTCTCCGTTTACCATGATTTTGTTGATCGTATTTTGCTCCTTTCTCTTTTTAATTTGCCACGCAAGCCATTTGCCAGATTTGTTCGCAAATTCAAAATTTTTTTGTCTTAGTCTTTTGATGTTCAACTCTATTTCTTTATTTATAATCATTGCGAATTGTGCTTGCAAAGTCTTAATCTCTTGTTTTATTTTTAGGTTGTTTGGTTTTTTAATAAGTTTTTGTTCATTGTCCATTATCTGCTTTAAAATTTCTTTTCTCCCTTTTTCTCTGTATTTGTTCTTCAATGAATTCTGTTGAATGAAAAAACCTCTCAACACTGCCTTCCTTGCTTGCGTCCCATACTACACTCATCTTCGTACCTTTGTTGCTGTTCTCCACAAAATACTCAATTAATTTCTTTCTTGCTTTTTCTATAATTTTTTGATCATCTAAGAGACAATCATTAATTCTCCATCTGAAAGTTCTTTCTTCAAATCCTTTCAGTTCCATTTTTATTGGATTGTGGTCCGAGATTGTTCTAGGTTGAATCTCAATTTGCCCCACAGGGCATTTTGAATGTGGAGAAACAAGGTCTGCATATTTAGCTGCAAAAATTCCAAATGAAGGAATCTTTAAAAATAAGGGGAAAGAAGGAAGATACAAAATAAAGGGAACAAATGTTGAATTTGGAGTGAGGAAATTTGTAAACTTGGGAGTAAACTGATGCAGTGGAAGATGTACAGAAGCTTACCAAGTTGAGGAAAGGCACAATCATCTTGTTATCTGCTGTGCTGTTAAAAACCTGCAGACTTTTCACAAAGTCTGTTCTGACATTGCCTTAATATGAATGCTACTCTAGGCAATTAGTTCACCTGGTAACAACCTAACACACCCTTTCTCTTTATCATTTCATTCCTTATTTATATATTCAGTGTAGTCATTTTTACCCCTACAGCCTGGACAGTGAGCGGCCTTGAGCTGGCTGTGGTTGGAGATGCAGAATTCTGTGGACCTTCACCAGACCCTGCAATGCACTCCTTATCCTCTTACTTCAGAAGTTCCTATACACAACATGTAATGCATGAAGAGAAGAAAATGCTTATTATAGATTTATTCTATATTAATAAATAATTTTGTAATATACACATGCCCTCAACCTTACATTTAATTCTTTGTACTGAATTGCTAAAGTTTTCTTACTCTTGATATATGTTTTTCCACTTCTGCTTTAGTTAGTAATTGTTTTCAGGCAGCTTTGTTGCAGGAAGCAGGTGAAAAGCCATCATTGTTCCACATAAAAACATTTGCTTCACCTAGAATTGTTTTTAGCTGTGAATGAAAAGGAAAAGAAAGGGTAAAGCCCTGTTTTTATTTCCTTCCTGTTGTACAAGATAATTTCACACAAAGGGGGTTAGTAGATACATAGTCCTGCATGGGCTTAACATGAACCTGAAATTTAAACTCCCAAGTTAATATTTAAAAGCCAATACATAACTGGAACATTCATGTATTCTGCTTAGGTGTGTACTTTTCTTACAGACTAGCCTTAATTTGACATTGAGCTTATGATTTCCCTGTTCATGATCTCTCCTGAAATTATGTCTAGCTTTGCCTCAGTTCTTTCTCTGATCAGGTTTTCTTCGCTACCTTACAAGCTTTACTGAAGTCTTTACCAGAGGTCAGCTGCCAACCACTGAAGACTTCTGGTCTTCAAAATGACAGCTGCTGGACTCTTTTTTCCCCACTTGGAATCCTTCTTAGCTTCTGCCTTCTGTTATTTCAGCTTTAAGGTGTTTGCTGCATCATCTGTTGCCTATAGCAACAGTGATTTCTCAGTTCCTATCCCCTCTCTGGAATCTTGCTGCTGCTTAAGTTGTTTGGGAGACGGTGAAGAGATATATCAAAGACTAACCCTTTTACAGCGCTTAGCCTGCCCTTTTATTCTCTCCAACCAGTTGCCACATTCTCACTAATATGATGAACGCCATTGGCCTAGAACTATGGACCAGTAAATTTGAATGGAATGTCCCACAAAATGATTTGCTATATTTTGACCTTTTCGTATTCTACTGAATCATATAAAAGCCAAATGTGACAGCAAATTGTTATAACTGAAACCTCGCAAGTTACATAGTCTTGAGCAACAGCGTCAGTTTAACTGCCTCTTGCAAACTGCCAACTGAACCCCAATATGGCAGCTGTAATCCAGCAAAATCTGGGGAGCACCATGTTGGCTATGTCCACATTAGAGAACGGCAGAGTTGGCAGATTACAAGGTCAGCCTTGAGTATTTGTTCTATTTGCAAAGTCTCTTCATACCTAGTTTAAATTCTTTGGTTACTGTAGGGCAAGCCTTCCCCAACCTAGTGCCTTCCAAATAGTCATTCTGGCTGGAGCTGATGGGAGTTCCAGTTCAAAACATTTTGAAGGCACTAGATTGAGGGAGGCTGCTGCAGAATCTTGTAACTGAAAAGGCAACAGTCTATTAAATCGAGAGGTTTGTCTAGGTTCAACCTCTCAAAATACAGCTTTTTAAAACCAATTCTTCAAAACTGAATAACATTCCCATCCAGGGAATTTCATTCAAATTCCAAGAGAGCCCAGTTTTGGCACCAAATCTGAAGCACACGTAATCCTGAGTACTCCCTCTACAAAAGATATATGCATGTAGTTTAATAGTAAAGTAGCACTGTGGTTTAGTAAGCACAAGCTCCCTTTTGAGCACATCTTTTGCTCTTGAAGAATGGTTTGTATGCGTTACGTTGATTTCTTTGTACTTCCTTACTTAACCGTATTTTTTTTTAAAAAAAATATTATCATATTTATACTGTATAAAGCGTAGCTTGGGGGTGTACAGCTAACAAAATCCCCGCCTGCAAATGATCAAAGCATGGAACTAAAATATTAAGCACAAGAAAAATGCAATCTTTCTTTTCCATTCCTTTTTGGCTTCCACACAGTATTTCCAGCTGGGTATGTGTTGCCATGAGATGAAGTGGAATCAAGTATATTGTAAGAGAGTGCATTGTTCATCCGGATCAGTTCCATTCTAGAAAGGAAAGTTAGCAACTCGTACTTTCAACAAGACTGGAGGGAGGATTCCTTATGGATTATGAGCCTCGCTGCCTCCCACCCCCATAAGTTCCACAGCGGCAGGCATAACTGGCAAATAAATGTGCAGGCAAAGTGAGCGTGAAATATCTACTTGCATTTCATCAGTATTAATTCATACAGTATGAACAGTTTGGGAAGCTCTGCCTTTTTTGGATATCTATGTGCTGTAGATAAAAAAACTAATTTGAAGGATTTTCAATATAACACCTTTAATTACCAAGCTACTTGTTTGAAATAACATTACAGATCTAATAAGTTTCCATATGAAGAGAAGAATACATGTTTCAGATTCTGTCAAGTTTTTAAAAGTGGATTACGCTAACTTCTTTCTTATTGTTTGTGATAATTGGCATATTTATCTTAAATGTTGGACAGGATGATTCTCCACCTGCCTCTTTTCTAATAAATCTTCAGACTGGTTTACCTTGAATTTAGAAAAATAGTGTTTTGTGTTTCAGCTTGGTTTATGTATCATTCTCATAGCATGCCCAAGCATGGTATATTGAATAGCCTGCAAGTAGCTTCCCCAGTCTTTTTTTATAATAGTGCCTCTTGGTTGTTTCGCTTCCCTCAGAAGTTTAGGGGCAAATGTTCTCTGTGGCAGTCCTAAAATTGTGGAATTCTCCCACCTCAGAGGTACTTCTGGCTTCTTCCCTATATAATCTCCAACAAATGCTGAAGAGACACCTCTTTACCCTGGCCTTTGACACCTGAGATGTGTGTTTTCAGGGCCTGCCCTATTCCTGTGACTGTACTGTATTTTAATTCCTGTTTAAAGTTTTAATTGTAAATTGTTGTAACTCCCTGGTGATGGTTGGGTAAAAAAGTTAATAGTAGTAATAATAATGATAATAATAATAACGTAAAAGTTCTGGTGTTTGTTGCCTCATAATTTAATGTAAGAAAGAGGCTGTCTATATTATGCCACACCTGAAATTACCAATCGTATAAATGATATGAAAGAGCACTGAAGATACTGAATAGCATTTTTCTTCCTTTTTCCATTTCAGATCTGGGACATGAGCGATGATGAAACACTCTGAAAGCTCAGTGAATGAAGAGAAAGATGACCCACTTCAGGGTGTGTTGGTCAGTCATATGACAAATTAATGATTGCTTACTTAACTGTGGCTGTTGTAAATAGAAACACTTACGGTGCACAACTTTTACTGGGATGGGACAGTATTGCAATTCAAGGCACTTGTACTATGAGTGTAATTTCTCTTTCTATTGTGTGTGAAATATATATATAAGAGAGTTACAATTAAAATCTCTCTATTTTTTTCAGCTTCTAAATATAGCTTATATTTAAAATACCTCTGAAGAAAACTTCTTTGTTTATTTTTCTCCCAGTTTGACTTTTTCTTTTAAGTAAACATTCTGAACAAATTATGCCTTTTGAAACACTTCAGGGATTTATAGCCAATGTATCCTTGTCTCTGAGGTAGACAATAAGAAATTAGTCACATTGAGAATAAATAGAATGAGAGGGTCCACATGTTTAGTCTCTCAAAAAGACATTTCCTCTGGTTGTTTCTGTATATGGCAACACTCTATATATTCTCAACTTTTAGTGCCTTTTAAAAAAATGGTAGTTGATAACTAATGATTTTCTTCCTTCCAATACTAATAGTTCATCTTCTGCCTCCATAGCGAGGTGATTGTCCACCAACACCAAAACTATGCCATGAGCCTCTAAAGTATAATGAATTTAAATAATAATAAGGAAATCTATGTTATTTACTGTTTTTAATACAAGTATTATTTTATCTTCTTTGTCAGCACATAAACAATGAAACAGCTATGCAGAATCTTCATGCTAGCATTTTGTGCCCTTTGCCATTGGACTACTTTCTCAAATCGTATCTGGTTGCAGTCACAAATCTGGAGAGGCTCAGAGTAGCCAGATTATGGCATATCATGTTAACAGCATACTTTTAATCTGTATATTGCTCACTGAATCTTGTCTCTACTTGATTTCTTATTTCTACTAATTACAAAACCCCTGTTTATTTCGTCTTACGTTTTCTATCTAGTAAGTTAATCTAGCTCTTGGGAAGGGGTGTGCATTTAAAAAAAATCTCAACACTTAGAAGCTGTACGTTAGCAATAGCAGAAATAGGAAGCACAGTTCTCATGTGTATGCAAGTGCAATCTTTTAATTTAAAATAATAAAATTGCATAATGGCCTTCAGGCACTGCTTTCTGAGGAAATTCAACATCTCTGATGACAGACTAGAACTCTACACTGGGAAAATTTAGTACTCCGCAGCTTGCACTGAGTCACCAGCACAGACGTCATTTGTAGATAGTGAAACAGGAAACTCTGTTTTGAAATTCTACAGTCTTGATTAGCTGAGAGTCCAAAACAGCTCGGGGTCCCAGGAATACTCTCCAATGAATGTCTGTCTTGACGCTTGGATTATCAAGATTGAATTTGTCAACTCTTTTTCCCCTCCGAGAGTTTTAGCTATATATGACATTTTAAGCACAGGGTAATATGATGTTTCCTTGCTTAGTAATTCCAGTAACTTAGAGTTGTATAAGACTGAGCTTGCTTCCTGTACATATGCTTCCCAGATGTCTGTGCTGTGCAGAAGTACTCCACTGTGACTTAGAAAACCTTCTGTTGTTTAACTTTATTGTGTTTTCCTCTCCCCTTACAAACCAGAATGGCGCTCTTGCTTGCTTGCTTGTACGCTTGCTTCTAGGTGTTTTTCCCCCCTTTGTAAAATGTTTTAAGCACTTAATTGAGGAAAACATAATGAAAGATTTTATTCTAATGAATGAAATGTACATTAAAAGAACTTCCAAGTACTTTTACTCACTGCCTTGTTTGCATAGATAGACGTCTGGCACCACCATCTACTGTTGTCGTTTGATAATGGAGGAAGTTGAAATTTGAGCTCTGGGGAATGAATGGGTGTGTTTTTGCTGGCATGACTGTCCAAAAGTAAAAGTCTTGATTATTATTATTATTTTGTCATAACAATGGAACCAGAAGTCATACAATTAAGCTGAAAGCTAGGAGATTCAGGACAGACAAAAGGAGGAGTCTTTTTTAATCATCCCCGCTCCCACATTAAGTTATTTGCCCTAGACCAAAAGCCTTCATACTCTCTGCATCAGTCTGCACTAATGTTGCCAAGTTAATTGTGTCTTCATTTAATTATCATTTTACTTCTAAAAAGTATTACTTAACCTGTTCTTTCCTGCCTGAGCAGGTCACAATAAAATTTCAAGTTTACAATACACAATAACATTTTCATACACATCCAGAAATACAAAATCAGCTAAAACCAGCAAGATAAGAAAGGCCTGGGCACACAAATGCATTCTTGGCTATCATAAAAAGTTCAGGAAGGGAGGGAGCTCCATAATGGTGGGGGCACTGTTGTGAAGGCCCTGTCTTGTGTTGCTGCATACCAAAAACTGGCCAACTGCTGTATACTCAAGAAGGCCTACCCCCCCCCAAGGTCTTAATAGTTGTCAGTCATTTATGTAAGTTTCATAAAATATGTTAAAATAACAATGGGTACAAGAAAGAATTATGGGCAACCCTACAGCAGAACGTCAGTGGTGTTAAGGAGCAGCCTTCCAACTCTGCTTTCTGGAGACAGCCCTGTAGGTAGAAGCAGAATGACTGTCTCACCATGCCTTAAACTCCTAGCCCACTGAACCATTCTAGAAGGATATCATGGTCAATGGTACTGAATGCTGTTGAGAGAATGAGCAGAGTTGCTCTCCCCCATCCCTCTCTCAGTAAAGGTCATCCATCCATCAAGGTGACCAGGACTGCTTCAGTTCTGTAATCAGGCATGAATTCAGGTGGGGAAAGGGGCATTGTTGTTCCTGCAAGAGCAGCGGGTGAGATATAATAACCAGTTTCGCATTAAACTGCCCCCTGCATCTCAGGGAAGCAAGTGAGAAGAAGCTGGCATTGGTGTGATTGCTGATACTACTGTTGATGTGGGAGCAAGGCAGGGAACCTTAAAACTACATTTGCCTGACCCAAGAAACATAATGCTTCTCTAGGTTGATACTGTCCCACCCAAACTTTTTTGGGGGGAAGTTCAGACAACTTTTGTTGTTGTTTCAAGCACTCCTATACAGGAGTGGATTGAATTCAGTTGCTAAGAGTGTTATCTCATAGCTCTCTATTTTTGTTTGGTTTAGTTTTTTGCCTTTCCTGAGTTATATGTCTTTTCCAAGACAAGGTGGTTATTTTTCGTACACCATAAGTGCTGTACATACAGGAAAGGATTTAGGCTGTAATGTGAGTCACTTCTGACATCCTCAATATTTATCTTAGGTAGACCTTACAGCAGTGTGCGCACAGACTGTTGGGCAAGCCCAAAGGCAATATCTTCATAGGGTACCTGTAGAACAAAGGCTAAACTACTACACAATGATATTACTCAGACTGTAATACTACTGCAGTTGCACAAGTGTCACAGAGGGCAAAGGCTGATCTTCAGAATATTGCCTAATACTTTAAGTCCTTTGTCTAGGTCAGCCAAGTTGATAAACTGTGTGTTGTGCAACAACAAAATAATTGTGTGAAATGACTAGAGTTTTAGCATCCTTGGCATTGGCACTTTTGAGTGTTGTTCCTAACCATTACCTCAGTCATTCTTAAAGTAGGCCTGTAAGGTGGTCATGCTGGCCACATGACCCAGAAACTGTCTGCGGACAAACGCCGGCTCCCTCGGCCAATAAAGCGAGATGAGCCCCGCAACTCCAGAGTCATCCACGACTGGACCTAACGGTCAGGGGTCCTTTACTTTTTAAGGTAGATTAGTACAGTGGTACCTCAGGTTAAGTACTTAATTCATTCCGGAGGTCCATTCTTAACCTGAAACTGTTCTTAACCTGAAGCACCACTTTAGCTAATGGGGCCTCCCACTGCTGCCACCGCGCGATTTCTGTTCTCATCCTGAAGCAAAGTTCTTAACCCGAGGTACTATTTCTGGGTTAGCGGAGTCTGCAACCTGAAGCGTATGTAACCTGAAGCGTATGTAACCCGAGGTACCACTGTAGTGTTATCCTTATCTTGCAGACAGTGGCCTGAGGCCAGGTAGCAAAGTTTGTCTGTGGCTCAGGTGAGTCTCGATGTGGGACTTCCTAGCATATGCATTTAGCTGCTGCTTTGCATCCCTGCTAACATGAATGTACAGTGGTACCTCGGGTTACATACGCTTCAGGTTACATACGCTTCAGGTTACAGACTCTGCTAACCCAGAAATAGTACTTCGGGTTAAGAACTTTGCTTCAGGATGAGAACAGAAATCGTGCTCCGGCGGCGCAGCAGCAGCAGGAGGCCCCATAGGCTAAAGTGGTGCTTCAGGTTAAGAACAGTTTCAGGTTAAGAACGGACCTCTAGAACGAATTAAGTACTTAACCTGAGGTACCACTGTATATTATATACACTAACTATGACTACTCCCTCAGTGTGTGAATTGGCCCTTAGGTATGTTTGGGGTAGAAGCTAAAGTGGAACCATTTTCTATAGATATGGATTCCCCAAAAAATACAGCTCCCACCCCCCCATGCACACAATAAATAGGCTCATTCAGCATATCTTAGTGAACTCTCACTTAATACGTTGTACAAATCAAAGTTACTTCTGTTACTGATAGTATTTACAGAACGCTTTCACTGAGAGGGGAGGTTGTTGTCCTCCCCAATTTGGCTGCTGTGTGGATGCAGATTGCTTGGCACGTATGCGTAGTTCTTCTTCATTGGTTGAATCAAGGTTGCCGTAACTTTTACCAAGTGGTTTCTTATGTAACAAGGGGCCTCTAAAAACAAACAAGTTGGGATTTTCTGGCAGCCATTCAATACACAATCCATTTACAACTGTTATAGCTCTCTCTGTGTGTTTACTTTCTTTGTTTCAAAATAGGGACTCTGCTAGATTATATATTGAGCACTTTTAACTAGGCTAAATATGCAGGATTTCTCTCTCCTACCCTCTTCCTCTCCTCTTCCAAAATAAACAGTTTGGCCATAAAATGAGTGGTAGGGTAGAAGGCAGATATCCAGTTTGCTTTTAGGATCTCACTACATTCAAGTACATGCACACACATGCACACACCCCTCCTTTCCAATATCCTTTTTTACCTGAAGGCAGTAGATGCTGAGGACTCTTTCTGCATAACTTACATTATACAATTTCTCCAAAATAGATATGGCATGGTGGCCTCTAGCTCTCATTAGTTGAAGCAATGGGAAGGAGGGCATCCATAAATATAATTTCAAGGACAAACTAAAACCTAACTTGAAAGGAGAGTGGAGCAGCTGAACTACAGCTCAAATCTCTTGTCATCAAATTTGACTCAGTTTGTACCAGGGCACAAGAATGGTATAACACAGTAGTCCAGAAACACCTACCCCCCTCTGTTGCTGAACTTACAGCTCCCCTCATACTTGGTCATTGGCCATGCTGAAAAAGGCTGATGGGAGCTATCTGTTATTGCTATCTGGAGGGCTGCATGTTAGCCACCCCAGTCTCAAAGTATATGCAGCTGTAGTTCTCCTGATAAATGGCTCAGGCTTAAGAGCTGCCTAGCTTTGAATTGTATGTAAGCCACTCTGAACTCCTTGGAAGGAGGTCCAGGCAGAGCAAACAAACAAAGACATTCCAGTAAATAATATTTAAGAGTTAACATTGGACTGTGGCACCACATGGCTGAATCTTGGCCAGTGCAGTTTCTTGCTCCATTGTTATGGGGCATCCCTGTAAAGAAGCCTGAGGGGATACTGCATGTCCAGATGGCCAGCTCAGGCCTGACGGGTCCGTGATCATAAGGGTTGTGTAGATATGATGTACATCGTAGGGTGACCCTTAACCTCAACCCCTACCAACCACCAGTCAGCAATTGGGTTGGTTGATTTCTCAGCACATGCCAAAACCTTCTGTAGTCGATAAAGTTGAAGCCTGATTTAATCTCAGAATTGTTGTCCTACATCTTAATGTATCATTGTGTGGGCACCCCCACATTGCCTAGGTCCACAACTAACCTTTGTGCCATTGTACCATTCTGACCATGGTGTTGCAATGCCACTAGATCCTTCAAATGTGAATTGAAGTCAGGAGTGATCCACACCTCTGCCCATATTCGGTTCATGTATCTTGTACTTTAAGATCTATAGAAAGTTAATGGTCATTTATCTTTCAGCTTTCACCATTAGATGAGAGTCATGTTTTGATTGCATGCTTCCCCATAAAACGTCAACCATAGCTGTAAATACTGCAAAACTGTTTTGAAAGCTGTTTTTGTCCTTTTCGAAAGACGACTCATGCCTACTGTACAAATGTAAACTACTTTGAAAGCAGGTCAACTCCTGTAACTTGCCACTAAGATTATTCTCAAGGATAATTCTTTTGTAAAGGCGCTAAGAATCCTTCATTGGAGAAGCGTACCCAGGCATAGAACATGTACTTTCCTGGCACCAGCAGACAGGGCCACAAGATTCTAGTTGGCATAACCTGAGGACAGGGAGGGCATTTCACTGCTAGAATGACTCTAGTTTTGAAATCAAACCAGTATGGTCTAGCTATGGGTGTGGAGCAGCAAATTAAGAACTGCTAGTGGAAACATGCTTAATATATGGCAAACGTAGTTTTAAAGCCAGCTCACTCTCTGTGGAAATTAACCTTGGGCTCATTGTTTGCCAACTTGCACTTTGGTGCCCAAGTTATATTTCTAATGCAATTATTTTAGTAATTTGTGAAATAAATATGTGACTAGCAGTGTGTGTGTGTGTGTGTGTGCGCGTGTGCATTTGCGTGTGTGATACTGAGATATAAGGAGAGGCAGAGGCCCATTTATTGGCAGGTAAGTATTTTTCAAATGCCCTTCCCTTGCCAAAGTTGGGAAAGGACTTGGTGAGGAAAGCAACTCAAATTGCAAGGTATTTGAGATAATGGCTAAGAAGGGGTTGGGGAATTTTGGATATGCAGAGAAGCA